AAAACCTGGATACGCCTCTGAGCAACGGGTACTCTATAAATAGAGGAATTTATAACAAAAGGGACCCGTTCTGTTAAAATTCAGGAACCTCTAAGGTCTAAAGCAGAAAACTTTTTTTTTAATCAAATCAGGAACCATTACTATATTATTATTAAACAAGGAACATCTACCCAACACATCAAATAATTTGTTCAAATAAAAGGAAGATGTGACAATACATTAGTGGCGAATCTATAATAAGTCTTCTCGGGATAATTATGTCTTGCATGAAAATACAAACTGCTTACTTCTGATTGTTGTGTATCGGAATGTCTTAAGATTTTTTCCTGTGTATATTTTTTCTTGATGTCTTGTAAAATCCTCACAATTCTCTACAACGTACTGACATCCAGGATTTAAGGTTTGTCCCAGCGTTCTACGATATCTGTTGATGTTTTGCTGAATGGAGAAAAACAATTTAGATCGATATGCAAACAAAATGAGTTCTCACACAGCAGAATAATAAAAAAAATAATGTTAAACTTTATAAAAATGATAATACCCTGCAGAGGCGTAGCGAGGGGGGGGGGGGGGGCGGGGGCGGACTGTACCGGGTGACACCATTTAAGGGGGTGACACCAATGCAAAACAAAGCAAAATATATAGAGAAAAACTTGAGGGGGGGGTGCAAATCGAAATTTTGGGGGGGGGGGGTGCAAATCGAAAACTTGAAAGTTTGTCCCCGGGAAGGATCGCTACGCCTCTGGGGGGGGTGACACCATTAAGTGCCGCACCGGGTGACACCCGACCTCGCTACGCCACTGATACCCTGTAATAAAAGTAAAAAGCCCGTACAAATTAACAGGGAGAATCACTCATCCATTGTAAATTACAATAACACATATTATATAGGTAACCTCTCCATCATATTGACTCAGTTCAAAAATTCGTTGCAAACAGGTATATCATTTATACGCTAAAAAGATCAGTTTCAAATGCTTACTAGGAATTAGTACTGAATAAAAGTCAATTTACCTATTTTTGTTATTTTTTTGTATGTGCGTATTTTGTGGTCAGTTCAATGGTCAGCCACCTTATTGTCCCCGATTCGAGACAGACACATTAGAAATGTCCTGAAGACTCTAGTCAAGTCCTTCATAAGTTGAGTCCTAGTGATTACTAAAGTCTCAAGTCAGTACGTTTGTCAAAAAGACCGAAAAACGACTATTTTTTGCACCCGTTGCCCACCTACTTATAGTAGCTTCTTACTTCAGGTTTTCTATAATGAAAAATGCTCGTATAGCAATAAGCATGATACCGTTAAAAAGGTAAATTTTAAACTCTGATCGTATTTATTTACAAGTAACTGTAAAATTCACAGAGTTGAACAGCATTAAGTGGGATATTAAATTTTTAAAAGTTGAATAACATTTAAAAAATAAAGCGGGAGTAATCTCCGCTATACTTTCTCGAATATTCTTATATAAAACTACGGGGGATGGCAACTCGGGACAAAGACATACTTTTTTATCAAATTTTTTTTTTTAAATTAAAATTTTTAAACCAGTATAGAATTTCGTAGAAAAAAATAAATGCGCACCAAATGAACAGTAAACACCGAGTGTAAGATAATACGGAACATAAGTACTTTATAAAGAAAAACGTTATTTTCAATTTACTAACTAAATGACCTACGTGAAAAGTATAAAATAATTCGGTCCGGTTGAAGTGTTTGGAATTTTGTTCGCATTTTTCCTACCGTGACGGAAGATGCACAGAGGAATGAAGTAAAAAAAATAAATTCATATGCGTTTTTTTTAGAAATCGGAAATAGCCCTAAGTACTACTTCCGGTCACAGGAAATTACTCAAAATTTCGTAAATCTATCAGGCTTTTGAAAAATCGAAAGAAGAATAAGTACAGCTTCCGTTTAACGGAAATCGCTTAAAGTTGAAAGATAATTACTAATTTGATATAATACTTAATATTTCATCAACCTAGCTGTAACGATATTCAAGTTATCGCGTTCACAGACAGATAGACAGACAGGCAGTCACACACGCGCGCACACACACACACACACACACGAAATTTCAAAACTAAGATTTTGAGACACAGGTGTAAAACGTCGAGATTTGTGAAAATCTTGATTTCGATTTTTTTGCTCGGTTACAGTAGTCCCTCTATACTTCATTTACACGAAAGTAATGAAGCAAATTTTACATTACAATTTAATTTCTGAGCATGACCCAAAAAAAAAACGTATCACTTCGTAAACAAAGCACCACTAAGCTAAACCACATTAAACATTATGTATTTCGATATAGATCTAGATCTATTCAGCTTTATTGTAGGTATCGTAATTTAAATTTTCGAAGTGTTTATTCCCAGACATTTTTTTTTTTACAATTTGAGATATATGGACAATTTTGATATCCACAATCTTAGAATTATTAGCTAGTTCAATACAAAGTTAATCCACTTACCCTGGAAATAGGCCTTCCTTCTAGACACGGTATCGGTTATAAAATCTCTAGGGAAGGTAATTTTTTCTTGACACATCTAGCTGGCGTCTGCCTCAGCGTTGGCGGGAGTTTGTAAACAAACAAGTGAACAGTTATCGGTTTGGCCAGGTTTATGTGGGTAATGGAATGATGGGAACAAAAACATCCCCCCCCCCACATAGACCTGCCTTCGTTGATGTTACGGTGTCCTACTATGTTGGGACAAATGTAGCCCCCTAGAGCTGCCTATGTAGATGGTGTCCTACTATGTAGGGACAAATGTAGCCCCCTAGAGCTGCCTATATAGATGGTGTCCGCAGGGGCTTAGCGAGGGGGGGGGGAGTGCGGACCGCACCGGGTGACACCATTTAGGGGGGTGACACCAAGGCAAAAAATAGCAAAATATACAGAAAAAAACTTGAGGAGGGGGGCTGCAAATCGAAAACTTGAAAGTTTGTCCCCGGGAAGGGTCGCTACGCCTCTGGGTGGTGACACCATTAAGTGCCGCACCGGGTGACACCCGACCTCGCTACGCCGTGTCCTACTGTGTAGGGACAAATGTAGCCCCCTAGAGCTGCCTATGTAGATGGTGTCCTACTATGTAGGGACAAATGTATGGACTAGTGTATGTAAATGTATTATAGATATGCCCTATAGGTATATTTAAAAGAGTGATTTTTTTCGGCCGATCTTACAATTTTAAGGGAGTTTTCCCTGTAGTGATGTGGCTAAAATGTTGTCTAGATGGGTGTTGTCCCTATAGTGATATGACTAAAATGTTGTCTAGATGGGTGTTGTCCCTGTAGTGATATGGCCAAAATGTTGTCTAGATGGGTGTTGTCCCTGTAGTGATATGGCCAAAATGTTGTCTAGATGGATGTTGTCCCTGTAGTGATGTGGCTAAAATGTTGTCTAGATGGGTGTTGTCCCTATAGTGATATGACTAAAATGTTGTCTAGATGGGTGTTGTCCCTGTAGTGATGTGGCTAAAATGTTGTCTAGATGGGTGTTGTCCCTGTAGTGATGTGGCTAAAATGTTGTCTAGATGGGTGTTGTCCCTGTAGTGATGTGGCCAAAATGTTGTCTAGATAGGTGTTGTCCCTGTAATGATATGGCTAAAATGTTGTCTAGATGGGTGTTGTCCCTGTAGTGATATGGCTAAAATGCTGTCTAGATAGGTGTTGTCATCGTAGTGTTGTGACCGAAGCTTCAAAATGTATCATTCTATTTTAATTACAAAGGGAGAGCACTTCATTCGCTGTCGTTTGTGGGGAGGATGCATAAATAGGGCACCAGTGGGAAGCGGATGGGTAATGAGAGGTCATATATATACTTAAAGCTCTGTGGTCCGGCTACACCTTTCATCCGATCGCCATCAAACTTTGGGCAGTTGTTTAGAATAATCCTGGGGAGGTTTTTGCGAGACTTTTTTTTCCATATTCGCAGGGGTGGCGCTCCAGCAGGGCGCGATTCGATTATTCTCTATATATGGTATCATCCGATCGCCATGAAACCTTGGGGAGTTGATTAGAACACTAAAGAAGAGGTTTCGGCAAAAAAACTTTTTTAAAAACTTCGCAAGGGCGGCGTTAGTTTTAAACAGTGCAATAATATGGGGCGTTTAGTCGTTCACTAAACTGAATCAAGCGCGTTCGCCGGCGCCCAACAGGGTGCAACTTGGCACCTCGGGCTATCCCGATAGTGCTATGGCGCATAAGTTCGTTTTAAAGAGTGTGATAGAATATAGATAAGAAGTAGTATCATAGTTTTTCATAAACTAAATCAGGCGCGTCTGCCGACGCCCCCGTGGGTATGCGATTTGCCCCGGGACATCCTCTGACTTTCTTCTATCCCCGCTACAACGCGCGGGGCACACTAGTATGATAATTTACACAGCTACCCCCACTTTTGTTACGTATTTAGTTAAATACGAGAAAGAAAAATTAATTATAAAATAAATTTAGACACATCCATGTGTTTTTCATATGTATTTTGCCAAAGGCTGTTCCTCAGTTGGCCTAGTGCGTCCATATAGTCTGTGATGTAGTGCGTCAATGACAGCCTTTCTACTGTGTCTGCTTTCTATTTTGATCATATTCTTTGTTATGTAATGAGCGTGGTAAAAATGGGCAGTACAGATGGTTAAATTATTGTTGCGATAAACTGAGGTTGCAAGTCACATTAACCACGTCTTTGTGTCATTTTACGCCCAATTAAAATTAGTTTTAAAATACACGATGAAAACCGAGAAGGTTGGAACATTCTAGTAAATTTTGTTAAATTAGAACCTACATAAATCATACTAAATCTTTTTACGTGTTATAAATATTACTATATGTATAAAACCTACATATATTTTACTACATTTTATTAATTGTAAGTTGATTTGCACTTTCTGAATATTATAACAAATTCCATGCAAATACACAAGTGTGACTTTTTTTTCCTACAATTATGTCTGACATGTCAAGAATTCGGTGCTTAGAGTACTTTTGTGTTAACTGTTTTTGTGTTTTTGGTGTTTAGACAGTACGGAAAAGGATAATGAAGGAATCCTAACGAGAAAAAAATGAAGCTAGTAGACGATGTTGTTAGAAGTCTGCGCGTTGCAAAAATATTTAGAGAAAATACTGATAGAATAAGTAGTTTGAATTTTTCTGCGAATGGTGAAACGTTGATTACAAGTAGTGATGATGATTCTATTGTTATTTACGATTGCTTGAATGGAACGTAAGGAACTCTTCAGTCTTCACTACGCTTCTTCCCCATTTTTTAAAAAAGACTCGAGATTGTGAATAAAAATAAAATCATTTTAAAAAATGATTTTTTTAATGAATTTATTCACAATCTCGAGTCTTTACACTTTTGAAAAAGGAGAATCTAGATTTAGATGATCTAGTCAATCTAGTCTTGAAAAAAAACTGTTTAAATCTAACATAGATATTTTTTTTTAGATAACCTATCTGTACCTTGAATTGAGAAAAAAGCATGAAATAATTTTATAAAGTGATTAAATTGACCATTCCCAGTCGAATGGGAATAGCGTGTGGTGTGTACGTACAGACTGAGACTCACATTGAACAGTACTATTCTCAGTCAAATAAACACTTAGTCGGCAAAAGAGAGCTCTGCGCATGCGCAGTGACCTATGGCTAGGGTTAGGGGTAGGGATAGGATTAGGTTTGGTGTTAGGGTTAGGACTAGGGTTTGGGTTAGGGATAGGATTAGGTATAGGGATAGGATTAGGTATAGGGATAGGATTAGGGTTCTGCGGTTGTAAACACACGCATGCGCAGTACCATCGAAAACATCGCCGCGAAGGCAAGTCGTAGTTTCTCTCCATTGCGCATGCGTATCTTATTCCGGCTAGCATCGGCCAATACTTAATGCCCTGTGGTCCGGCTACATTTGCCCCAAATGCTGATTTTGGGGGTATGGCTTTAAATGCTAAATTAAACTAATTTAAAGTAAATTTGATAGCCTTTATTATTATTTTTATATTGAGTAAGAATAATTTTGCATTAAATTTCAATATTATAAAATACTTGGATTAGTAAAAATCTTTAAAAATGTACAGGTGCTAAAAAGTGTGGCTCTTAGTGCCCTTCTTTACCCTACAGTAACAAATGTTAACAAAATACAACAAACAATGCCAGATAATTTCCGACGCTATATACATCCAGACTTTTTCATGCGTTGGGCCTATTTATTAATTTGGTTGATTCTAGCCAGAAGAAGATGCGCACTGCGCTACAATTACAAGGTTTTTCATCTAGACTAATAAATGTTTGTTGTTTATCTTGATGGGACAGAGATTAACATGATAAATACTTAAATAGCAGATTTAAATAGGCTAGCCTATACTATGAACCATCAACCACTGATAACCCCAGCGAAGCACAAGTGCTCAACCACACAGTACTGATAGTTTTGTCCGAAGAATAAGGCTACAAGGGTAATTTAATCCCATTGCACCGCTATAAAGATAATTTGAGTCCATTGAACAGCTATTATGGTCATTGCAATTTTTATCTTTTGCCTGCCAGACTAGTGCTGGGGAGAAGAAGCTTCTTCCGGGTAATCACTTTGTATGAATCTTGCCATTTTGCCAAATGCTATGAACTGCAAGAATTGAAGAATAAAAAAAAAAAGTATTCTATACAGATAACCAATTTATTTATAATATATCATCTATAAATTTCAATGAAAGAATAAACCTCAGTTTTACATTCTAGCCTATCAAGTATTGGACGGGGTGGCCTTCTATTTTTTTTGGACCTACCTTTTCATTAAGGGGTCCTTGTTGAAAACTGCTAAACCACATTTACAAAGTGACTTATATATGACCTTCCTTTGTAAGTTAGAAAAATTACAGGATTCTTTTGACCCAATGCTAGATGATGGCATTCTTGTGTGACACTAATACTACTATGAGTCATTTCTGTTTTAGATTTGACAAGAAAGTAATTATGTGTTAAAATTATTTGCTTGATTTCATAAAAGTAAAAGAAAAATGAAGGTATTTATTATTAAGACATCACAGATAACACTTGTCACCTTATATCATTTACAGGCCTAAAAGAACACTTAACAGTAAAAAATATGGAGTGGATTTAATTCGTTATACACATGCACAGAATACAGCTTTGCACTGTTCAACTAAAGTGGATGGTTTGTAAAACTTTTTAGCTTCAACTTAATTTGTGGTAAATTATGTATTATAAAATTTAACATGTTATAAAATTTACATGGGCCTTTCATGTAATTGTTACAAGATAGCCTCTGCAAACTGTGTTAGGACAATTTGGGCATTATGTCACCTATATAATAATAACCTCTCTACACAAAATAATTTTTAGCTAGAAGTAGCTTTAATTTTAGTGCTTATTTAAGATTCTCTAGTTCAAGTTGTTTGCAAGTGACAGATGAGCTGTTTAAATTATAATAAGAAGAGTTTTAAATACTTTTCCAGAAAGTCTTTTGAAGAAAATGACTGCATATTTATTTGGTTTTTAAGTTACTGAAGTAAAATCTTATAATAGTATGATCAATACAAGTTTACTTTTTGTTTACTCATCATTTGTAAATCCATTTGATAAATGCATCAATTTTTAAAAATAAAATATATATGATTCCTTTAAAATGAAATTTTTTACAGATACTATCAGATATCTTTCCTTGCATGACAATAAGTATATTCGCTACTTCCCAGGACATACAAAAAAGTAAGTATGAAAAGTATTTTACTTTTTTGTTGATTTTTTACCTTGTGTATATGTTATTGTTACAATTTTGCTTTGGGGGATGCATTATTTTATATTTTAACACACAAATTAAATTGAAATCCTTTCTTCTTAGATCACAGCAACTTCTACAGGATGTTTAGTCTATCAGTAGAATCATTTAATTATTTCTTTTAAAAAAGCTGTAAATCATTTTTTCTATTATTTCTAATATTCCTTTTTGCTTATTTTAGAGTTGTCACATTATGCATGTCACCAATAGATGATGCTTTTATATCTGGCTCAATGGATAAAACAATCAGACTGTGGGATTTAAGGTCTCAAAATTGCCAGGTGAGTGAACTATTTATATATTTTCCTTTGTTTGTTCAGAAAAAAAAAGTTAATACTATATAAAAGAAATGTAGTGGACAGATGCAAAATGGTTAATTGCATTTTATATCTTGCTTTAATTAAGCTTAATGGTAATTATTGATCTCTTACCATCATTACTAGGGATTGATGCACTTGTCCGGTCGCCCTGTTGCAGCCTTTGATCCTGAAGGGCTTATTTTTGCAGCAGGTGTTAACTCTGAGAGTGTGAAGCTGTATGATTTAAGATCATTTGATAAAGTAAGTTAAAAAAAGGTTTTACCAAGGCTAATTAAATACATATATAAAATTGTCATTATTAATGTTTTTGTTTGGTTACAAAACTAAATTTAAAAATTGTGATGTATGTTTGCCAATAATTATTCAATTAATGTGTTTTTAGGGACCATTTACAACATTTAAGCTTCCACAAGATAAAGAATGTGATTGGACTGGTCTTAAATTTAGCCCTGATGGAAAAATGATTTTAATTTCAACAAATGGAAATGTTATTCGTCTTATTGATGCATTTCAAGGCACCCCACTTCAGGCATTTATGGTATATTGGGTTTACTGATATCTTTGATGACTAGTTTAACTTAAAATTGTACTTCTTAGTTCTAAAAAAAATGTATTTATAGGGCTTTACAAATCACAAAGGGATTCCACTGGAAGCTTCATTTACTCCTGATGCTAGATATGTTTTCTCTGGTAAGTCATTCTTTATCATACTTTATGTATTGTCATTCGTTTTTTTTTAAACGCATATTTTGTCCTAATTTAATTAATGCAAAATTTATTTATATCTTAAAATAGGATCAACGGATGGGAAGGTTCATTGTTGGAGTACAGAGTCTGGAGTCAAAATGGCTATTTTACAATCAGACCACCCTGGACCAATTCAGTGTATTCAGTTTAATCCAAAATACATGATGATGGCTTCTGCATGTCAAAATATGGTTAGACTATATATTTAATAGCAAAATACACTTAGTGATAGAGGTATATTTGCCTTTCCTGTGATGGCGTCCTAATTGTGAGCTGTATTAAAGGATGTTGGTTATGAAGGGATTATTTTATCTAAATTTCTACTCTTCTGCAAAATACAATTAGACCATTTCCTTTACTAAACTTTAAATTATTTTTTTAACTTATGTGCACATTTTATATTTTTTTAAAAATGTGTTGTCTTTTTATCTGGTTGTAGAGAAAGTCAGATAGTTTTAACACCCTGGACTACAAAGGGTTAATCTTTACTTTTAACAAAATCTTTTTTTTAAAAGTTGTTTAAATATAGATCTATATGGAATTTACCAATTTTATTAAATTTATTATGTTTTTTAAAGCTGTAAGTTAATTTTTTTGTTGTTGTTGACATTTTTTAAAGTTAGATTTAATTATTTTTAAATGAAGATTAAGTTTATATATATATATATATATATATATATATATATATATCTATAATTATAAAGAAAGTAATTATTAAGTTACAAAATGTAAAGTATCAGTATGTCATTTTATCCAACCCCTAATTCCCAGCTTAATAACTAATGTATAATAGAGTTATTTTTACTCAACCTCTTCTATTATTCTATTAAATAATTGAATAACATTCTTTCAATTTTTATACAAGTGAAATTGTCAGAAATACATTTGCTATATTTGAAGTTGATCTAATCTTACTGTATTTTTTTTCCATTTCAGGCTTTCTGGCAGCCAGCTGTGGATGACTGAGTTTTGTTTTTTCAATGAATGGGTGATAGTGTTGTTTCTGCTCCACATTTGATGTAATTCGCTAGACAAAAAGAGTAAAAGTATATTGTGAATGTAACAAGATGAATTATTTGTGTGAATGTTCATTGTATATTTAAATTCATTGGATGATTATTTTCGTCTGTGAACAGCTTCATTATAATTATCATATGTTAATATCATATTAAATTTTTTAAGTTTGTAATAAATGTTTTATTTGTTAGAGAAATATTTTCTGCTTTTTTTGTTTTGTTGTAATGATTAATTTTTTCATTTTTAAAGTTAAAAGATGTTTGTACATAGTAATGAATTAATTTAAAACATATTCTTATAAATCACAAAGAACTCTGCTTTTAATAGGTAGTTAATTCAAACTGGCCTAAAAAGTGCTCATTTAGTGAAAAATTGTTTACATTAAATTTTAAATAGTATAAATTTGAGTTGTTGTTCAACTTTGTCTTTGACCATCCTATTCATCTCATTTTTGGGCCATTTATTGTACCTCATCATAGCGGAATACAATATTATATTTATATTTGAAATTTTAAAAGATACTCAAGTTACCATCTTTTGAGAAACCATAGTACAGTTACCGGAAATTGCTCCAAAGTTGATAGAAAACTGCAAATTCGATATAATACATACAGGGTTGAAAAACTTAAGTTGTTTTAGCTACTGAAGTTTATAAAATTTGAAAATCTTGACTTATATTTTTGCACGCTTTACAAAGCATCTTTTATTTCTGTATATGATAAAGTAGGACTAGGAGGTGTTAAAAAATGAAAACCGTAAAAAAAAACTATTCAGCACAATTTACAAACCTCTACCCTGTATATGAGAAAGTAAATATCTAAGGCCAATACTTTTCATTGCTGGGTCTTTTTGTAGCTGATTCTGATTGGTTTTGTCCTTTTAGACAAGGGTACTCTGAAAATTAATTAAACCAGATTTAACTTTAATAGTTGTTAGTTGTTGAAAGATTTTTTACTGCAATTTTCATAAGTATAAATGGTCATGTTTTTATAATTTTCTTTGCTTTTTCAACGATCCACAATGGAGAAAGTCTTTAAAAAAAATAATACTTAATAAATAACTTAAGAGGCCTACATGACGATTAACTTAACATAAATTTATATTGCTATAAAGAGTCATCCATAAATAATGTTGCACTTCTGAGAGTTGGACGTTTGTGATGAAGGGAGAGGTTGAGTTCAGAAAGTGTTATGACACGACAATAAATTAAAAATATTTGAAAAACTAATTTCCTCCAAAATACTTGAAATGTTTTGATCTGTGATATTATGTCAGTAAATGAATTTCATCGAGATATATTTTATCCTTAAGAACTTTTATCTGAGATTTTGGTTTACACCTGCCAACCACACATGTGGTTTACACCTGCCTGCCACACCTGTGGTTTACACCTGCCTGCCACACACCTGTGGTTCACTCCTGCCAGTAGGGGGTCGGCGTGGTCGATTCTGTAAAGCTCATGGTTGCTAAACCGAAAAGTCTCGAGTTCGAACCCTCGGGCAGATGAGGCTCGTTAGCTGGGGACAGCCACTCTTCTAGGAGAGACAACTCCAAAATCAAACAACTGCTGCCTTGTAGTTTGTTCTTGGTTGGACAAAGGCTATGGAAGCAAATCCAAAAAGAAAAGCAGGCTAAAATCTTGAGTCAATTGCCTCAATTGCGCATAACCAGTTGACACGTAATCCTTAATTGTGATGGAAGCATGGTCGAGTCGGCAAAGCTCATGGTTGATAAATTCGAAAAAAGTCTAAAGTTCAATCCCTCTGGCAGTTAAGGCTCGATCCCTCCCAACACTAAAAATTAAGAACGAAGAAGACTCCTGCCAGTCACACACCTGTGGTTCACTCCTGCCTGCCACACACCTGTGGTTCACTCCTGCCTGCCACACACCTGTGGTTCACTCCTGCCAGTCACACACCTGTGATTCACTCCTGCCAGTCACACACCTGTGGTTCACTCCTGCCAGTCACACACCTGTGGTTCACTCCTGCCTGCCACACCTGCGGTTTACACCTGCCAGTCACACACCTGTGGTTCACAATTGCCTGCCACACACCTGTGGTTCACACTTGCCTGCCACACACCTGTGGTTCACTCCTGCCAGCCACACACCTGTGGTTCACACCTGCCTGCCACACACCTGTGGTTCACTCCTGCCAGCCACACACCTGTGGTTCACACCTGCCTGCCACATACCTGTGTTTCACTCCTGCCAGTCACACACCTGTGGTTCCCTCCTGCCAGCCACACACCTGTGGTTCACTCCTGTCAGCCACACACCTGTGGTTTACACCTGCCAGTCACACATCTGTGGTTCACTCCTGCCTGCCACACACCTGTGGTTCACTCCTGCCAGCCACACACCTGTGGTTCACTACTGCCAGTCACACACCTGTGGTTCACTCCTGCCAGTCACACACCTGTGGTTCACTCCTGCCTGCCACACCTGTGGTTCACTCCCAGTCACACACCTGTGGTTCACACCTGCCTTCCACAATTATGTTAACTCCCATACTATAAACCCAGAGTCAACCTTCTACACTTATAGCGACTGGATGAATGAGGTAGTAATGCATAAAAGACACAAACACGTTTTTCACATGTACAACTGTATGTGGCAGAGGCGTAGCGGGGGAGGGGACATATGTCCCCGGGCGCCGACCTTAGGGTGGCGCAAAAATGGGTTGGAAAAACAAATTGAAAGTTTGAGGGGGGGGTGTTAATCAAAAGTTCGAGGGGGTGCAAATCGAAAGTTTGAGGGGGGGGGGTGCAAATCGAAAGTTTGTCCCCGGGCGCCGGGAAGGGTCGCTACGCCTCTGGTATGTGGCCAGCTCACGCGTCGGATAAGCTTCTTATTTAGGTGCTAAGCATAGTAGACATCACGCTTTTTTAACAACTTTCATAAAGCCAGACCCTCCCCCCCCCCCTAAATTACGTCATTTATTAACAGTATTTGACTATAAATAATGTTTAACTAAATCATTTACTAATGAATAAACTATTCTAAATAATATAAACAATAATCTGAACAACCTTGTTTAGTGAATTAGATTCATACAATTATAAATAACTATTTAAAAAATATAATACATTTGGCAACAATTTTCTGGTGCCCTATTTGGTCCCCGCCCCCCTGCCCCATCCCGCCACAGTAGGCCTACACTTTGGAGGACCGGTCGAAAAGTCATATTGCCAATGTGTGAAATTGTTACGTGCCGCTATTCGGCTTTCAAAGGGGAGCAAAGAGTCACAGAAGTCATTAGAAACTGAAGTTTTGCCTATATTTTACATTACAGTTTGTGTAGTGGATTTTAAGGTTTGCTGAAGAGTGTGGTATAGCGACTGTAAAATAAAGATAATCGTACCGTAGCTACCGTATTTTTTTTTACAAATCAAACATCAAGGCAAAAATGCACACGAATTACATTTTTAAATTTTTAAAACATTAATTATGGTCGTCTGTCCCCCCCCCCCCCCACCCTCGCAGTGCGGGGTCTGGCGGCATGGTAGTTCCGCCCCTGTCGCGTATATAAGCATAATTATGTATTTATGTTTAATAACGGTCAAAACTGCATCTTTTTTAAGCCAAAATTAAAAATGCAAATAAGTTGCATGAGATAGGCTTTGTCCAACAAATAGATTAACGACAATTAACGACAAGGTACAAGATTACTGTTCAATTACAGATAGATTAGTTAGAGTGCAAAAGTGATTTGATCACCATGTACTGATAACACTAGTCATTTTTTTCCCCTTTGCTTCCCCTTCCCTTATGGCCTAACAAGTTTATTATTTTACCTGGATAAAACATAGTTTTTATAATAAATATTACTAGGCCTATCTGGTTTCTCCTCCTGTACGTTGTGTCACCGCCCCCCCCCCCCCCCCCGCCTTGTAACGATATAATTGGGCCTAACACACATTAAGGCTCTTAGTAGCAATCGTGACGTTTGTTTCATGTAAGATCTGGAGATGTATTTGTATACTGATACATCGTAGGTTAACTCCTTATAGGTACGCAATTAAAACGTTATTTTATATACATTTTTCTGTGTGCGAAATGTTTTCTTTGCGTAGGGCCTATTTTTTTCTCTTTATACACAGAATGTAACAAAGTAAAATGTAACAAAGTGACAATGCCATGGATTCACGATTGGTCTCTATTGCAACTCCCCTTAATAAGTGTAAAATGAATTGGCACTTACAAGTGACTTACCCACACAATTATTACTTTCAACCAGGGCTACACTAGTGTTTCTTTCTGACATTTTTTCCTGGGGAGGAGGCACTTGAAACTTTTGGAGGAGGGGGAGGGAAACACTGGTTAAAGTAGAGACCTATATTTTGTGTATATTATATTATATTTCGTTCGGGGAGGGGGCGGTACACGTGAAGAGATGAACAGATGAATCCCGCTGTTTTTTTTTAAAATTTGACCTTTGCCTTTAGAAATCGTGACCTAGTTAAATAGTCAGGTGATCAGGTCGTTGGCACCGTACAGGAACTGTAAAATAGAAACTGCGTAATCTTTTAGCCTACTAGATATAGGCCTGCATGAATAAATGTGTCATGACGTAGTAATCTCCCATTTAAACGATGGGGAAAAAATTATCGAGTAGTTAGGTCTACCTACACCTAACGGTGGGCGACGTTAACTTAACAGACAGGATTACTTGGATACTTATTTTTAAAAAGGCCGATTTTTTTGGTTTGTTGTGGTCGTCATTTGCCAGATAAATACGGAAGCGAGATCCAGGCATTGCTATGAGTATGAAAAGCCTCTCATAAGGCTAGCGTCTAGATCTAGAGTTTAGGCTGAATACTCAGTGAATAACGCCGCTCTTCTTACTCAACTGTCTTGTGATTGGGAACACCGGTAACTTTCATAAAATAGTAACAGTATGACTATGATTCATAATGAATTGTGCTAGACTCTATTTAATCCAGTAGTGCTCAAGGCTGTACTGTAGGCAGTGTAGGTAGGCCCGCTTAGGCGCTTAGCGATGATGGAATAAAAATGTGCTTTTTTAGATTTAGGACCTTAAAAATAATTTTAAAAAATGAAATTAAGCCTAAAATTAATTCAGAAATTGGATGATTTTTAAATACCGATGTCCAATAATAGACTCTTCCATAAAATAGGTGTGTTGGGTTGTTAGTAGTATTGGAATCTCGACTAATTTTATGGTAAGAAATTAGGGTTAGGCGATGGTAGGACTAGGGTTAGGGACAGAGTTAGCATTGACATCAGCCAGCAATGTGTATATTTAGTTAACATATATAATATATATATTAGTCATATAGATAGTAGTAAATACTAAATAGGTACCCATTAGAGCTGGGTGGACTAAGTGACATTCTTCGCACTTGAACTCAGATTCGAACTTGAGACTAGCAGCAATTTAGGTATACACTGAAAGGGGGGGGGGGGAATGCAGGTGTTTTGAAGTATTTTTCTTATTGAACGAATGATATTTATCTTATCTTTGTTTGGTAGGGCCTATATAAAATAGCTTTTAATCCAAATATTTAACTTTTAAGTGATCTTTTAGCTAACACTACAGAAACATAAGTCTGTGACAAAATTAAATTTACTATTTACAGCACCATGAGGATCAAGCTGATACTAAATAACATGTGAAATAATATATTTTAAATAGTCCTATAATATTTTCTATCTCTAGTTAGCAGAAATGTATTGTTAATATTATGTAAACAGATAGATAAGTACTACTTTATAATTGACCTATTTTAGAAAAGATGGAGTCTCTCCTTGATTTTGTGTATCCTGAGCTGTCACTCATGAATCCAGCTACATTTACCATCGCTACCATAACCACCATGATGACTATCTATTTATACTTCATACAGCCCAGCATGTTGATTCAAGTTTATTTCAGGTCTTTACACATTTTCTTTAATGTCCTTCATTTTATAGTTAGAAGAATTGGTCAAGTAACATACTTTTTAAGCTTTCTATACATATTGGTGATGCTATGTAGGCTAATTGAAAAAGCATCTTAAAAATTATTAGATTTTTTCTAACGTTTCTAGTGATATTAGTAATACATCATGTTTCATTTAAAAATACTTCTTAGGGTTGCTGTAAGATGGAGTGGAATGAAAATGAAGTACACCAAACCATTGTCCGATGGTTTCACATTTTTTTATGGGGAAAAGGGCCATTTTATCAAAGATCAAATGAGTATATTGTTATTGCATGGGTTCAGCGCTGATCATTTTATGTGGGCTCCCATTGTTCAAGTAAGTAAATAGAGTGCTCACTTTATTTTTGACTCGATGTTCATTTTGTATTAATTAATTACCCTTTCCTACACATCAGTGTGTGTGTTTTAAGCAAATAATAATTAAATGCTGTTGTTTCAGAACATTTCATCTAATGTGCATGTAGTAGCTGTTGATCTACCAGGTCATGGTTTCTCTTCTAACCCTCTTAAAGATGATGACATTGGTTTTAAAGGCCAAATCAAACGAATCAGACAGGTAATAAAAAGAACTAATTTTGTAATAGATTTTTAGAAAGTTCTTATTTTAGTAATGTTACTATTTTAGTATACACTTACTTTGGGCTTTAGGTAGCTTAATATTGTTTGATAAATTGTACATTTAAGCTAAATTTTAAGACAGGTAAAATTAAAATATGTTATGTCTAATCCAATAACCAAATAATAAAAGAAACCTAGTCTGAAAATGTGATGACTTTCAGTTTTCAGGCTTGATTTTATTATAATTTGACCTTGAAGGCAAACAAAAGTACCCAATTACCCAAATACTTTCCCAACATAAGGGAATTAGGAAAAAAATATGACTTTTTATATCCATTTTCATAACTCAGGTAATTTAGTTGCATTACTTGAAAACTAACAAATGCCACTGCTTCAAAAAAAAATAAACATTGATGCTATGACTATTTTAGGGGACATGTTTCAATAGACATGTTTGGCCTTAGGTTATTTATTTATCATCAAATCATATTCTACCTAAATAAAACTATAATGTATAAAATTTCTAACATTTGTCAAATGAACAGTTTTTAGATGTAGTAAATCTGTCAAGTCAGCCCCTTCATGTTGTTGGTGTATCAATGGGTGGAACCCTGGCTGGGCTGTTTGCTGCTGAGTTTCCTCAACTGACTGGATTGGTCACTATTACTTGTCCTAGTAGTAAGTTTTTGTTAGCAGTGAAATCACTTCTCTTTTTTAAACATTGATTTTTTTTTATCTGCTCTCATTACTTTCATATATATGTTATAAATAAAAGACTGATTTTTTTTTTAATCAGTGAAAACACCAGTTGAAAGCCGTTTGATTAAGCAACACAAAAAAATCATCCTTGAAGAACATGGTGGTCAGCTAACATTAGATAATTGTCCAATGTTGCCACAAACTGCAGAAAAGCTGCAAACTATGCTGAACATTAGTCATTACTACTCTGTCAAGTACCCTTTGCAAGTAAGTGTTAGAATACTTTTTAAGATCTTTACACACTATTTTGACATAAAATAACAAACTTTCAAAGTTTTAACTGCAGTAGTTATAAAATAATACTGAATATTTATTTTTTCTGTACATTTTCAAAGATATTGAAAGGAGCTGTAGAACTAAGGAAGAAGAAAAACTACCTCTTTTTACCATGTGAGTGAGATTATATGGCAAATAATACTAGTTATACAATATACAACGTCAAGAAGGTTTAATCTGTAATTTTATTGACTTTTTCAAAGCAAATAATTTTGTATTGATATTATCTATTATATTTTCAGTGGTTAATTTATTGATTTCTGAAGAATCCAGTGAAATGCTGGAAAAAAATGTGCATAAAATTCTTGCACCTACCCAGATTATATGGGGTCAAGAAGATTGGGTTAGTGCTACATCTTTACTTTTTTTTTTAATTCACATTTAAAATATTTTAATTTTAGCATTTTTTAAATTAAAAGTATTTTGTTATATTTTTAAGTATATGCATAGCTTATACATATTTAATAAAATTTTCTTCCTATTTTAAATTAAGAATATATTTTTAAAATTTTTTCTTTCAGTAATACATACCTTAGATGTAATAATTACCTACATTATTTAATTTCTTCCCCCTTCTCCCCCCAGATTATGGATGTTTCAGGTGTGGATGTGCTAAAGGATAAACTTCCAAACTGTAAGAGAATAGATATTTTGAAAGAATGTGGTCATGCTGTAAATCTCGACCAACCAGCAATTGTAGCAAATATCGTTCTAGACTTCTGGAAGCAGCACCAATCACTGAGAGAAAATAATACGAGTTTTACATGACATCATTTTTTTTCTAATGCTCCTATAACGACACAAGTGTCTATAATTTAATTACCAATTAGTTATTTATAAGTATAGTTATTTATAAGTATTCAGTTCATTATGAGTCAGTTAAGTATTAATTTATAAGTATGAAACTGTCACAAGAAACATACATTTTTATAAGTTTAAGTTTTTTAAAATTATAATTTTAAATTATAATTTCATATTTCAACACCAGATATATCTACCTGGAAATTTTCACATTTAGAAAGTTATATTATATTTATGATATGTCTAAAGTGCAATGCCTGGGTATAATATACTAAGTCATACTGCTTTTATTATATTTTAACAGATTTAGTCATATTTAGTCATAACAGCAGCTTTATAAAAAGAAATAAGAAAAATTGAAACAGCTAAACATGAAACAAAAGGTTGCCATGTTTAAAATATAATAACCAGTACTTTTAAACTAGAGAATATTTGAAAAAATAAATGCAATTGACATCTATATAAATATTGACATTGAGGCAGCAAACATTTGTTCTTTAAAGCTAGTTTTCAAATAGGTTTTAATCAAAATCTGTTCAAGCATTTAAATTCTTCACAATTAGCAACTGCATTGTTTTTTATTCTGTATTACAAGTTTACATTAAATACTGAAGTAATTCCAAAAGTTTGTAAAACATGTTTACTACCGTATTTATACTTTTTGTCCTCATTATTACTATACAGATACATTTATCTTTATTGCATACTACCATTAGCTTCTGTGAGATTGATTATCATGTAATTTAAATGATGCACCTTTCAAGGTTTTTTACAGCATGTGAACCTCTAGAACATTTTTCTAATGTGAACTCTTTAAGGAATACATATATGAGGCCTTTGGTCTGACAAGGTTTAAATTCTACTACTTAATTCTGATTTAGTAGGTCTTTTATACTATCACTTAAAAAAAATTCTTTGTAATTATCTCTTAAAAATTATTACACACATTTATTTAGATGACAGCTTTTTGTAACTATTCTGTATAATCCGGTGAGTTTCTTGACTTAAGATCTTAATCATCTGAAATTAAGTAGGTTATTTCTACTATGTGATACTTTGCTAATTCTTAATGATACTGCACTACTTACATATTTGTGTTCAGGTCACTTCTTGTTTTGATAAGCAACCATTCATTCTTTTTTAAGTTACTGCTTCACAGCTCTTATCTATTTGCATAATAATGGTGTAAATGTCCTTATTTATATTGCCCTAAAGACTGAATCTATTTTTTTACTTTTGTAAAGAAATAAATGTTGGTTCTCCATTGTCTTCATTTAGCTGATAAAATTATCTAGAATGATGTTGCTAGAACCAGTGAGCAATTGAGTAATAATTCTGTCAGTTTTTTAAATGAAGAGACAATTTTTCATTTTTCTAGCCCTCTGCAGTATGAGCTGAATTGTGTGTGTATGTACAATAAAATACTGGATTAACTAGTCTGTATTTGCTCAGTCCTAAGTTAATTTTAAATTATGATATGTATATATATATATAGTCATGGTCTTTATTTTTTATGTGTTCATGTGTACTTTGGTATATTTTAAAAAATTTACATAATTCCATTTACATTAAAGGCTTGTATGTTCAAGTGCCTTGCTTAAATATGTACACATGCTAGTTCAGAAAAGTTATTTTTTATTGTGAACTTTACTTATATCTGAGACAATATTTTTTTTTAATAAACACAACAATTAAAGTAGTATTCATAGTTAACAAATTTTCAAAAGAAGGAATAATTTTATAAGCAATTCATTTTCCCTTGGTAAAAAATAAGTTGCTTCAATTTTACTAGATTCAGGTTTAGCTTTTTTTTTACCCACCTGAGATGCTTGGCCTTCATTTAATATTCTGCTCAACTGAAAGATAGGTAATCTTTTTATTTTATATTTTTTAAAGTTTAGAGATCTTTCCACCAGCTCTGATAGTGAAAAGGGATCAAGTTAAATTTGCTTTAAATTGTATCCTTCACCAGTGCCAGCTTAAAATTTTAGTCAAGATTGGTAACTTCTTTTCAGTAGAACAAAATGCATTTTAAAGTTTTTCTACTTTTAGTGCACAATGATTGTATACCTTGGTTTGAGGATCTATTTAAACTTGATTAATTGCATTCCTCTCGCGTTTATTTTTCTGAACTGCACATGGACATATTACTCAGCCAAATGTTTACTTTAAAAAATGTTTTTTAATGTTTAGCAGAAAACCATTTTGAGCCACGTATCAATTCTTTTTCTACTTGTACAATTTTGTTTTTTCTCTGAATGCAGACAATTATTCAACATAACTTAAAAGTATACACTGCAAAAGTTTCAATTTAGTATTTTTTTCAGTGTAATGCTTTTCACTCTTAAAATTGCAGTTCTCTCCTGCTGTGTTGTGTCCAAACTTTATTATTTGTATGAGAAATTTTAAAGCAACGTGTAATACATTTGGTTTACTTAAAAGTATTTATGAAGACCAATCAGGTAACAAAATGTATTTGGTTTCTATCTGAATAAAGTTGATTTTTCAATGCCTTTCCTTATTTTACATTTACTGATTTAGTTATATACTTAGTTGGTATGAATTTTTTATTTTAAAATCTTTATTGAAAGTGCGAAGGTTGAATGATCATTTGTTAACTCTTAATAAAAATAATTTTAAAATTGTACTCAATCCTGCTAAAAGTGAAGCCAACACACATTTGCTCTACAACAAAAATAAAGGACTCAGACCCATCTACAAAATCCTTTTTGCAACAAAAGTTGCTAGATAATGGTAATAGAGTACAGAAAGTGACAGCTTGCACAGAAAAAAATCAATTGTGCAAGCATATCTTATCCACTTATGTTGACAGACCAGCTTACCAATGTTTTTAATAAAGCTACCCCTCAGATAAGTTTCTAGTAACTACTGTCTAAAACACATTTTATTGAGGCTTTTTAAAAATTTCAAAACCATACACATCTTAAAACTATTCTAAAACTAAAACTTTTAAAATTAACTACTGACTCATTTCTACTTAAGGGGTAGTTTGTTACCAACTGTAACATGGCCCAATTAAAATAGAAAATGTGAACATCAATTGGATATGTATCCAGACCCAAAGAAGCAATTTATATATTTAAAATTGCTTTATTTTGTAAAAATTTAATTAAGCAGTATTTAATTTTTATACATTATCATAAATAAAACTATTAAAAATTATTTGTTTTCATTGAAATAGGTTATTGCTAATATACTCAGTTCTAAATTAAATAATATTGTAAAGTAAAAGCTTAGAAATATTTTATATTTATTACATCATTAAATACCACACATCTTAATTTTGCATGTTTCTGATACAAGTTTTTGTATTTAAAAATATTGTTGCAATTAAAAATTAATCCACAATTCAATGGCAAGAAATTTAATTGCCATAGAGTATAGAGCTTTTTATTGTTTACTATTTGGATACTACCCCAGATTTCATTGTAATATGTATACATATATGCATGAATGTAAAGTTTTCCAAGACTTGGTTTGTGTTAGCTTTATCTTTAGTCTTCTTTTTAGTACAAGTATTTATGTTAAAGTTTCATTCTCGAGTTAGGCTAAAGTTTTAATAGGGTTTCTTTAGTCACAAAGTCAGATTATGATAGAGTTACTTTCAGAAAACAGGATGAGATGTTTGTTTTCTCTTCTTTACTTCATAAGCTAACAAAAATTCTCTAATATGCTTTCTATACAAGGGTCACATATGGTCTTGCCTGTTTAATTAGAAAAGATGTAGCAGATGTCTCCATCTAATGATGTCGGTCCACGTCAATAGATGATTAAGCAACATGAAATATTAATTACCCTGTTATGACCGCACATTGTACAAACTTTACCCTAAGCTCATTTCAAAATGACGAAACTTTACTGAGTGAGGCTCAGAATTTACATAAATAGAATGATTGAAGCTCCATGTTATGCATATATATTAATATTTTAGGTATTTAAATGTATAAATTAGTATGTTTCTATAATTATTTCATATCTCAAAGGGCTCATGATGTCACACTTCCCATACATATGCATTTTGGTGTGTCATAAAATGTATGTATATATATGTGTGTGTGTGTGTGTATATATATATATGTGTGTGTATATATATATATGTGTATATATATATATATGTGTGTGTGTATGTATATATATATATGTGTGTATATATATATATATATATATATATATATATATATATATATATATATATATATATATATATATATATATATATATATATATATATATATATATATATATATATTTGAACAGCAGAAACATTCTCAGCTGTGTCTCATGATGCTTCCACAAAACACAAATTATGTTTCATAGCTAATAGAACAATAAATTACCACCAGTATTGTTTATTATCATTCAAGTCAAATGAAACTATGATAGACAAATTCAAATATTTTAAAATTCTCTTGTCTTCATTTCTAGTCATTCTTACACTCATTATGTTAAATGAAGAATGCTTAGTTGAATAATAAATAAATTATTTTGGAGATATTGATTTGGTTTATCATGCTTCAGGGTTGTAACAATACCTCATAATGATTTTGAATACACCCTACATCATGTAGTTCCATCAAACTTTTGTTTACAATCTCTTATTTATTACTGCTATTGCCTAATGATTTTGAGGCTTAAATCTATTATTTATTTGTAGAAAGTGTATCCTATTCAGTCACTTATATAGAAAAGTAAATTAAGGGTCGTCCATAAATGGCGTCACACTTGTGACAATGTGTGATACAGGGTGTGTGTGTGTGCAAGATAGTGTGACATCACACTTTAGCATTTAAAAAAGTAATGTTAGAAACTGAATTTTAGCAGTTATTTCACTTTGAAAAAAAAAACAGTTTCAATAAATTGTAAGTGAAATTGATTAAAATACAATATGTTGACCATGCACATTCAACAGCATTTTTAGGGAAGGGGGGGGGGGGGGGGGGTTGTAGACTAAGGTGTGACATCATTAAGGGGGGGGGGGTGACAATGTATGACTGTGATGAGGGAGGTAGAAATAGTTTTTAAAAGCGTGATTTCCTTTTGGGATGACAATTTATTGCTTTAATTGAGATATCAATAAAGTAAATTTAAAAACAAAATAATCAATATATTCAATAAGAAAATGTGCCTGCATATGGTTCTCTATAAATGTTACAAAACAACAATCAAGTGCTATCTAGGTTTAAGTGTTTTCTAAAATTCTAATAATATTATAAGTAGAAGTGAATCAATTATTATTACTATTCAAAATAGGACTACATATCAAACAACAATAAATAGCGAATATACACTTGATCTTCTCTGTAAACCAGATACTCAGATTGATAGAAGCTGCTGCTGGAATAATCATCAATGGTTTTTGGTTTACCTTGAGGCACTATAACATCATGGCCATCAAACTTCAGAGTAGTGTCAAATTTACTATCTGGAAAATTAAGAAATGAAAGCAATATTGACAAACTTGTTTTTCAGACAAAATGCCCTTTAACATAATCAAATAATTTTTCAATGAAAACAGTGATACCAAGGCTCAATGATATCCAAGCTCCAAGAACAGCATTTAACCAAGAAAACTAATCTAATAGAACAGCCTTAACACAGCCAAAAACTAATACTGGCTAAGTCATTAAAAAGCACTAAATCTAAATTGTCCACCTAAAATCAACATTGACCCTTGCTCAAATACTAACTGTCAAGCAAAAAATATCAAAACAATATAATATAATACAATGTCTGTTAAATAATACTCAAAATACTTCAAAATGTTTTGCTTTATTTTATTCAAAATTGGAACAGGGAGTAATGAAGAAAAAATATAACACAAAAATGATGCATTATACAGTCTTTAACTATGCCGAACATAAAAGAAATCGTTTCAGGCAAATAAACTATTATTTAGAAATGATTATAGATTGTTATTTATATATGTATATATCAGGGGCGTAGCGAGGGGGGGGGGGGGCGGGGGGTGCGGACCGCACCGGGTGACACCATTTAGGGGGGGTGACACCAAGGCAAAAAATAGCAAAATATATAGAGAAAAACTCGATCGAGGGGGGGTGGGTGCAAATCGAAAGTTTGAGGGGGGGGGGGGGGTGCAAATCGAAAACTTGAGGGGGGGGTGCAAATCGAAAATTTGAAAGTTTGTCCCTGGGAAGGGTCTCTATGCCTCTGGGGGGGTGACACCATTAAGTGCCGCACCGGGTGACACCCGACCTCGCTACGCCACTGGAATATATAGTTTCAAGAACAGTCATTTATGGCTTAAAACATTTACATTAGAAATATTTTTAACAAAACAATAAGGTTATAAGTTATTGAATATATTGAAAGGTATGAACATGACATCATTTCAAAGTCTTTGCAAAGAGATGTGTTAGTTGTTACTAATCAGGTAATCTTCTAAATATATTAATGTTAGATTATTAATTACAAATTTAGGGATATTTTCTTTCACGTTCATTTATTTATGGTCAGGGGTTGTCACAGTTTTTATCTTCTTTTACACTCTGGTAAATGTATGATGCAACTAAACTATTATTATCACTTTTATAATGAGTATGGTTGATTATATAATTCATACATTTTTATGTTTTATCTGTGAGCCAAAATCTAATAGTTTTACATTTTTTAAAATGTCATTATATTTGTTTTATTTCTAGTGGATGTAATATCCATAAACATAAAGATGTAGATTATAATTATATACCCTCAGACTGTACAACCAAAATACTATATGTATTAATATAAACTCTGCCAATATCAACTGTTTTTCAAAATACTTCCCAAAAAAATAATTACACATACCCGGTTCTTGTTGGCCACAAGCCAACACACTATCGTATCCTTTTGGTGCACTAACTAATGATGGCTTGTCTTGTGTAATTTTATGCTGTTTCCCCAGTGCAACTTCATTTAAAAACATTATACCTTTGCCTTGTGCAGGACACACTTTGAAATGGAAAAGATATTTTTGTTAAAATAATATGGATGTACAAAATACTTATTTTTAAAAATATATATATATTTAATTGATTACTAATAATCATTCCATTTAATAAAGATTTTTTAATAAAATTGTTAATTACCAATTTGACAAAAACATGCAATAATAATTTCTAACCATATCCAGCTGATTTATCATTCTCAGATGCAAAGTAGATGCCTTTCCCAACACGACCTCCACTGTGTGGCATAATTCTTAATCCACTTTTTAGAATAGCTGTGACCACAGCTACATTTGTGCCATGCCACAAAAGTTTTCTGTATTCAATATCTTTATTTTTTATAAATCTATCAGCCTGAAAATTAAATGATATTGATATCTTCATTGAATATCTCATTTCAGGCAGTGGCGTAGCTAGGATTTTTGGGCCCCTATGCAAAAAGTGTTAGTGGGCCCTCAGAGGCGCAGCGACCCTTCCCGGCGACCGGGGACAAACTTTCGATTTGCACCCCCCCCCTCAGACTTTCGATTTGCACCTCCCTTCAAACTTTCGAAAAAGGGCCCCTATTTGCCTTGGGCCCCTATGCCTTGCTTACGCTAGCTTTACGGTAGCTACGCCACTGATTTCAGGTCAATTTTGTTGACAGGACTTATATTTAAAAGAAGTATTCATCTAACATAAAAATGAATTTAAAGCCCTATCTGCAACTATAGATTGTTAAGTACCATTTAAGGTTTATTTAACATAAATACAAGTTAACAATTAGCTATTTTTCCTCAATTCTGAACAGTCATGTAAGAGAAGTTTCTAGCAATATATGCTAATGTTTTAAAGCATCTCCCTCTTAAGTTAGAAAAAGAAAAGACATATTACAGTGTTTTAATTTAGTTTCAGTTAACTATGTATGATTGTAAATGGAATTTCATTTTTAAAAAGTTCCACATGTTCAGACTACATACTTCTCCTTCACGATCAACCTCCCACACATCTGTAAGTTTCTGTTTCCTCCAACCACTTGTTCCCTTTGTTGCTTCAAAATAGTTTTTAATTACCTGTTTAAAGTTTAAAATAATTCAGAAATTATTTAGATCTACATTTTCTTTCAAATTACATTCCAAATAGATTAGAAATACATTTTTAATAAGTGGTCAATAAAACATATTTTTGGTGATATAAATGAAAAAAATATTTATTGGAAATAAAGTTGTTTTTTTTATTTACCGCCTAGCAGAACATAATAAAATAGTTAAAAAGGGAGATAACTTAGAGTTAAATAAATGTAATACCACCTAATCTTAAGAAAATTGATTTTAAAAAAAAAGAAAATTGAAATACACCATCTCTTTTTGTGAAAATATAATAGCAATACCTTGAATTCATTGGACTTTTTATCTAAAAGTTTAAGTTTGCATTTTAATAGTCCATAGTTAACATCAAATGGATGAGGCAATGTGCTGTCATTCTGAAAAGATTACCACCAAAATAATTTTGGACTATATTAAACTGATATTTTATTTTTAAAATAGAGAGCTATAAATCCATTATTATTTTTCTCATATCCTAAAGCAATATAGGTTATGACTAATTATTATCTATAGATTTTTCTTTAGTTAAACACATATTTAAATACTTTTTCCAAAAGTTTAAATCCAGTAATTTATAATCATCCTTATGGGAATTATGAATAACTAGCTTTAAGCATCAAAGTTGATTTTTAAATGAAAAAGTAAAAACTTACAGTGTCAGCACTAGCTTTTTCTCTGTCTTTCTGAATGCTTTGTGCAAGCTCAATATCTCCTAAAACCTGAGAGCAATATGTCATAAACATTTGAAAATATTACTTTTTATCTTTTATTATGTCTCTTAAACCTGTTTTGGATGGCTTAAATAGTTTGTATTCAGTACTGGCAAGATTTTTTAACATTCATTGGCAAAACATATATTTAACTAATTTAACTAATCAGTAGACAATACTTTTTACCTTATAAATAAATAATGCTTTTAGTCCTTGTATTGAATCAAATATTTTGTATTCTTTTAAAGTAAACTATCCAAATTCTTGACATAATTTGTTACCTTTTTTTTACATTTTAAGGAACCTACAACTTTATAAAAGTCTTACCGCTAACATATCATACTTTTTCTGAATCATTTCTAAAGTATCAAGAGGTGGAGGCACCGTTCTTCCAACACTATGAGGTATTATTGTGTAGAATGTTGATGAAAGATCTTTTATTTTATTTAAAGACGCTTTATTGTTAACAGCTTCCTCAATTGCTTCCAGAGCTTCAAATCCTATAAATAAATAAATTATGTAAAATATATTTTTTTAAATTTACATAATGACCAATAATTACAACAAATTGTAAATATTATATTAATATGCTTCAATATTCACAATTCTAAGCTAAACAACAATTTCACATGGTAGTCAATTTAAGTAAAGAAATTTATGACAAATTCATATAGTTATGTAAACTTCCAAGTGACACCCTTGAAATTATTTGACTTCATAATCTGCTATAACAAACCCAAGACAAAGAAGCAGAAAATTATCTAAAACTTCAGTTCAAAGTAATACATTTCAACTCAGTTGTGTATGAATCATCTATCAAACAAACATACCTGAGACATAACTGATAAACTAAGTCAATACCCAGCTAACACAGTATGTAATACCAGGGTCGGCCCAAGCTTGGCCCAATGTTGTAATCATGGCCAAACATTGGACAAGCTTACGCCAGGGTACAGCCAAGATTTGTACATGCTTGCATCCCTTGATACCTTGATATTTAACAGTTTTTACCTTGGCTGCCAAGATTACACTGATTTATGTATTCACTGCAGAAATTTTAGTTAAATATGCTTGTTAAACTTAATATATGTTAACTAAAATTAAGTTATCTTTTAATATCATGCTCTAATGTAAACATAGCATCAATAACAGACTACGTTGCATGTGTTAAACATTTTGTTAATCTTTTTAAAATTGTGTGCGCTACTGCCACCGGCCCCCTGTCGCCCATTGTCCCTTTGTTCACATTCCTTCCTATTGTTCGCAAGCCAGCATACTGGTGCTTCGCCATTTTTCTTAACAAAAGACTTTGTATCCAGTCACAGTAAAACAGGTAGGCCCACTGTAGCCATTTTAGTTCAACAGTGAGAAGTAGTATAACTGTATTTATGCAGAATCTGGAAAACTCGTATTTTTTTGTTGGAAACTTCAACTTTATGGGCCTAAGTCATCAAATAAAAGTTATAAAAGGTAGTTTATTTGAGGTAATAAAATGAGCCTAGATCTAGTCTACATCTATATATTAATAATACTAGGGTCTATAATAGTCTATATTCTGTTTATTTTGGCATGCCATTAGGCTATAATTACATTTGACAATAATCTCCTTTATGATAGATCTAGATAGATCTAGATTCTAATAATACTAAATAACTAAAAATCGTAATCAGAGGGCGGTTAATTTTGACAGCACTTTTTTTTTGTATTGAAAAGTATGCAAGTACGTTTGGGGTTATATTGATTATTGATAGATCGATGTATTTATTGGTTTTCAACTTTAGGTATAATTATCACGCACAGGGGAAGGGAGGGGGGCGTAAATGTTTATAAATTAATAAATAATCATTCACTTTAACTTTAAAAAAAAACTTAATTTTATTGTTCTAGGCCTATTTGTGTAAGGATTTGAAACTGTCTTTAATAATTAATTCAGAGAGAGAGAGAGAGAGAGAGAGAGAGAGAGGAACAGTAGACACAATTATAGAACAAATTTCTACATGTCAAACAAACAGTCACAGTGTATTTTGATAGGTATTAATTTTGAAAAAAAATTAGTCAACTAGAATTCTAAATTGATTCAAGATTGTCATTCAAATTTCTATTACTGTTACAGCTCCCTATGGGAGAATAAGATGTCATCATCATCACTCCTTTGTGGCCCCTGGGGAGCAAAGGGCTGCAACCACACATCTCCAGCGGACTTGGTTTTGGGCTGCTCCTCTAATCTGTGCCCATGAGAGCCCAGCTGTTTTCGCCTCCTCCTCAACCGTTCTCTTCTATGTTTTCCTTGGCCGGCCCACCCTCCTTTTTCCCTGGGGATTCCAGTCTAATGCATGTTTTGATGAATAAGATGTAAGTTGTGTAAATAGTAGTGTGGAGACCTCAGAGCAACACTTATTTCATGACCAACAGCAATAAGATGGTACTATTAGTAAGCCATACTTAATGATCAACACTACTCATATTATCATATAGAGGACAGAGTAGGCAAATGGTTGAGGACACTATTGCTAAACATGAAGCCAAGTTAGTAGTACATTCATCAGTTCACCTAAGTCTGATATATACCCAATTTAAGACTATGAAATAAAAAAGGTGGCTAGATATAGTGTTGACTACACAAATCCTTTATTTACAGAGATCAAATAAACAGAGATACTTAAAAATTAGTATCTAATCTGGCTATCATTTATTGTATCACTCACTCATTTTATTATTATATTTAATAACTAAGAATCCATTTATTTTCAGGCCTCCAGGTGTTGTGTATATCAATCAGCCCACTGGAGATATATCAATCTTTTAATAAATTATAAGGTCCCCACTGCTTGATACTTCACCAAATACTGGCTACACCAGAAAATGACTAAATGTTCTTATAATAGATTGACGACAGAAGCCTGTGGTTGTATATAATACATTTAATGGGTCTAACTACATCACGATGGTAACACACAGAGAGGACGAGAGGACGGAAGGAAGTACACAAGGGACATCACTCAAGATAACAATATTATAAATATAACTAATACAGAAGAGTGAGTTCCCTTGACCTCACAATTATTTCAATCTATTACATCCCTTTACCCTTAGAACACAATAACACATCTCTCAATAGAACAATTGATAGTATCCTAAAATCACCAATTATATTGTAACATGAACACTATGGTAGATTACATCCTTACAAACAATGCACAATATGCTACAACATAATCAAAATACAAAACAATAATGTCAAAGTCCTTTTGACCTTTAGAATCATAGGTCTAACTTATTTGGGACTTTGATTGTCCTGCTTGACCTTCTCAGTGGCTTCTGATTTGGTGACTCAAGATTCTGACCATCTGGATTCTCTATCTCAGGAGGTCTAGGATTTAAATCATTAACTCCAGAATTTACATTTTCTGACTCCAGACAACTTGGTTCACTCATATCAACAGAACTTGGTTGTGGAACAAACTGAGTTTGTGTGAACTGTTCAGATTTGGTGGGATTGACAGATTCACACTTATTATCTGCACAAGTTATTTTTAACTTTATAAGGCACAGGTCCTGTACCTTGAACAATTTGACCTGGTATCCATTTTTCCTTTCTCCCATAATTTCTTAGATACACATTCTCATCAATACCAAATTCTCTTTCAATGCATGAGTTGTCATGATTTAATGGAACTATTTTTGAATTGGCATCTGGAAGTATTATGCCGTTATTCAGATCCTTGACTGACATAGATTTCTTTGATTGATCAATTTCCTCAGGTAATCTGATAGTGCTTTTTGGTAACCAAAAATACTGTTTAAAAGTAATATCCTGGACAATATCACTTTGCAACTGTGATCCAGCATTTGAAGTGGGTGTATTAAATGGCAAAAATCCTTTTTCTTTTCTTTTGATGTTACCCTTTTAGTTTCTTTTAGTTTCTGTAAGTGCTAATGATGTTAGCAAAGTTGTTTGATGATCACATTCCTTCTTACTAATGTATTCTCTTTAAAACATTTGAAATTGCCATATCACCATAATCATTTATTAAGTTACAAATACTTTGTTTAGGCAACTCTGACTGATAATGGACTGCATCTTCTCCATCTTTTATATTATCTTCACAAAGGGTTTTAATTTCTTATTCTATATGGCCTTAAGTCATCCTTCATAGACTCTTTAGGCCAACCATTTTTACAGTACTCATATACTTTTATTAAGCACTCATCTTTTTGTGTTTCTCTTTTAATATCATTCACATTTATATTGGAGTTATCCATGATAGTGAATAGAACAAATACATCTTCTGGTACATAGCTCAGGCTTTGGTTTTTTAAAGGTAATCTACTAAGACTATCTGCACTATTCTCAGATCCAGGTTTGTATTTCAATTCATAATTGTATGCAGTTAGTGTGATAGCCCATCTTTGAATTCTTGGTGAGGCATGCTCAGGTAGGGTTTTGTTTTCTCCAAATAAACCTAGCAATGGTTTATGATCTGTAAAGATGGTGAACTTCCTACTTATGAAATTTCTTAACACCAAAAATGATGCCTAAGCCTTCCCTATCTAACTGAGAATAATTTTTCTCAGCCTGGTTCAAAGATCTACTGGCAAAAGCAATGGGTCTGTCACCCTTCTCATCCATGTGGGACAAGACTGCTCCTACACCATCTGGTGAAGCATCACATGTTAATATAAGTCTTTTCCCTGGGTCATAGTGAGTTAGTAAGGTGTCAGCAGACAAAGCCTCTTTTGCTGTATTAAAAGCAGCTTCTTGTTGTTTACCCCAGTGCCAAGTTGCATTTTTCTGTAGCAGCTTGTACAGTGGTGATAGTTTACCAGACAGATTTCCTATGAACTTTGCATAGTAATTTATCAAGCCCAAAAAAGCTCTTAGTTGTTGGGTATTTTCAGGTTTGGGTGCTTCTTTAATGGCTTTTGTTTTCTCAGGTTGAGGTCTGATACCTTGCTTGCTTAATATATAACCAAGAAAACTAATTTCTGTCAGCATGAATTGACATTTATCTTTGTTTATCTTTAAACCTTTCTCGCCAACTATTTTCAAGACTTTATCAAGTGTTTTAAGATGTTCAGTGTCATTCTTACCAGTTATGTACACATTGTCAAAGTACACACAAACATTTGGAATATCCTTAAAAATACTGTCCATGACAGCTTGGAAAATTTCAGGGCTAGATGATATGCCAAAACATAGTCTTTCATATTGGTAGAGTCCTTTATGTGTGTTTATTGTCGTATAGACTTTTGAATCTGGATGCAGTTCTAGTTGAGTGTAAGCATGACTAAAGTCTAATTCAGTGAATTTGTCTCCTCCTGCCAAATTCAAAGAAATTTCCTCAATGTTAGGTATAGGGTACCTATTTAGCTCTATTTGCTTATTCAGTGTAGTTTTATAATCTCCACAAATTCTTATAGAACCATCCTTCTTTAACACTGGCACAATGGGTGTCGCCCAATCGGAATAGTCTACCTTCTTTATAATGCCATTAGATTCCAATCTACTTAGCTCATTTTCAATTTTATTCCTCATTGCATAAGGTGGAACTCTAGCTTTGCAGTATTTTGGATTTGTGTCTTTAATGCTTATCTTCACTGTTCTATCATTTAGTAATCCTGGATTACTAAAAACACTTTTATTTTCAGATATAACTTTATCTAGTGAAGTAAGACTAGATTCTTTTCCATTGTTCAATGAACAAATACTCTCCCAATTTAACTTAAGATCACTTAACCAGTTCCTACCTAGTAATGGCGGTCCATTTCCTTCAACCACAAGAAGAGGAAGTTTAACACTTTGACCATTATAACTTACATGAACCATACACTCTCCTATTACCGGAACATTGTCACCAGTGTATGTTGTTAGACACTTGTGACATGGCTGTAGAGGCACTGATCCTCCTGCGACAGCGTCAAAATCTTTCTTCGTTATGACTGTTAGAGGTGCTCCAGTGTCAAGTTGGAAGCTGATGCTCTTACCGTTAATATTAACTTGTACATTGATGGGAGCATGACTTATTGATTTCACAGAGAACAGGCTGAAATCCGGCTGCGAATCAGTTTGAGCATTTTCACAGGTAGAGTGGTTCATTGGTTGGGTTAGGTAGTCTTGGTGAGAGTTAACATAGTGCTGCCTTTGGTTGCGGTACTGTCTTGACTGGCTAGATTTAGCAACAGACGAAGACTTTGCAAAGCAGGCCTTGGCAATGTGACCTTGCTTACTGCACTTATAACAAGTTGCAGACTTGAACTTGCACCGATGAGATGCATGGGGACCTTTGCATCGATGACATTTTTGATAATTATTACTAGATTTAGATCTAGGATTTGAACGAGCAGGCTGTTTAGCATAAGTTGGAATGCTCTGATGGGGTTGATGTTTATTGACTAACCTGCTGTTTACTGCATGGATCCCTGAAGGCGTAAGAGATTTCGCCGCATCTGATGACTGCTGGAATGAAGTTGCAAGTTGTATTGCTTTTTCTAATGTTAGATCTGACTCGAGCAGCAACTTTCTTTGAATATCAGGGCTGTTTACACCTGTCACAAACTTTTCACACAGTCTGTCAGACAGCGTTTCTCCAAATTCACAAAATTCACTTAAATGACGTAAAGCAGCAACATATTCTGATATTGACTCGTTTGGTTGACGAGTCCTACTGTCAAATCTAGCTCTACATAAAAACTTTGATGGGGTAGGCGCATGGTGGTCTGTTAGCAATTTGCTCAGCTCGTTAAAGCTCTTGGTAGTTAGATTAGCTGGTGCGCATAAGTCTTTTAGTAGCCTAAATTGTTGAGGCCCTATGACTGTTAACAAAACAGCTCTCTTTTTGGCTTCTATCGTCACGTCGTTAGCTTCTAGGTAAAAGCTTAACCTCTCTAGGTAATCTTGAATGATTTCATCATTCGCATCAAATTCTTTTATTTGGCCATACAGCGCCATAATTCTAGAAATAATTAGCTAATAAGCTCTAGCAAACCTCTTTTTTGCGTAAGTAGGTGCTCTTTCTAGTAGATGTTTATCCTTCGTCGCCAGTTATAATAGATTGACGACAGAAGCCTGTGGTTGTATATAATACATTTAATGGGTCTAACTACATCACGATGGTAACACACAGAGAGGACGAGAGGACGGAAGGAAGTACACAAGGGACATCACTCAAGATAACAATATTATAAATATAACTAATACAGAAGAGTGAGTTCCCTTGACCTCACAATTATTTCAATCTATTACAGTTCTTAACACTTAACAACTGTAAGTTTACATTGTTTCAAAGTGAATAATAATTTTCATTTAGTAATTTTTGCTTGCATGTAATGATCAGCATGTGTAGTTAATGCCTTTACTGATATTAGTAAAATAATTTCAGACCACAAGCATTACTTCTGGGTCACTCTGAAGGGTCTAATCGTTCAATTACTGAATTGATAAAGTTGATGAAATTGCTCTAAAGTTGTCTGGCACCTTCTTAACTCAGAGACATAGGGTAAGGGGTTTATAATATTTATATAAATACTATTATTTTTTTTATTACCAGGTCTTTTTTTTCACTTTTGTTTATAAATATATGTATATATATATATATATATATATATATATATATATATATATATATATATATATATATATATATATGCAGTATAAGTGTTACCTGGGTAGCATGAACACCCCAGACCACCAGTCTTTATACCTATATAATATATCGTTACAAAGTAGCAAACATGATGTTAGGGGCTTCTTGTTGTATGTTTAGTGCAGTGCAAAATAAAATAAACATAATAAATTTAGTGCAAAATGAGCAGTGTATGGTTGTAATTATTTCATAAATGACTTTTAGTGTGTAACTTTTCTTTTTTAGAATGTGGATGGATTATGACATACCTTGCACAAATCAACAACCAGGCTTTTATTGGATTTGAATCCCAAAGGAAAGAGAAAGTTTGTTATCCAAAACAAACATGGAAAATATCAGAAACCAACAAAACACAAGCAGGCAGAGTGTTATGGACCCAACTTTGGGGAATCTCCTAAAACCAAGTATAAAAATAGAGAGGTGTGGTTGTGTCTCTCAGCTCCACAAGGGTCCACAAGAATGAGGACAACAGTGATTTTCGTAATAATTTTAGATCAGATTTAAAAAAAAAAATTTGATCAGATGGATCAGGTTAACAGTTTAATACATATTGCATTTAAGTGCTTAACGAAAAGAAAAGATGCTCTTACCAAAATAGTCTAAGAACAATGCTGATTTTAAATTAATAAATTGTTTCCTTTTGTAATAATATAATACTTTAAGTTGGCATTGTATGTATGTTTAGTGTAGATTTAATGCCCTAAATGAAATATACAATTGACATTTTTTTCTTTAAAGAATTAGTTGCAAATTTCTTTCATTATTAGTTTCACTGTACAATCTGAAAAAAAGCTTGCAACATTTGTATTGACAATACTTCTGCTGGTGATATTTATTTCTAATTAATGAAGTAAATTAATATATATTCAGTTTACTATAATTAAATACCTCATACTCGAGACAAAAAAACATTTATTGAATATCGCAGTGATATTCCTGTTCTACACAATGCGTATAAACCCTCGAACCATCTGTCTTTTGAAAGATTGTACATTTTGTATACACAATGGCATTCATTTCAACACTATTTAACCACAATTATAATCTAGAGATCCTGAACATATTTTCGTTCTGTTATTTATGGACAAGGCAGACTGGTCCAGCATTAAAATGTAAACCTTAATTAGAATACTTAAACAAGCTATGCAATTAAATGTTGTTAGACAAATATTTTATACTTTTTATTTTTAATGTTATGTTTACGTATCATAGTACAAGACAGCTTCTGTATTCTTGTACAGTAAATTAAGTTTTTACATTAGTTTAATTTAAACTGTAGGCCTGCTTAACATCTGTTACATTATATGAAAATGTTTTGTATATTTGTTTTAATTTGTTTGTATAAAAGTCAAAATGAAAGTTACTACACTATTATTTACATATTCTTTTTCAATCAATACTTTATAGTATAGTTATAATTTTCTTACAATTGAATGGATGGTATAATACAGATTTTAATAGATGAGCAGTTCTTGTGTATGTATTGCTGCTTTACTACATTTTGATTAAAATTTCTTTCACATTTTGAAATTACCTTTGTAAATATTATGACTGATATGAGAATGGATCTTTTTGTATGCTAAAAATAAAAATTTGAGCCAAGATGTAGCCAGGATATAATACAGGATGAGCCAAGGTATAGCCAATATTGGGCCAAGATATAGCCATTATTGAGCCAAGATGTAGCCAATATTGGGCCAAGATGTAACCATGATATAGACAATATTGGGCCAAGATATAGCCAATATTGAGCCAAGATGTAGCCAATATTGGGCCAATATGTAGCCGGGATATAGCCAATGTTGGGCCAATATGTAGCCGGGATATAGCCAATATTTGGCCAAGATCTAGCCAATGTTGGGCCAATATGTAGCCGGGATATAGCCAATATTGTGCCAACATTGCGCCAACATCATGCCGAGTTTCACTACCAACGTTCCGCCAAGGTTAAGCCAATGTTGCACCAAGATGTAGCCAATATTGGTAACCAATGTTTAGCCAATATTGGGCCAATATATGTGTGCTGACTGGGTAGCTTAAAAGACCTAGCTAATATAAATCAGATCAATAAAATGACATAATTAAAAAAGACATGCATCATTGATCAAGAAGGATGTTAAAGTTAATGTTTCTTTGCAGAAACTGTTAAAAAGATGACAGCTTGGCCATCTCCACCTTGCATCTTCCCCACCCCATCACATTATCAAAACATTCATTCTACATAGCCAACAAAACCAGTACTCAGAAACACACACATTCTAAATTTAAAGTGGTCAGGCCACAAAATAGAAATATTTTAAATAGAGAACATAAAATGTAAGTATTTTCAAATTATATATAATGTACCACTTTTAAAAATCAATGTATGTATTTTTTAAAACTATGTAAATAATGCAGTTGTACTACTAAGAACTAACTATTTGCTGCTTTAGATTTAGCTTCTTATTGTAACTGAAAGCAATGGATTACTAGTTTTGATTGTGCTGATTCAATGTAAATAAATAGGCTACATGATTGACTTGAAATAATGAAGCCAGCATTTAATATTTTCTTTGCCATTACATTCTCCCAGAAAATAGTATAAACATTTCTATACACTGACCTACCTGAAAAAAAAAAGTTATTCCATTATGCTAGTAATCATATTTTCTGAGAATAAAAAAATTTATTTACCTTTTGCTATTTGTGCTTTACTTAGCTTTCCTAGAGGCATTTTTTTAGTGTCTATATCAAATTCTTTTAGTGCAGCCTTGAACATATCATTATCAAATATAAGTTTCATCAGGTTCTGTGTTGTCTTATCAAGCAAACAGGGAGCTACAGTTTTGTTGCTGTCATCTGCAATCTAGATGAACATATTTTATTAAATGCTGTTGTACTTATACTAAGCATCTGATTAATATGAAAAATATTTGTTTAAATGCCTTTAAACAAACTTGCTAAAAAAAAGATGAAGGGAGATAAATATGTAAAGCTAAAAATTTTTTCCAAGATATTGAAGATCTATTAGCAACAGTTTACTGTGTTTAAACTTCTCATCATATCTTCTGTCCTGGATACACATATTTTAACAGTGCTAATATCTCAGCAAAATGCTTAAATAATAAACATAAAAATACTAACATGGAAGTAAGGAATTTTAACTATATTAAATGAGATTTATAACAAATACGCAATTATGAGACTTTGAGAGACCAATACGCTAAATTTGAATTAATTAATTAATTAATTAATTATAGATAAAATTGTTTTGACTGAGATAACAAACCTTAATTACAGATGAGTCAACTTGGTCTTCATCTTCATCTCCAGCCATTTCAAGTAAAGTATACTTTCCTTTAACTGGTTTGAAGTTATCACGCTCACTCCATGCATTTTTAGTTTTATCCTTAAATTTTTTTTCAAAATCTTTTATCGCATCTTTAGGATCATTAAGTGGACCTTTTAAAGCATTCTGACCATTTTCTCCCTGAGAAGAATTCATACATTAAATACAAGAAAAAGGAAAAGTTTTTTAAAGTGCCATAATTTACTAGAGAAGTTTTTAAAAGTGTGCCATAAATACTGATTTGACAAAAAAATAAGATGAACATACCACTCTTCCCCATCTATTCCAAGTATAATATTTTCCTCCTATTACTAAAATCTGTATTATGTAAAATTTGTTATTGTTCTGGCCAATGTTTGTCTGGTTCAACATAGCATCATAGTCTTCATAGACCTGTTAAAATATGTTAAAAAATAAATCTGCAAAAAAAATAACCTGTAAACATCAGCTAGCTGTGAGATATTAGTTTTAGCCTAATTTGATGTGCTTCTTTGTCTACAGAAATTTAAAAAACAAAACAAAATTTATTTTAAAAAATTATTTGCGATTGTGCTGTTAAAATGCTGTATCTGTAGACTGTAATCAAATCATCAGAAAAATGGTTTAGCTCCAAAGGCAACTTCATAAAAGACTTCTAAATTTATCATACAGTTTAAACTTTGCAAAACAAAAATGAATCCTTTTAAAGTTTAAACCATTTTGGGATCAAAATATCTGACAGTCATACAAAACATACACAGATTTAAAAAAAAAAAGTTTTAATTGATTTAATTAAACCATTAGCATATATCAGAACCTGTTTTTTTTTTTTTTTTCAAATTTCACTCAAAAATCAACAAACTAAGCATACAAAAACATTAAAACCCATTGTTGCTAATCTAATTTTATAATCGATTTTGGATTTTTAATAATGTAATGTTAATAGTTAATTCTCTTTAGTGGCCTTTAGTTTTAGGTCAGACAGTTCACTATTGCACATTTTTCCATTAAATTTTTTTTTTAAAGTGGGTTATAACTTTTATTAAAAGAACTGACTTTGTGTAATGTTTCACATTTTTATAGAACACTTCACTAAAAACTGAGTTACTGTAAACTTAATCTAGACTCTATTAGTTACCTGAGCATTGTTACTGTTTGGGCAAATTGAATCTGGTTTGTGTTTTTTAACTTTTCCTTTATCTGCTTCCTTTAGTTTAGCTATTTTATCTTTCAATGTATTTGGAGTTATTATTTCTTCCTCTTCCTTTTCATTTTTAGCCTTTTTAGCTTTAGATGAAGTTGCTTTACCTCCAGTCTTTCTTTTAGGTGGCATTATCTGATTATCTGTGAATGCACAACGACAATATATATATATATATATATATATATATATATATATATATATATATATATATATATATATATATATATATATATATATATATATATATATATATATATGTATGTATATATATATGTGTGTGTGTGTATGTAGACCTATTTACAACCCTCTATATACCTATATATATGTGTGTGTTTGTATATAATATATAATTTATAAGTTTGGATAATATGTTGGCTTATATTTAAATAACATACATGTGTATAAATATACACAGGCCTATATATAACTACATGACATCTACATATATATATATATATATATATACAGTGGCGTAGCGAGGTCGGGTGTCACCCTGTGCGGCACTTAATGGTGTCACCCCCCCCCCCCCCCCCAGAGGCATAGAGACCCATTCCCAGGGACAAACTTTCAAATTTTCGATTTCCACCCCCCCCCCATCAAGTTTTCGATTTGCACCCCCCCCCCTCAAACTTTCGATTTGCACCCCCCCTCGAGTTTTTCTCTATATATTTTGCTATTTTTTGCCTTGGTGTCACCCCCCTAAATGGTGTCACCCGGTGCGGTCCGCACCCCCGCCCCCCCTCGCTACGCCCCTGTATATATATATATATATATATATATATATATATATATATATATATATATATATATATATATAATATATATATATATAGGCCTATATATATTATATATATTGAATGTTATTAAAATTAGTAGCTTAAGTAATGATTAATTATTTAGTAGGCCCCATAAAATTTTAGACTATATATATTTATATATTATATAGAAGGCCTTTTATTTTATATATAACGCTCAAATAACATAGAATTATTATTTATAGACCTACCGCTTTCAAATTAAATTAAGCGTGCGTTGCCTAAATGCCAATGGCGTTAATTGGCCTAAATCTCTATATATACTACTACTATATAGATCTAGATCTACTCTATAGTTAATTTCAAATGTAACTGTCACAGATCAAATGAGAAAAATATTACCAAGTCGCGTTAGGGATGTTTTAAATGAAAATGGCAAGCTTCAAGTCGCTACTTGCAATAAAATAATTCAATATCTAGTTTAGATTCTATAATTAGTTGCTTAGTTTGTTGTTTTCCGCGGAGTAGGCCATGGTGACTGCTAGGCTAGATAGATACCTAATACCTAGATCTAATTATTTGTAAGCAATAATGACTTACATCATTATTATGTTTTTAGTAGTAGCATACAATTTCTATCGATTTTTCTGAAAAATCTTCCAACGCCTAGTTTGATCGTTTATAATTATAAAACACCACATTATAGGTCTATTTATTAGTATTTATTAAATTAAAACATTGAACAGTCTCGTCATTACCAATGCAATGTTTTTACAATAAACTAATAAGCACATATTATTTCAATTTTCAAAATATTTTTAATTTTAACTTTTACGGTTTACGCCATTTAATTAGAATCTATTAAACAAGCAATAAATAACATATCTTTTTCTTTTGCTTTTTAGATTAAAACACAAGCATTTGGTTTACACTATTTTTTTCTAGTATAGGTGGGGATCTTGATCTAGATTCTAGATAAATAAAAGGCAAAAGGTCTACAGATTTTGATCTTATATTAATGTATGGACTATTATGCGGGGATGTTGCTTCGCTGATTTCAACTGATTTGGTTGGGGGATAACAACTTCAAAATAGCCTTATATGTTTGGTAACATTCAGTGCAGATGTAGATCTAGACTACAATCTATTTTTTTGTTTTGTTTTCTAAATGAAAATGCTTCAGTCCTAAATATGTAACAATATTTTTTGCTTGGAAAACTACAATAAAATAATCGTTAACACGTGCATAGATAGAGAGAGAGAGAGGGGGAAAAATCCAAGAATATACTGCATATATTTGCGCATGCGCATAGAGTTGGTTGCCATTTTGTCAAGCATCTTAACATCTCGAGTTTTTTCATGAAACTTTTTTGACAATATGTTATTGTTAAATTTCTATATCTAATTTTTCTTTTTAATTACACAAAGATACATATGTAACTGACAATATTTCTATAGTTTTCTCTCAAGTGAATGTGGGTAAAATGTTGTTTTTGCACAAATAGTGAAGGCACCTCAGAAGATTATCAAAGATATTAATAAATTTAATATTAAACACAACTGCCCGCTTTTACAATAAAAATAAAATTGAATCTATTCTAGAAATCTAGTCTATAGAATAGAATCTAGATTATCTAGAATCTAAATAATCATTCTTTAGACCTAGCGATCAACTGTATTCAAGTAAAATAGACAATGAGGGTTTAGACTAGATCTAGATATAAAATAAATATAAAGTCCCAGTAACTCTCTAGGCTCTAGAGTAGTCTAGATCTAGCCAGGCCTATTATAATAATAGATCTAGACTAGTACTAGATCTAGTAGTACTGATAGCTATACTATAAGTATGTATAAAGTATAATGTCTGTGGTAATTTTTTACTAAAAAAAAAGAAATAGGCCCTAGATTCTAGAATGTAGTCTATAGTCACTATAGATATTAGATAGCCATAGGGCCTAGATCTAGATCTATATGTAGTGAGTAGTGTAGTATGTATTGTATTGACTGTATTCAATGCACTTAAATCTAGAAGTCTTTATAGGGCATTATCATTATAAGATAGGCCTATTAAAATAAAATTGAATCTGGATCTAAAAATCTAGATTTAGAATTTTACTTTTTTAAATTATTAAAATGTAACTAATTATTATAATTCATTTTTATTCTGCAGCCACTGTAACTAGTAACTTGATGAAATGCCAATTACTCCAACACCATTAGTTGGTACTTCAGTAAGCCCCATGGCTAATTCCAGTAGTATGCAACCACTTACTCACAGTCCCGTTAATATAACTCCAATATCGATGGAAATGCTTAATAGTGCAACATCAGGTGCCATTGTGTCTCTGCCTTCAAGCTTTTGTTTTCCAAGCAACCAGATGGGAGTAGCTTCAAATGCTGCAAACTCAGGGGCTCAGTTAAATGCTATGTCTCTGGGTTCTATGTTTAGTGTAAATCCAGCAGGAATGTCTCCTCAGTTTGTTCAGCCCCTTACAGTATCACAACAGCAAGCTTTAACCCTGTCTTTGAGCCAGCAGCAACATCAAGGACAAAACTTACCAGTTTCCCACTCCATCACAATAGGACAAGTTCCACAGAACATGGGCATTGTCTCACAGCCTTTGCCTTTGGGACAAGTGGTGTGTTCTTCAGTAGCATCACCAAATTTAAGTTTTATGACACCAACTGTATTTACCATGTCAAACCCTACTGGGCAAAATCAGTATTTGTCAAATCCATATAGTCCATTTCCCATAATGCTTGGAAACCAGCAAAATATATTTACCAGTATAAACACTGCTGCAACATTACCTTCTCAAAGTGTTGAGGCCTCATCAGTTTCTCAAGTTTCTGGACCTAGCCCATTGCCACATATACCTCATTCTTTACAAATGCCAAGCAATCTGACTAATTCCATGTCTCATATAACAAATCATCAAGTATCATTAAGTCAGCTGTCCAGTAACTCCATATCTCTAAGTCAGATTCCAAACACTCCAGTATCTCTAGACTCACAGCCAGTTTCTGTATTTTCTTTCCCGTCACCGGCTATGAGCATTAATTTGCCTGCAAAGTCAGTTGAGATTAATAGTCAGCCATCCCCAGACACAACTAATTCTCATTCCACTGATGCAGTAATTGTTAACAATAGTGTAGAGTTGCTATCAAAACCCGACATTTCTAATGTTGTGAGCAGCAGTACATCATCCTCATTTTATCCTGCCTCAAGTCCTTCGCCTGTTTCTGAATCTAAAGACATACAGACAACAATAAAAAAAGAATCAAGTCCAGTAATTTTGTTTGATGTCAAACCACTGGTTGGCTGTGCACGCATGAAATATACACCTATAGAGAAAGACAATTCCAGAATAACAGATGTTAGAAAAAATCTTGTCAATATGAGAGAAGAGGATAGCTATTTAGAGAATACAGAAGCAGAAAATATTGGATCAGAACTTACGCCAGACAGAGTTACACCAGAAATTAACTTTAAATCACTAGGGATAAAGATTGAAATATGTGATGAACTTGGTCAAGATGATGGAAACAAACATTCCCTGTCACCTATAGAAAGTCTTGAACTTGTGAAAAAAAATGAAAATCACAGTGAGTCAAACACAAAAGCAGACGCCATGGGTGATTTAGCTGATGGTAAGTATAATTTTTTTTTAAACTATTGGAATACATTGATGATTGTGTTTGTATAATTTAGTTTAAAATTTTAAACAGAAGATAGTACTAGAATTAGATTTCTAGCTACAGGTAAATTATAGTAAATATGTATTAATGAAAGAATAGTTGATTTTTATTATTTTATTTATTACAGTGGAGGATTTGGAAGATGTTGAATTTGTCTGGGAAGATTATCTGAAAGAGACTGGCGCATCAGCTGTGCCACCAACTGCTTTTAAGCATGTAAGCTACACTGTTATGAGATTCCATAATAACCACCTAAATTATGGTAGCCTGCCATTACTGCCAAGTATAAAAGAGAGCTTAATGATTTTGAATAATATGTTAAAAATATTTTTGATGTCTTTTCAGACACTAGAGTTTTAAAAAACATTATGGTAATATCCATGTAGGCTGATTGCTGTGGGGTTTTTTTTTAATGTCATCACTAAGATCATTTTGTCTACTTAACCATTAATGTCCCATTCATTCTACCAAAACTCCACCCATGACGGCCCAATGTAAGGAGCATAACTCTGTATGATCAAGTGAATAGTTTCACAAAATATTTGTTTTTGTCTAAATGAAATTGAAAATTAAGATAAAAAGTACTGCTTAATGTTGGGAATAAACCTGGCTTTCCAACAGTATTAAATAGAATATATTATATTCGGTACAAGTACAGTATAAAAATAAAAAATGTCGGAGAAAATTCAAAACAAGTCATTTTCGGTAGTTAACTTTATTTATTTTTGTCTAAACAACTATGCATCGAATTTAACAGTTAAATATCAATTTGGTTACGTTTACGATATATAATTCATAAAATACATGCCTAGATACGTTTAGAGGCATTATTTTATTTTATTTTTAATATTAAATCTACTAAAAATAGGAAAGATGAGTCTAAAATTTCGAGATTGAAAGAAACTATTATTTTTTATGTTTCAAAAGCGCCATTGAAATTAGAAGACCGGAAAAGGATGCTGAAACTATCCGACTTCCTGTTTAGTTAAAAATTAGGATTTGTAGGCCAAGTTTTAATGAAACAAATTTAATTTTTCTATGCGTATTGTAAGCGGGCGGCAGCGGGCGTTACGGGACATTAACGGTGTCGGGCGGCAGCGGGCGTTACGGGACATTAATGATTAAGATATTTTTGCAGGAATCTAGATGATATAAAAAAGAGCTTTAAGTTCCAAGACATTAAGTTTAACATTTCTAATTCTTTTATTAATGTCAGGTTGAAGTAAGTCTCCAAAGTGGTTTTTCAAAAGGAATGAAGCTAGAGGCTCCAAACAAGCATAATCCAAATACTTATTGGATTGCCACTGTCGTTATGACTTGCGGTCCCCTACTCAGACTAAGATACGAAGGCTACAAAGACAATAGCTCAGCTGATTTCTGGAGTGATCCTATGACATCAGACATACATCCAATAGGATGGTGTGAGGTGAACAATAAAACTTTGCAGCCACCAGAAGGTAAATTTTAACTGCTAAGTTCTAGAGTTTGTCCCATTCAAGTAATGGTGAGTGAGAGCAGTGTATCTAATAGCTTTGGCTTGTTCATGTTTTTCAATCTTCTCAATTTTTTTTTTAATGATGGAAATCAATTTAACACAGCCATAAGAATATATTTTAAAGCAATGATTGTATAAATTGTAGAATCATTGCTTCAATACAGTATTTATAATGAGCTTAAATTATCATTTAACAATATATTAACAGCACTTCAAGAAAAGATCCCAGACTGGCATGAGTTTCTGAATGTTTGCTTAAAAGATGCAATTACTGCTCCGTCATATCTTCTGGACAAGGTATAGGTTTCATTAAAAAAATCACAGCTTGTGTTGAATGATTTTCTTTAAGTCAGACATTTTCATGAATCCTTTTTGCATGTTTTTAAATAGAATGTTAATGACTGTAAAAATTTCTTTTAAGTCCACGGGTGCAACACCAGTAGATCAAATTAAAGAAGGCATGAGGCTGGAAATTCAAAACAAGACTAGACCTGACAAGGTTTGGCTAGTTAAAATAGTTGAAAACATCGGAGGGCGACTTTACCTACGTTATGAAGGTTTGGAAACAGCCACTCATGACTTTTGGCTTTTCTATCTAGATGAGAAGTTACACCCTATAGGATGGTGTAATCTTTCTGGATATGAGTACCATCCACCTGAAGGTTTGTTTTAGCTAAAGGAAATGAATAATATACAACAGTTTACGATTGTTATCATAACATTTACAAAAAAAAATTTATAAGTTTATAAATAAAATAAAAGTTATCATCCTTACTAAATTGCGAACAATTTTCAATTTTTTGCCAGTGGTCATAGAAAAATCTGGGAAATCTGAAAAAGAACTTTCAGAAGTTCTTCAAGCTGCTCTGGATGATGCAACTAGTCAAAAATTACCTGCTGATATATTTAAAGTAAGTAAATATGTTTAATTTTTGTGGTATTTTTCTTTTTCTATAACTATAATATTGTTTTAAATGACTTTAAAAAAATGAATGTTTCCATGTTCTTCAGGATCAACCTACAATAGAAACTCACAATTTTGAGATTGGCATGAAACTTGAAGCAGTAGATCCTACTAATGGAAACAGTATATGTCCATCCACAGTAATTGATGTAATAGATAAGAAGTATTTTATTGTTGAAATAGATGATCTTAGGAAATCAAACAACTTGAGGAAAGTTCAATTTTCATGCCACCGCAATACACCTACAATCTTTCCTATCAACTGGGCAGTCAGTAAAGGGATCAAATTAGCCATGCCACAAGGTAAAGAATGTGATTCAGAGTAAACTACTTTTATTCCACTTACATTTCTTACACAATGTTCCTGAAATATTTACTGCTGTAGCATTTACCACTTACAGGAGGAAAAAATGTTTTTGAAGATTATTTAAATTTTAATTTATTATGCTTTCTTTTTTAAAGGGTGGGATCAACCTGACTTTAAGTGGTCTGATTATCTTGTTGCATGCAAGGCAGTTCCTGCTCCTGGAAATCTTTTTAATATGGTACTTTGACTTTAAAAAAAATAATTTTTAAATTGTTAAGCTGTTTTGCTATAAAGATATGTTTATTAGCTTCAAAATGATGAAAAATGAATGCAAATTGTTTTAATAATTTTCCACTCTTGTTATTCAGGATTTGCCTGAACATGAGTTTGAGTGTGGAATGAAACTAGAGGCTGTGAAACCAAGTCAACCTTCTCAAATATATGCTGCCACTATAACTAAGATAGTTGAACATCTTATGTGGATTCATATAGATAGCAGCAAGAGAATGATGGATAGTCATGTTGAGAGTGTTAATTCTTTTAACCTGTTTCCCATTGGTTGGTGTGTGAGTAATGGTTACCAACTAAAACCTCCAGGAAGAATTTTAGGTTCCTCACCTTCAAAAAGACGCATAGCTATTGTTCAGCCAGAGTAAGTTTTTTTTTTTCAAAATATTTGTGATTTTTAAGGTTTTAATACTGACTTTCAATTATATTATCTTAAAAAAAAATCCTATTTAATATGAGAAAAAAATTTCATTTATTATCCAGACTGGCAGATAATCAAAAAACAGACTATCAAGTACATAGCAGTACTGGAAGAGGTATTTATATTAATTTAATATAATCTTTTTGTTTTTACCATTTCTAATGCTTGAAAAAAAATTTCAAACCCCTCTGCTACTCTTTTAAGTTTAAAATCTGCTTCTCTGCCTGCTTTTTTTTTCTTTCTTACTTTGGTTCATAATTTTTCTTCTAACTATACCATGTGATAACTTGAGATTTTCTTATTCCTCATTTATCTTCACTTACATCTTGTTTACTATTCATAGTCATTGTTTGATGACCAGTAGTACCTGTATTGCTTCTACAAATTTTTCTTGAGCCTTGTGGTTTCTATTTAATTGTTTCTATGGAATTGCTGTAGAAAGCTAAGGCTACACACAGCTGTGTATCTGGTTATTCTTCAATCAGAAAATTTGTTGTTGTTTTGTCCGATACCATTCCATATTGTAGATCTAATTATTTTCATTTTATACTTTTTTGTGATTAGTTAGTTTATCAGAGTTCACCTTTTATCTTTCTTCAACCAATTATTTAATATTTATCATTTTTCAATTTATTTTTCAGAACTCTTTGGTGGTCCACAAATTTATTTTAATCACAGGTGCTTTTCTGGGCCTTATCTGAGCAAAGGTCGCATTGCAGAACTTCCTAGATGTGTTGGGCCAGGACCAGTAACGCTAGTCATGAAAGAAGTTTTGAGTATGTTGATTAATACTGCATATAAATCTTGTAGAGTCTTGCGTGAACTACAACTGGATGGGAGGCCAAACCCCAACTTAACGCAGCAGCTATTAAAAGCTAAGTAAGTTACTTTATGTTTGTACATTTTCAGATATTGTATTAGTCATAGAAATAGTTTTTAACATAGAGCAATAAGGATTTTTCAAACCTGTATGTTAATTTTTTTTAGATACAAAGGAAAAAGCTACAGAGCCATTGTAGAAATTTGCAGAACAGCTAGTCAATTAGAAGATTTTTGCCGGCACATTTGTATGAAATTGGAATGTTGTCCAAACTTAATCAGCCCTCATTTTGTCAATGGAAGATGCCCTGAGAACTGCGCACAGCTGACAAAGACAAAATATAGTAAGCATTATTTTTTCCCCTACTGTTTATCTTTTCAGTACGCTCATTGCATTGGGAAAGACATGGCAACATTCAATTTCAATTTTTTATTGCTTGTTTTATCTTTCTAATAGCTTACTACTATGGAAAAAGAAAGAAAAAGATTGGACGGCCCCCAGGGGGTCACAGCAACTTGGAAAATGGGCCAAAGAAAACAGGAAAAAATAAAAAGAGGAAAAACTTTGGGCTGATCGGCAGTAAACGCTCAACCCAACCATCAGTTCATGATCATGGAGAAAATGATGATGATAAGGTAACTTTTTTACTACATAGTTTGTTATGGTTTTAGTTTCTTTTATTTTGCTGTACTAGATTAACTTACTATTATAAATATATTATTAGATAAGCTCCCACATTACACAAATAATTGAACAATAATTGTGGTTATTAAAAATTTTAATTTCTAAAAATCAATCTTTCACCATCATCATTCAAGAAACTAAACTTGGGTAAGATTTAAATAATTATAAAACTAAATATCTGTATAAAAATCATAGAACTAATTCAAAAATATCTTTTACCAGGCAAGTGTATGTAGTGACACAAAGACTGTGGACAGCACAAGTACAACTGGCTCTAAAGAGAGAGCAGAGAGTAAATCTTCTAAGAATAATCTTAAAAGACGCTACACCCATCACATACCACCACCTTCTGAAATAAGAACTAGAGGGGCTAAACTTCCAAAATACAGTTTTGAAAAACGAACCCATAAAAAAATAATGATTGTTGAAGGATCACAGCAGAGTGTTAAGACAAGAAAAGAGGTGACTTAAAATTCATATACAATATCTGTGTGCATTTTAATGCTTTAATACCACTGTAGACTTTATAGCACTGGCACTTATCTGTAAGTCAAAAATAATTAAAGCTTTAAAGCAGAATTTACTACTTGGAGCTGTCAGTAGTCTCAGTAGATTGAAGAAAATTTCAGATAGGGATGGTTTTTCTGCTGCCTTTACCTATTTTAGTTTCTAAGCCAATCTTAATAATTTTATAATATAGCTTATCTGTTTGTTTATAATTTCTTGTAACTGAACTATAAAGTATTTTGATCCTGCAACTTATTGAATCAAGCAGTCATACAAAATTTCATATACAAGTATATCACATTTGTATTTTTCTGTCAACTTTTGAGTATTATCTCCTGTATGTAGATAACGAGAAGGGGTACTTTTCTCTATTTTTAATCTCTCAAAATCCTTCAGAATTTGATAATTTTATATTATATTCTCATATAACATATTTCAAAACTTTTTGCCTGTGTTTTCTTGAAAAAAAAGCAGTTTTGTTCAAACTACTGTATTTCTATAGCTCAATTTCACTGGAAGTGCCATCCCAGCCCTTACTGTTATACAAGAATATACTAGAAAGTTTAGGGGAGCTCACTTCTGCTTTTTTAATTTTCAACATTTTCTAAAGTTGATTAGAATTAACTTAATCCTTTAGTTTCACCTTTAAAGTTATAAAGGTAAATTTTTATTGTAATACACACTTATGTAAAATATTTTCCAGACAATTAAGACATCAAGAATGTTACGAGAATCACAGCAATCAAGTGAAAGTAGTTTTTCTTCTATAAGACCTGAAATGCCAGTTACTTTGAAGTCTGAACCTCCACTCAAGCTAGATAAAAACCCTTTAGAGTGGACAGTTTCTGAAGTTGGGGACTTTTTACAAACAACTGACTGTGCTGATAGAGAATTAGTTGCTCGTCTGAAAACTGAGGTAACATTATTTTTCCAGCAGTTAATGTATTTTGTGTTGGTAAACATAAAATTAGTGTTAATTATATTTTCTTCCTAGGAAATTGATGGTCAAGCCCTGCTGTTGTTGACTTTACCAAATGTTCAAGAATACATGGGGATAAAACTTGGACCAGCAATTAAGTTGTGCCATTTAATTGAGAGAATCAAAATAGCATTTTATGAATCATTTGCTAAATAATTGAGGATAATTTTGTTCATTAACTTGTATACAATTCTGTTGTAAACAGAATTCAAGTTTCTTATTCTGTGCAATGTTTTCATTTTCACTTATTACTATTAGATGTAGTAATAATAAAAGATAATATTGTCAACATCTAGGTTTATCATTTGAGACTGAACACATTTATAATAGTCATTATAGGACGACAAGGTCGGGTGATAGAGCGCTTGAATACGAACCGGAAAGTCTTGGTTTCAGAACCTAGTCTGGACTTGAGTATGAAGGTTCTCCTTTAGTCCATCCAGCTGATGGCTATATGACTCACGTTAGTGAATGTAAAGGTGGCTGGACATAGTGCTGATCACACCATTCCTTCATACGCGAGGTCAAGAAACATGTTTACTTCATCTGCCCTATGGATTGTTAGGTCTGAAAGGGGAAATTTACATTTTTATAAATGTCAATATTTTTATATTTTTTCGTGAACATTTTTGTAAATCAATTCTTTTTTAAGTTTTGAAGAAGCACATATTCTTTCCTTATCTTCTTACAAAAATTATTCACATTTTGATTTAAGATTATTTGGCATTTTGTGTCTTTCATTGTATGTGCTACAAATTGAGAGATTACAATACTACTTTTATGGAATATTCATTTATTTAAATATTATATTTTAAGCTTAAGTGTGCATGGTCTGTGATCAATAGTTGTATTTGACTACATCAAGGAAAGTATGTGAATTTTGTCCCGGTACAGTTGTCAAATTTTCTTCCTTTAACTCTCTGTTGTAATTTGCGATTGACTATTGTAAACTGATCATTTAATGTTTTTGTGATTTTAAATGTTCAAACACAACTTTCAACTAGAGATAAGTTACTGTGGTTCATATATTTAACAGTATAGCTGTATACATTTACTTTTTTCTTAATTGCCCAGTTCTCTAAGAAGTAAGACCTTTTAATTAGCAAATATACAAATAAAACATGCACAAATGTGGAAGAGCTACAAAAATGCGTTTTACCATACCAAATTTAAGCTGAATAAAAAATCTGAGACAAGTAAAAAGACAATGTTTAAAATTTCAATTGACCCACTATGATTCTTAGCAGGGTTTTTAATGTTTCTTTACCTGACCTTAATTTGAGTTGGATTAACCCTGTCAATGTCATGAAATGTGGAATGGGTTGAAAATTCACCATAGAAGATTAACCCTGTCAATGTCATGAAATGTGGAATGGGTTGAAAATTCACCATACAGCTTAAAGAAATGTTTTGTCAAAGTAGCAAAAATGAAATTTAGACCCTATTTTGTGTGCAATGCTAATATATTGAAAGTTTCTATTGTAAATCTGTGTTGTATGGTAATGAGATCATATGTATATATGTAATCAGTATGTGGTAATTTTAAGTGCAATATTTGTTGTTTTTCTTGTAATGTTAGATCTGTGTGCTTAGATTTATATAATTTTGAATTGTCATACCAAGATATAATAAGATGTTAAGAATTTACATAGAAAATCATTCAAATTTTTTTTTCAAACCTTAAAGTATTGAAATCGCTTATCAGAAAGAACTTCAATAAAATAAATAATGACTTAACTAACAAAATATTAACCTTTTGATCATTGACTATCATACACAAAAATAATTATTTCCACTCATTTTTTATTTCCTTACATTTTATGTGAAGGCATAATAGAACAGGTAAATAGGGGAACAGCTGCAGCTGTTTATTTTACTAATACTCAGCTCTTACATTTTAAAATTTGCTATATTAATATGGGGCACATGAATGTTTTAACTATTGGTTACATTTCATACAGGGCTTTTAAGCTTTTACTTTATTGACTGAAAAATAATTTTTAAGAATACTTTAAAGAACTTCAATCAATTTACTGATACAATAATTACAAGTGATATCAATTTATAAATAACTCAATGTACATGCATCTCAAAAAGTCATATCACTTTGTATTGATTTAGTCCAGTGTTGAATAAGTATCAGTATTATTGGGTGCTCAAAAATATCTGATTTGTTGTGATCATTGTTTTTATGTACAGCGTTTGTAAAATGTACCTAATTTATTATACAAGATATGGCAATAGATCTGTTTTGCACTATGTATATAACCATGATACCAATAGTTATTAAAAGAGTTATTCCATTTTTTAAAAATTTTGTGATAGTAAACAAAATCTTATTTCCATTTTAAATGTGCATTTAATTTTAAACAATATTCCATTAAATCTAACATTGAAAGAAATTTGAATGTGCACATATTTATCTTCATCACAGAGTATGCAGAGATTTTGTTTGCATATCCTGAGTTTCATCTTTTCACTTAGTATGCACAGACCAGAATTGTTATCTTCAGAAATTGCAGCTTGCATTCCAGCATTAAAATTGCTAACTATATATTTTTTAAAATTAGGCAAAAAGGTCAATTGTTCCATAATTTGGAATCAAATAAATTGACATTGATTTGTGTTAAAATATGCGTGAGGTTAACCTAGCATCAACCATGCTATAGTGCAACATATTTGTAATTAACAAAATATCCTGCTGAAACCATTGAAACAGTTACAAACTGTTTATGAAGGAAATCAAAACATGAACTAAATATAATTTTATAAAGTGTATTAAGTTATGAAATTCTAGGTTACACATAGGATAAGTCTCAGTAAAATCATTCCAGTTTTAGTGAGTTTAAAAACTGCATGTAAATATTTTTTGTTTTTCACTTCAAGTCTGGCTGTGCTTGATGTAGACATTTTTATTTTACTACCAAAAATATTTGGCATTTGAGTACCAAAATGTTGATCTGGTTAATTTTTCACACATTTAACAAAAAAATTACAACTGGGAATATTTTAACGAGTGCTATTTTTTTCATGTTTCTATATTATGTGCTATTGTTTAGAAAATATGTATAAAAATATATTTAAGAATTATAAATGTGCTTCATTCACATACATTACTGCATTTGAAATTTGGCATTTCAATAAACATTTTGTTTAAATACTTTCATGTCTAATTTCATGCACTTGAAACTGTTGGTTTAAAAATATTTTTTTACTAAAAACCCCTTTGCTTAATAATTAAACAAGCAAAATCCCCTTCACCTTCATTAGAGAAAAACGGTCTTTTGTCAGTTGTGACGTATATGAAATGTTTCCAAATTGTGAAGAATGCTTAAGCCTCACTCTTAGTTTGCCGTATATGTATAGATAACATAAACTCCAATTATTCATTTAGTAATCTAATACTTGAAGTTGATAAACTGCTTGCAAAGTTATTTCTTCACTAGATTTCGCAGTGGATACAGTTACATTACAAAATCTGATGTGTTGATTCACTTCAGTAATTAAAATTTGTAATAGGAAGTGTATAGAACCATTTGAGCTCATTAATTTATGTCATCACAAAAAGTTTTAAATTTAATTTCTAGATCTACATTGTAGTCAAGGTTCAAGGTTTTTTACAATACGGGAGTAAACATTTGTATATACATTTAATGTTTTAATGTGTGCACACCAACAAAAGTTGTCCTTGGCAAAACCACTTGACCCTTTTTACTCTCTAAAAATACAAATATGCTCTTTTAACTATTAACTGTTTGAGTTAATCTATTGTACAGGATATTCCTCTACAATACCCACGCAAGAGATGGGATGGCAGTTTTCTCCTGCAACTGCATTCAACTATTTATTTAATACTCAAATTTAATAGTCATCTTTCAGGTAATCACTTATTTGAACCAAGAAAAAAATTCATTATAATCAATATAAAAAGTAGAATGTGAAATATTGACAAGTGTGAGGTGTTTAGTCTGTTAATATAATAAACATTTCAAACAATTTTGTCTTTAAATCAAAGCTTTCTTAAAATTTATTTCAAATGATCTATAATACATGAGAGCTGAAATAAAAATTATATGACCATATCATTTCACAATACATTAAAAAAAACCCACAAAGCTCACGGTAAATGAAATGCATTTAAATGTATTCACACATTATTAATGTAAAACTTTATGTTACAGAACTAGACAGTAATCTAAATCTTTACAATTTGCTTAGTAAAATGATGTGGTATTTTCCCATACAAGATGACCCACATGGTTCCAAATTTCAGCAATGAAAAAAATGTTCAGAAAATCAATGAAATATGTCATAACTTTTTATTCTTAGAAGCAACAGCTGTTTGTGCATTTTTCTTTGCCTTGACAAGTTCACATAATTCCTGAAAAAAAAATTATTTTTTATAATGTGTGTCTATGTACATATTGACACACACACATACAAAGGGGTCATCCATTTATGAAATCCATAAAATTTGGAATTTTGGTACAGCCCTCCCCCTCCATCATACCAATTCATTAATATTTAATGTGTAAAACTACCTAGCGATTCCAATAACTGCTAAGTGATTTATTTGTGTAATTTGTATAAGTTATCAAATTATAAAAATAGAATCTAGAATGTCTTGATTACACAGAAGCACTCATTTTATAATTAGAGGCAACATAGGTTAAGACTGAGCAGGTTACAAATTTTGCATTTACCTTGTAACGCTTCATGCAGTCCTTTTTACTCCTTGAAGGGATTACAGCTGATATTTTATCCCATCTATCAGTTTCACTGGCAGGATAAGACTTCAGGGCCTGTTCTAAAAGTTTTTGTTCCTCAGCTGTCCAAGGAGCCTGATTAGATCCAGTTTCTCGAACTTGCTGTTCACCAACACCTTATAGAAGGTGAAAACAATTATTAAATAATCTAGATTTTCTTTCTGATATTTAAATTATTTAAAACAAGAAACCTAAGCTTACTTTCTAATCTTTCACTTGGTTTTTCCATATCACCAGACTTTGCAGCTCTATGGCTTTGCTCAAATTGTGCAAATGCATTTTTCTTTACTTCTTCACGAAGTTTCAAATCTGTGTAAAAAAACGTAATAGATTTTTCCATAACACTTTCCTTAAAATAATCAATAATATTTATTTTAAATACTGGAACATGTGATTTCTAATTATGTAGCTAAAGCAATTAAATGCCAATTTATTCCTTGGTGTAGGAACTATCTATTTTAAAAAAACAAATTCATAATGTACATTCAATAACAATTTTATCAGGATTATTCTTTATACGCTTAACATTTTACTTTACTTCCAAACAACAACATAGTTTCAACACCAAACCTATTTGAAACATTTTTTTTTACAGTGAACTGTGCTATATTTAACAGACATGATAAAACATTGTAATTCTCCATAAACATTAAGTCTACACTGACCACTTTTTTGAAGCTCTTTAGCTTTAGATAGGACATCTTTGGCATTTTTGTTACTTCCAGTAACATGCTGACTGATAAAATTTGCTATGACTTCCCATCTGAAAAAAAAAGTTTTAGGAAGTTATAGTTGTACTCAACAGCAGCCAGTTGACTTCACATAATACAACCTGGCAGAGCAAACATGGGATGGAAATAGTTAACCCGTAACAGTCAACTCAGCATATATCTATGTGCCAAGTCAACTTGCTGGACTCAGGTCTATGATCTACAATTCAGGATAACTATATGAACCCTTGTGGCTTATAAATATACATTTTAAAATCCTTGAATGTTAAAATTCTATCTAAATATTAGCACACATTACAAACCTGTCTTGTGTACCAGCTGGAAACAGATTAACAGCCTTAATCAGGATCTGTGTCTCTAATTCTGACCAAACTTTACGGACATTGGTGTTCTCATTTGCAGACTTTTGGGATGTAAGCTCAAAATATCTACGTTTTTCTTCCTCCATTTGATCATTAACTTCCTTCAACTGAAAGTCGTTATTAAAAAAATAAAAATGCATTTAAATTTTTTTTATGTATTCTGATACGGTCTCTTTTGTATTAAGAAAAATTTACCTTTCCCATAAAGGCATCTTTAGCACCATTAATACCTTTGCTGAGACTTTCATTAAGTGTCTGTAAACTAGAAGGAATACAAAGTAAATATAAAAATCACAACTGTTTCATTGTTTTGAAAAAAAGCAATGTTTAAACTCCAGGAATTCAAAGAACTGAGATTAACTTATAGTTTTGAAACACAACAAAAATAATTTAAACAAGCAAAATAGTTTATAACAGAATGGCCAAACAAACTTTGAAAAAATAATCCAGAATTTTTAGGAGTTTGTAAATTGATTAGAAGCAGGTGAATATTTTTAAAATTCAATTATAATGAGATAATTTTAAAATAAAAATTTCTTTTGTTGTTATTTTTCCCAGTTATTTGTTAATGCACATAGAATATTAAAAATACTCTTCAACTATTAGACTACTTAAAAAACTGACGATTTCAAAGAATTAAACTAACAAAATTACCTCATATTTGCTATTTATTTCAGTTTAAGTTGGTTTAATTTATTTTGGGGAGATGGGTATACTAATGCAAATAAATATCTTTTCAGAATGATCTGTCAAGTGGTTTAACAATAAAATATTTTAAAAGGTTTTTTTTATTTATAGTAAACTCACTTTATTAAAGATAACACTTCAGCTATTCTATCCACTTCTTTCATCATTAAAACTCTCTCTTCATCATTTGTAGCAAAGTAGTCATATTCCTGAAATTGATCAATATATTAAGCCAATCTAACAGTATTTGGTTAAGTTGAATAATATTTACTCAAATAAATGTGTATGAACATTAATCATTAAATATTCAGTTTTGCTTTATGAACATTTATATACCCTTTTCATAAAACTAAGCTAGTAAAATGAAATAAAAATGTAGTAACATAATTAATTCAAACCTTCATGTATGCTCTTAGAGCTTTTCTTTCTTTTTTAAACTGCTTCTTCAAGGCTTCTTTTTCTTTCCTTGCTATGACAGCCTTGACAGGAAAAAATTCAAAACAGTCATTTGCATTTGTGTTCTGCATTAACAGCTTCCAAAAAATATTGCATATGTTATAAAAAAGAATTGTAATTAAAGACAAATTAAAGCTAATTCATTAATAAATTCTGATAAGTGTAGTACCCACATCTAATGGTGAACCTAGAAGTTACACCATGGCACCAATTTTGGTGACTTGTGTTAAATCAGCACTGAGCAGAAAACAGTATTATGTGTCTATTACATATGAAAATCACTATTATATATATTATATATAACCACCACAATTGGCATTCTACTTAAAAAGTTAGCAATTTATACAAGCGGGCATAATTGATTTGGAGATACCTAACCAATCGGTGTATAGTTTTAGTGTATAGATTTTATATAGTTATCAATGTTATATCTGTATGTGTGAATACTGTTTTTCAAACCTGTGCTTTTGCTTCTTCTTCTTCTTTTTCTTTTTTTTTGCGTTCTTCTTCTAAAATTTCTTGTCGTCTCTGATGAATTAATCAAACAAGACTTGTGTTTATGGCATAATAAAAAATCATGGCTATTTAAAATGTCAATGATAGATTACAATTAATCGCTACCTTAAAAGGAAAAAGGATCTCCTTGATATTAAATTTTTAAAATAGTTATACAGTAGTTACTCAACATACAAGTGCCCAGAATTTTTGGGGTATGATCTGTCAAGCAAGCTAAAATTTGCTTTGACATATGAGCAAAATTTGAGATACGAACAACCAAATTAGAGGGTTTATTGGAGCTATTTAATGACACATTAATGAAACATTCTGGAAGGGAGGAAAACAAACTACCTTGGACAGGTTTATTTTAAAGGCCTACATGGAAAAGTGGTGAAAGGGAAGAGTACTTTAGAGAAAATCGCTTAACATTATACAGTAACATTTAGTAGAATTATTTTTGGTGAAGTTCAAGTTCCATTAAGTTTAGATATAATGCAAAGCATTAAGAGTGTGACAAGTAAATGAATTAAAGTGAATTAAACAGCTTAGGATTAAGAGTGGGTAAGTGAAACTCCTCTGCCTTTCTCCTCAACCCTATACCTCAGTAAGCCCAAACAGCTAACTTTCAGGGTAAATACACTTTATAAAACCAGTTTTTTTCTTTGCATTTTCCTAAATTATGTTATTAAACAATATTTGTCATGTAAAAATACACTTATTTAAAAAAACAGGTAACAAAAGTAACTGCATTTTGTGGCTGAAATAGATTAATGGCATTTCAATAGATTTCATAGGAGAAAATTACGAGCAATGTAACAGAACGAATTTACTTGTATCTCAAGGTACCACTGTAACTTATATAACCTATATCTATTATTAGTTATATTTGAATTATTATTCTAACACTTACTCTTTCTTCTTCTTCAACTCTCTGCCTAGCTGCTTCTTGTTTAGCTCTTTTAACAGCATTTTTCCTTTCTTTTTCATCCTCTCTAAACTTTATAATTCTTGGATCACTAGCATAAGCATTATCTAAAAAAAATGTACATTTAAAAATGCATTGTTACTCTGACACTTGTGATTATATATATATATATATACACACACATATTCACACTTTTTTTAGATTAAAAAAGACATACCAACTAATTGTCGTATTCTGACCATTTCTTCTTTTTTGAGTTTCTGGCGAGCAGCCTTGTTTTGCTTTTCTATCCATCGCCTTTCCTCCCGGCTATGGTAATAAAACATTTTTTAACATTTCTTTCCAATTCTATGTGCAAAAATGTTGATAAGTTAAAATCTTTAGCAATGCAATTTGTAAGAATTTTCTATTTTCTAGCTGTATATGAGAAACAAGTTTTAATCTCTTCATTGTAAACTACATTTGACATGTTATAATAAGAACAAATAAACCATAACATAAATGCTTACTTTTCTCCCTTTTCTTTTTCTTCCTCATCCAGATAAGAAAATTCTCGCCATGAGTCGAATTCATACCTAAACAAAATATAGTTTGTATTAATATTATAATCATTAAAGCTTTAGTATGAATTTTTGTTCATCAAAACAAAATACAGGGGCATGTTAATTAGCTTGCTTTTTTCAAAATAGAAATTTTATAAATTTACGCAGATAAGGCTAATAGTGTAATAGTAATATAAAATAATGGGAAACAATGTAATTGATGCAAGAGTTTGCAATTTATTTTATTAATCTACGTTTGACAGAGTGAGAAAATGTTAAAAAGTTTTTTTTTGCATTAAAATTTTGTTGCATTGAAAGAAGTTAAAAAAATACATTACCAAAATGAATAAAAACTATTGACTTCCTCAAAAGGTGTGTTTTCATCACCAAGTCTTGGTACCCTCTTTTTTGTGGACCATCTGTAATAAATCAATTTATTTTACATGTGTGTTTAGGTTAGATATTGTAATTGTTCAACAGCAGGTTAACTACCTAGCATTTCTTTCAAAGGCAGGCCTGAACACTTCAAAGAATTTATCTTTTACAACAGGAGGAATATCTTCATCAAATTCGGGATCCACACTATCAAATGAACGTCGTTTTTGCTTGTTTCCGAGAATTTCGTAAGCTGAAATATAAAATACTTGAAGGTAATACATTAACAAATTTTCAGTAGTAAAAAATACAAAAGTAATTAATTTTAAAAGTTTATAATAAATAACTTTTATACATGCGCAATAAAAAAAAATAAAAGAAAAGTTTTTTCTTTCAATATATCATAATTTTAATTAATTACTTTTTAAATAACTATAAAGAAATGCATTTTTATTTATTTAAAATAAATTATTTAAACATCTAATTAAATGGAAATCTTATGTCACAAATTTTATGTCACATTTGATTGTCATCAGGTCTTGATCTATGTGGCAAGTTTTTTTTTGATAAACTGACCAGTGTAAGTGGTTTGAAACATTAATAAATTTTTAAAAGAGAATTATACATCTAATTAAGACGAATTTTATACAGCATTGTCATTGAGGTTAGTTTTGAAGAAATCTGTCCAATAGAAATGATCATTTTAAAGAAATCGCAAATAGCATTAAGTACTTGTAAAAAGATAACATATTCTCTCTATACACATAGAATCATAGACTGCTGAGAGCTAACTTAACAAAGTTCAAACAGCAGTGATCCACAAATATATATATGGCTTGATACATACATCTTAAGGTAAGTTATACTTAGAAGTTCATTTTAATTTTATAACAAAACAATGCAAAATTTTACAATTGCATTGAGCATTTTCTTAAAAATAATATTTGAAACTAATACTATGTTGTCAAAAAAGTTGTGAAAGCATTAAAATTATATCTAAATGCAACTAAGCAATAGTTTCATTTTTAACTTATAAATACAATAGTTATAATTAACCTTTAGTAATACAAGTAAAGTAATCATCATCTCCTTCTTTCACTACTTTCCCCCTGGCTTTTCTTTTATCAGGATGATGGGTAAGTACTTTTTGTTTATCTGAAAATACAAGAAGAAGTAATGAGTTATGAGATACAGAAATAAAACTATTTAACTTAAAAAAATAGTTTGTGGACTATTCTGGTGTAATTTAGTAAAGAAACTACCAAAACTATTTATTAAATTTAAATATGAAACAGCTGTAATATTTACAAAATGCTATACAACAAAAAATTACAAAAGAAATATAAATAATATAAAAGTAGATACAAGCTATAAATATGAAAAATTAGTCACTATAAACATTAACTAATTAACTCACAAGCTCTTTTGAGTTGATCTTCTGATGCTCTGTATCTCAATTTGCTTAGCCCTAGAACAGCATAATGATCTTGTTTCTGCAAATGCATCATAATATTTGAAAATAATTACTTTAATAATACATTTAAAACACCAGAAATAAAAGGATACAAAATATTAAAACCGAATTATTTTAGTAGAGAATGAAATTATCAAACCAATTGAATTTTATATAGGGAATAGTCTAAAACTACAAACTAAATCCCCACCCTCTTATACTGTTATAACATTAACAGTGAATACCTTCCATTCTTTTGGGTCTAGTCTTAAAAGCAATGATTCGTCCTCTTCATCAAATTGATCTTCCTCCTCCTCTTCTTCTGATTCACTAGAACTACTATCCAAGGAATGATGTGAATGTGAATGGATACTATGAGCTCTTCTATGATGAGCCTCAAACCATCGTCCAACTGGCTCGAAGTCCAGGGAAAGTAATGCTATAAAAACAAAAATAATGCAAAATTATTATAAAATAAAACTCTAGTCTATAACACTAACATAGAAATATTTAAAATTGTATGTTTCACCTCAGAAAATTATTAAATTTAAATTATAGTTATCAGTAATTTTTTAAATTGACTAATGATATTTTTTAAAAACAGTTTTGAGATAAAAAATTTAATACTTATACCTGTGTACAATGAGCTCTTAATAAATAAATGTAAAATATATTAATAACAGCTAGGTCTTTAAATAGTTATTGTTTTTTAATACAACTAAATTGATAAATAACAAATAGAAAACACTGACATTAGTTAATGGTCAATAGTTTCATAGGTAGGCTACATTAAGTATTTAAATTTTAACATATAGGCCTACAATATTTAAAATCTTACTTGATATACTGCCAAAAACAGTAGTCACATCATTGCTGTCTGGTATTATCTTCATCTGGATACAGCTGGTTCCATTCATTTTCTTTTTTTATAGCTTATTAAGATTACTACTGTCACTGCTCAAATTAAATACTAATTGGGCATTTGCATTGAAAATCTACAAAAAGAGAATAGCACATTGACATCATTCACAGATTTTTTACAAGATAGATCCAGTGGTATTAGTAGCATAGGGCAGCTGAGTTTAGGACTAATGAATTATTTATAAGCTATAAACACAAGTTTTGCTGTTTGTCGTAGTTTAAAGATAGATCTAGATTTAAAGTAGAAATAATGGTTGTATGGTAGAGCATAAGATTGCCAATCCGAAAATCTCAGATGGGTACCTCACTCTAATTAGGGAAAGTACAGTAAAGGCATCTGTAACTAGTCTAAAAAAAAGTCTAAAGTAATTCATACTAAAATAACTGGGTGATATTAGATACCGATAATATACTCTTCCATAAAATAGGTGTGTTGTGTTGTTAGTAGTATTTAATCTCGACTAAATTTATGGTTAGAAACTAATTAGGGTTAGGTGTATGGTAGGACTAGGGTTGGGAACAGGGTTAGCATTGACATCAGCCAGCCATGTGTGCATTTAACTACCAGTGAGTAACCGAACACCCCTTTTTTAAAATAAGATTCAGGAGAATGTTAACACCGGTGTCCGATAATGGAATCTTCTTTAAAAAAGGGGTGTTGTTACTGGTAGTTAACTAAATGCACACATGGCTGGCTAATCACTGATAACCCTGGTCCTACCATACGCCTAACCCTAATTTCATATTTCTATGAAATTAGTCGAGATTACAATACTACTACTAACAACCCAACTGCCAACACACCTTTTTAAAAGAAGATTCCATTATCCGATCATTATCGGACACCAGCATCTATTCTATAGGCCCTATTATATTATTCTATATAACTAAATTCAGTAAATTGACAAATTGAATATTGACTCTCATTAATAATATAATGAATAATATTAATGACTCATTTGTCATTATTTTATTACTCCTATTGAAATTAATAAAATTAAAATTAGGCCTATCCTATTGACTTTTCACTTTGACTCACAATGACTGAGTCTAAATCTAGGCCATCTATTCTAGTTAATACACACTTTTTCCTGCACTTATTTTTTATCTTTGTGTGTGCCTAGATCTAGATATACCTAAGTATTCTAGATGTAAGTTAGTAAATAAATAAGATTATTTATAAATTTAATTATTGAAAAGAAAGATCTGTTTTTGTCTCGAACAAGAACATGCTTAACGTTGGGATAAGGGTAGACAACTTAAGTGGCCAGACCAGTATTCATAAATATGACCAATTATTTTTTCTTTATTTTTCTTTCCGAAAATAGAGACATAAATGATATAATAAATGTTAGTCGATTCTAGATGCCGAATCTAGACCCAGAAGCATTCGCCGTGGCCAATGAAAATCATTTATTTGATAGTTGAAACTATTTTAAAATAGGGATGGGCTATATTATTTTGTTTCAAATTCAGTCTAGCTAGGCCTAATTATTAAATTAAGCTAGAAATCTAGCTCTATACATTTTTGTTTAGCCTCTATTTTGTCTGATCGATAGCCTTGGCAAAAGAACATTAGCAAACCCGAATATTATATATCTTATATATAAATGTAATTAGACTATACTTTTTACTCCGCCTCATTAGTACTCATCATTATTTATGATTATTTTGTCTCTTTTCACAAGTTTTTTCAGGCATAGATCTATATATTTGTAATACTAAAAGCTTTGGCAAAGTCACTTGAAACCAAAGCGAAAACTCGTCGACATTTTAATCTAAAATTGATCTGGCAATTCTATGTTTTTCTGTGTTTTTGAATAACATTTTGTTTAAAGTAACTATGGCGGACAGCCCTTATTCAATGGGAAGTCATCGCGGTAAAATCAAAGATAAACTTAGTAGTAGTAGGCCTGTTCCGAGGCCGCGGAGATTTGCACCGTATACTGTGAGTTCACAGCTTAGCCTAGACTAAACCCCTCCTAGCCCTAACCAATTTTTAAAAAAAACATTTTAAAAAAGAATATGGAAGTGACCGAAGTCACGAAGTGGCTATTCATTCGGAAGTATTCGGCGTGGACCCAGGTCCTAACTTACCGCTATTCGGGCCTGGCATTAAGTTTGGTCAATGTAGATAAACACTTGGGGAGAATGTTTATACCAGTGTCCGAATAATACTTAGTAAATACACACATGGCTGGCTAATGTCAATGCTAACCCTGTCCCTAACCCCAACCCTGATCCTACCATACGCCTGACCCTAATTTGAAACTAGATCTAATTTCTAACCATAAAATTAGTCGAGATTACAATACTACTAACAACCCAACACCCCTTTTTTTTTTAAAAAGATTCCATTATCGGACACCGGTATCTATAATCATCCAACACTTGTATAACTTGTATTAAAATTTTTAATTATAGACCTACTTTCTGTTTATTTGATTTTTCGGTTTACAATTCGAATCGTCCCTAGAGGATTTGATAGTGTCAGCTGCCAACCAATCAAACGCGCGCTTTCTCCGCGTTTTGGCTGGCGGCTGATGTCACGATGACATCACGCGACGCGTTTTTGGAGCTAAAAAGGGCAGAAAAAGCCCTTTTTTCTATGTGTAGTTAGGATTTTTTAAAAATGGGCCCGAAAATGAGACATTTTAAAATTGGACTTAGCCATTTTTTCAAACAAATTTTTCGAAACAAGGCCATTTTGGGTGATTTTTTTATGTAAACAACGGCCTAGGTCAGCACGTGTCAAACCATGTGAAGGCACCCAATCGACAATTTAGGTCACGCATGAGTGGTTTTCATACGTTCTCATGAACTAAATACCAGTTTCTTGACAACAAAATGGAAAACGACAATTGCGTGAAAATAACGACCCTAGAGGAATGGCTTTTGAAGATTATTAAATAAAAATCGGTGTATTGGCTACATGTATTGATTCTAAAGTTGTCTATAATTGACTAGTAGGGCATGCTGAAACAACGGCCTGAGGGCGCCGTTAGCGTGTAGTTTTGCTAAATGTAAATTAATCAGCCTGGCCGCAGATCAATCGCAAACTGTTAAATTGGTTAAATGTGAAAAGCATATTACTTACAAATTACTTCTGAATATTCACATCACACAAAATAATCCCAAAGAAAGCACAAAATAAAATCCTTTAGAAAAGCATCACCATGAAATTTGAAAACCACAGTTTGTCAACCTTAACCAGCCATCTTTGGCTCGATCTAGAGGTCATTCTTTAGCCTACACATGTGTCTTGTCAACCAATTTAGTTTCTGATGGTACACGACATTTAGATCAATATAATCTAACAAACTAACTGAATTCCAACATTATATCCATCTAATCCCAATATTGAAACAGAATTTGAAGCACAATGATCTAACGCAGGGGTCTCCAAACTTTTCAGTCCGAGGGCCGCATTAACTATCGAATTTCAGTTCAGGGGCCAGTTTCTTCCAGGCATGTCACTGATTTTTCTGGGCAAAGTTCCTCAGCCATCACCAACAAAAGTTTTTTCCGTGGACAAAAACATCTCCGCGGGCCGGATGAGAGGACGTCGCGGGCCGCATCCGGCCCTCTGGCCGTAGTTTGGAGACCCCCTGATCTCACGAATAAATCCCACTGTAAGTAAGTGTCGCAGGTTTAGTCCTGGATACCACCATAGTGTGTAGTCGTGTTGTTACAAGAAGTCGTCAGATAATCATATCAACTTTGAAAATGTATTAAATAGATGCTAATTCTTTCATTGAAATGTATAGGAATTTAAATTCAACTAATACGTTTCTATCAAAGGTATATCAATTTTTTTTTCACTTCAAACCAAAAATTTACATTCAAGGAAATTGAGAATTTCATCAAGTATATATATTAAAATGTCTGGGTCACAAAATGGTGCTGTAAACAAAAACCCTGACTACAGCTAGACTCTACCTACACTCCAACTAAACAGTAGTATTAGTAATAAATAGATTTAATTATTAATTCTAGTAAAGCCTAGTATTATTATAATGTTGATCTAGTACATTCCTTGTTATGTAAAAAAGATTGCTGCCTACTAGTAGTTAAAAAGCTAGATCATCTTCAGACACTATGACAGTAGTGTACCAGTTATAAAAACCTTTTAATAATGATATGGCTGCAACATTTAGAGTTTACAGTTTATTTTTTTACCATCATCTTTTCATTTTTATGCACAAGACACATGGGGCCGTCATAGAAAACTGCCTCCATTTTCTGTCTGTCACCAGCAATTTTCCACGACAGTTCTGCCTCCGCCAGCTGCTCCCCAGCCGTGCGCTTACTTGTCTCCCTTGGCCTTCCTTGCTTTCTTTTTCCTTGAGGCCTCCAAATTTTTAAAAGGCTAATAGTATTTCTTTAAAATTGAATAATTAAATTGTTAATTCCTACCCTGATATATCTTGAATGAATAACAGAATAATTTTGGGAAATTTAGTTAGGCTCTTTTTTTTTTTCTGGCAGGGAAAAACTAATTTTTATTTTATTTGTGGTGATCAGTTGCATCTCTACTCACTTTTCATAATTGGTTGGGCTAATTTATAGGTTGCTCAAAAAGAAGCATCTCAAGCTTATGACAAGATTCTTGCAACTCTCTATGGGCATGTGGTTGGTGATGCTGTTGGTCATCTTACAGAAACATTATCTAAAGAGCAAGCATTAAAAGTATGAGTAAAATTACTGTGACATCTATTATCAATGTTATATTTTGATTTTTAAATTTGAAATATTTTCTGTTTTGAAATTATTAAGTGAATTTTTTTAGCGTCACTAAATCCAAAAAAACTGTATGTTTAATGTAATGAAAGCAATTTAATCCTAACAGGTTTATGGTGCAGTATCTAAGGAACTAGAGCTAGTTCATAAAAAATTGTTAAATGATTCTACTAGAAGAAAATGGGCTATTGGTGATTGGACTGAGGAGTCAGATATGATGTTGATAATTTTAGAATCACTACTGTATTGTAAAGGACAAGTAAGTAAAAAGATAAAATTTTGTATCATGTTGAAGTAAGTTATTTTTTTTGTTTTTGAAAGGGTTTTATTACAGTATGCTAGTATACTCAATGTTGGATTTTCTCCAAATACATTTTAATACCTCTCTCCTGTTGTTACTTAAGTCCTTCCATTTTATAGATCAAAATCTAATACATTTTCCTTTTTCAAAACAAGCCCAAAAACCCTTTAAACAAAAAAAAAGGATCTAAATCAATTTAAATGGATACTTTCAGGACTATCATGATATTCGATTTATTCAACTGTTTTGGAAAGCATTTCTATAATCATTTTTGTTTAAAGAAACAGTGAACATCTTGAAGTTTCAGTTCATACATTTTTATAGTTTAAAATATATATAAATTCAAGTTGGTAATTAGTTTTTAAATACAAGATTTATTTCTCATTTACAGATTAATGAAGTGGACTTAGCTAAACGTCTAATGGATTGGAGTGAGCGTGGTTTCCCAGAGTTGAATGATATTTGTGGCCAGGGGCTTGATTCTTATACAAAATCTGTTATTGTCCATCCTCAGTTTTCAGAAACACCTAAGCATGTAAAGTACTTTAATTCTATCTAAAAGAATTGGGCATTCTATTTTAATCTGATCCATCCTATAGCAATGAGTTGTAAGATAACTTTAAAAATGTATTATTTTACTGCTATCAATTATAGAGCACTTATTATTAAGCAGGAAGTTCAGTTCACTGGCTTGAGTCCACCTGGCATTGTAGAAAAGTATAGATGACTTGGTCTAGTTTTGACCACACTACCCCTTCATATGCCATCATGAGCTTAACTTCACCTGCCCTATCAACCTTTTATCAAATATATTATCTTTCTGTATGATTGCTATAAATATTTATGTTTTAGGCTGCTGAAATTTGTTGGAGAAATGGGCAGCAGCAGCTTTCAGCAGGTAACTGTGCAGTTTATCGCACATCTGCTCTAGGTCTTCATTACTATAATGCTCATGCCAAGGTTATTCAGAATACCATTGAAGTGTGCTCAATTACACATCAAGACCCTAGGTAATCAAGTTTATTATGTTAACATTCCTTCTGCTAACTACTAAATTCTATGGAATGGATATATTAATTCAACTGAACTAAAACCTTACTCAAAACATTGCAACAGTTTATTTTTGTAATCTCTGATGTATAAGAGTTATATATCTAATTCACCAGTCACCGGTCTTCTGAGCCATCAGAACTTACAGAGACATCTGACTTTAAAGTAGAATTCCACTCTCTACAACGTTTTGGAACATACATTTTATGTGCATGCTTTCCTGAATGCGTTAATACTAACATTTTGTTCCAGATGTATGGCGTCTTGTGTTGCTGTGACTACAGCAATATCATTGATGATGCAAAACAAACATATTAAAAAGAATGGCCAACTAGATGTTGAAGAACTGATAGGGGAATGTTATAGATATGCTTCTCATTGTTTAAATGGAAGACCAAAGGAAGAGGTAAATAATTGATCCATGTATTGGTAAATAATAAATTCAATGTGAACACATACAGAATAATTATTTTACAAAAATTGCTAATTTTCTATCTTAATCATTTTTTAAGTTATCTTTTATTTTGATCTTTCTTAGTTCTGTTCTGCTGCTAAATTAACTGAAATTGATTAGAATAATAAACCTTTTAATTTATAAATAGCTCATTGATAAAAAGTTCTCTTAATGATAGTTTTACTGTTTCTCCCAACTGTAGTTTAAATCCTTAAAAAAGCACATGCAAGCCATTTCACTTAAAGATCTCAAACTTGGAGATATTGGAAACATGTCCTTTACCTTTAAAGCTATGGGTGCTGGATTTTGGGCATTAAAGCAAAATGACTTCAGAACAGCAATCCAAGAAATTGTAATGGAGGTAAATCTATATTTCATTTTAGCACTAATGTGAATCAATAGATATTCACAATAATTACTACATTTCAATGTGTTCTGTATAACACATGTATTAGAACTAATTTAAATAAACCGGGAGTGATCTCCCCTAAACTTTCTAGAATATTCTTATATAACACTACGTGGGATGGCAACTCGGAATATAGACATGATTTTTAATTACTTAAACTTTTAAAAATAGAATAGAATCCCTTAGAAAAAAGAATTGCCCACCAAGCGAACGTCAAAACAAAATGTGCTTAATAGTGTGGAATATTATTAGTACTTTATAAATCGGAAATAGCGTAAATTACAACTTCCGGTCAACGGAAATTACTCAAAATTTGATAGAAGGTAGAGGATTAGATCTTTTACTTACATGGTAAATTTCATTTATCTATCTGAAATAGTACTCAAGTTATAGGCTTTTGAAAAATTCAAAGTAGAAAAAGTACCACTTCCGGTTATCGGAAATCGCTCAAAAGTTGATACGGATCTACGATTTTGATAAAATACTTATATATGAAATTTCATCAACCTAGCTGTAACGGTACTCAAGTTATCGTGTTTACAGACACATACACACAGACATACGGACAAGATTGCAAAAATATGTTTTTCCGACTCAGGGAGGTGTAAAACGTCAAGATTTTGATTATTTTTTTTGCACGATTACAAGACTTTCTCTACTTTGTATATACGAGAAAGTAAAAATATATAATGGGTATGACAGTCCTTTTTTTTTAAATTGCTAAATATGTTGTATAAATTGTTTTGTAATTTAGGGAGGTGATTCTGATGCTAATGCTTCTGTTGCTGGAGCATTACTAGGTTGTAAGTTGGGCTATTCTGCAATACCCCAATCATGGATTGAAGGTTTAAAGTTTAGAAGCTGGCTAGATGATTTAGTAAATAGGTAACTATTTGCCAATAAGTACTTAAATTTGTTACTTGAACACGACCTAGTATGTGTTTCTCAGCAGTATATTCCCAAACAATAGATTTGTTTTTAATTTAAAAAGTAAAAAAAATAATTAAATAGACCAAAAATGTGTAAATTACTTGTTGTTATCAAAGGGATAGATTTTTTCTGAAGTCCTTTAATCAACTTGCAAGCTGAATTCTAACATATTTTCTTATAAAATAACAGATATTTGCACATGATGGAAAGAGGGAGAGCATTACCCAAGTCTGAATCTGCTGTTTAATGATTTGCTCCTAATACATGGATTGGTCATTCTTTTAATTTAGTAAATGTGGTAAATATTTTCTACAGCAGGATATTTCTTAATTTTTTTTTACTCTTCTGAAATAGGATAGAATGTTAACAATTTAAAAAAAAGTTATTACTGATAATATTAATTTTGAGGAAAAACAATACTTAAGATTTTAGTTGAGTTGAAAGAGTTATCATTTTTGTGTTTTTTTTTTTTTTTTGACTTGATTAGGCTTGGAGAAAACCAATGCTGTAGCATTTATGGACCAGTGATTATCTCTTGTCAGCGCAAATATTTTATTTATGTAATTTGTATTGGTGCTTACATTTTGCAATAAATTTCAATAATTAATCCTTATGTCTGAAGTAATTTCAGACTACCTTTAAAAGCTGTTTGTAAGAATTGTCTTATTTTGTGTGGGAAAGGTTATTACATATCACTTTAACAATGCAGATTTGATCAGCTTTTATCTGAGTGTAGTTAGCTGGAGCATTGTTTATTACCACAAGTGCTTTCATTAGTTGAGTTTTCCTGTTGGCCCTCCACAGCAAGTTTTATTTTAGTACATTGAAAAGTAGAGCAACACGTTGGTTATCTTTTCAAATTACAGAAACTGCATAAAAACTATTAGTGCACATCTTTCCACTTTTCTTAGGTTCTTCTCTTTTTATATCTTGTTAATAAGTTACTTAAAGAAAAGAACTACAGCAATTCCAAAATTGCTCTAGAACTATAGAGTGGCTCACAAAAATTTTGACTGTATTTCAGGAGTCTTTAATTTGCTTTGCAACAAGAAATGGTCAGAAATTTGTTTTGAATGTGTAACAGTGACAATGTTATGCTGTAAATGCTATCTCTCCACAACAGTCAGTTATGCTAATAAAAGAATTTTTAAAACATCTGTTGAATACTGGTATTAAAGTACCAGGGTTGCAATTTCTCACAGACTATATATGAAAAACCAATCTAGAGTGAATTATGAATATTATGGCCTAGAGTACTTTAAATATGCAGTTAATAATTGTTACTTTTGTTAATAATGATTTTAAAAATCTAATGAAGAAAATTAATACTTGTCCACAAACCCATTGTTTCACCATAATGTTAGCTATTATAGGCTTCCAAAAAAGTTTTAAATGCCAAAATCTGTTATGCACTGTTTTCCTTTTCCTTTAAGATTTTGCTAGTTACAATATTTTTGCATTAGTTAACTGAGAATCATAATTAGTAAATTAATGCATAATATTTTTAATTTAAAAGGAACTCGATTTATTAAGCTTTTATTATGAAATGTGAATAGGCCTATGCTGGGGAAAAATATATTTGTACATTCCAGAATTATTTTTTTAAATATCCAAGATACAATTTGTTTTTAAATGTTTATAATGGTTGTAAGGTAAACATTATTGGTGAATATTCATGCTGGAAACTTATAATAAAACATATATCACTACATTTATTTTGGATTAATTGTAAAAAATATTATTGTTCTCTTAGTTTGTTGGCTTATTATGAAAGATTTAAGCACTTAAGAATAACATCTAAAATTTACTTACACATTCATAGTTTTTTTTTTAGATCATGTGTTTTATGATAGAACTGTGATATTATTATTACACAACAGGCGTCAGATAGCTTTTTAAATTTACCATCATTTTTACAATGGTGTTTTATTATATGTAAATCAAAAACATTCCATTTAATTTAGTAATTTCTGGTTTTTAGCCATAAATTCGTGTTGCTTATCATTATACGTATGTATTTTAGGAAAGGAATGAACAAATTTTAACTATGAAAGATTTTGAGAGTAGGTAAATCATGGAAATTATATGAAAATTTGTATTTTATTATGTGAAATATTTGTAATAAATATTTATACTTTTACTTTGCATTATATCGTTCTTTGTTCTCTCTGTTGAACTCTCTAAGTGGTACCATTTTTACTAATCACATTTATAGTTTATTATGCCGTGTACAATCTTATTCTTACATGTTAAAATAACCAAACTAAAATTCTATTTTTTCCTATATTGCCATATAAAAAGAAAATATAAATACACAGTTTTGCAGAAACATTTATTTTGAGTACGGTACATTTTTAGTATGGTAAAAACTAGGCATCTCAAATGACCATTAGGCATATTCAATGTGAGTTAAAACAAATAGGGGTGTATCAAATAGTTAAAAACCACTTTTTAGTTAATTTTTTTATCCATACTAAAAAATTTGAGGTTCATATTTATAACCCTGTAGATTTTTATTATGATAATGCTACATGCACACACAAAAAAGACATTCAATATATACTACAATCATAATGATTGAACAATTTCATGGAAAATCGGTTAGGTAAACAGTATTCAAATCACTCATAAAAACATGAAAAAATGTATCTTCTTAGCTGAAAATCTGGTTTTAATCTCTAGTGTAACTGCTTTAGATATACAAAATGTTGCCTTTCATTGTAAAAAAGGGTCATAATAATCGAGTAAAATAAGCACTAATAAAACTTGCGGTGGGGGCGTTGTTATGACCCCTGAGCCTAATGGTCATCTGAGAACGACTAGAAAAAAGAAGAGTGTAAAGAGAATGATATATGGTAGGAAAGCCTCTGCCAAGCCCACTATGACCACAGAGTACATGCACCAGACCAACATGAGCAGAAACCTGCCGGGTGTGCACTCGGTGAATGTGATCCTGGGCAGGTTCATGCGGCCAAACATTTCTGGTATAGATGCCGTACTGTGGCTCGTGCTTGTGTTGCTGCTGTCATTTTCTGAAGCAACAGAGGATTCGCTGTCACTTGATATGTTGTCACGATGGACTACTATGGCACTTGCAGATAATGTGGAAGTAGGTGCGACGGCCTTGGGGATGATGACATCATGGGATTCAGGGGCTACTGAAATAAAATGTTCTAGTATCTTCCAAAATGTGAGCTGTATATTAAATTCATTTCAGAATTAGGTTTAATAATGATATAGCATTGTTAATTATATTGGCATAAAAATAATTTTAAAATGAAACAGGTAGATTATTATTAATGCATATTTAATATAAGAAACGTTAATTACTACAAGCGCTAATTAAAATTACGGGACGACTCCACACAGCGGTAGAGCGTTAGACTGCTAATCCGTACGTCTCGAATAGAAAACGGGTTCGACAGTAGAACTTCCAGAGTCCACCCAGCTCTGATGGGCAGTGTTTTTTCTTCCAGACTTTTTTCTTCAGGGGGGGGGGGGGGCACTTGATATTTTCGGGGGGGGGGGGGCGGTCGACATTTTTCGGGGGGGGGGGGGGCAGACACTAGTAAAAGTGTATGTTTACTATATAAATTCCATCTCGTTCGGGGGGGGGGGGGGGTAGACTTTCTTCGGGGGAGGGGGGGCAGAGCCTCCCCCCGCCCCCGAAGAGATGCCTGGAAGAAACTGCTGATGGGTACCTAACTCACGTTATCCCTTCATATGTCGAGGTCACAGAAACAGGTGAATTCAACTTCACCTGCCCCATGGACAGTCAGGTTGGAAAAGAGAACCTTATTTTTACATTAAAATTGTCTAGGAGTATAGAATTTAGAGGATGTTAGGCAAAATCTTTCTTACCGTCGTCAGTGGACTCGAATACTCTTTTCATAAGTGCCTTACAATATTGTTCAGATGGGTGGAGGCTGACTACGAACTCTTCATGTTGGTCGCCAGATAACTTCACATCAACTGTATCCACGTTGGACTCGGATTGTGTCTGAGTGCAAACACTGCGTTGTGTCAGATACGAGGAGGCTGCCAGCTGGTGATAATATGGTAGCTCAAAGATAGTTGATCCCATGTACTCACTAGAGGCTAAAGCATGCTTTATGAACAGTATTCTCTGACACCTAAATAAGTCTTCAGATAAGCATCTAAAATCAGCCGCACGCACATCTCTACAGTCAATAAACCACACCACGGAAAACTAAGTTTTCAAAGTTATCATAAATAGAAGTAAACACATTGTCATCACATTCAACAACCTAATTATTATGACATAATGTGGCTCAAGATACAAGCGTATTAAAATTATCACATATGTCAGTTAGTGTTTGTTGAATGGGCAACATTCAATACGGTTATCAAATCTCTGTTTTTAACGGTGATTTGTTGGGGCGGGGTGTGGGATTTTTTTTTATTTACAAAATGCATAAAAACGTTTTAATAAACAAGCTTTTATATAATAACGCACTAAAAAGGAGAAAATAAATGACTGTCTTCAAATAATAATAATGAACCACTATTTACTAATTACTAAAATGAAAAGCGCGGGTCGCTCCATTATGTATTGAATTCAAGAAGCGACCCATCACCCCAAATATGGTGTCACAAATTTATACACCTCTCCCTAATACAATTTTTTTTAAAACTAAAACGAACGTTTTCATATTTTTTCTTTAAACACATTTTTATTAATGCCCCGTCTCTCATTCTTAACACTCCAACCCCTTTCGCCAACAGAGTTCGACGTTATTTATGGACAACCTCCAAGGTTATAAGTCTGGTATGCCATAGGCCTATAGTGCCTTGAATATTGCGAAACTTGGTCTAATTATGTACAAATCTTCAAGTAAATTTATTCAGTATCGAGATATTGTCACTGACTTACGTAGGGTGCAGTTGCCTATTTGTTATTAAATTAAAGCGCAAACTCGGCTAAAGATAATCGGGTGTGTGATTTGTGTGTGTAAAAGAAATGCTATTGGAATTTAGGTCTATGTTATGTCGTCTTATATGTATTCACATAGGCTAACATTATGTTAGTAAATCTAGCCTTTTTTTTGAGGTTGATGTTTTACAATGAAACATTGTAATTTTGTTTTTTATGCTTTTTAAATCAATAAGCGCAGCGTTAAAGAACATTATACAATATTGATAACCTACAAGAGTGTACTCTTTTTTCCATAGCTCAACCAGTTGTTTGAGAATGATGCATGTGCATATTCTGTCGGTGAGCACAGGTTTGGCAGGGAAAGGATGTCTGCATGTGGGGCATGAAAGATTCAACCTTCTCACGCGTACGTCTGGATTATCTTCACGGCCTATTTCTGCTAGTCTTTTCAGGCAGCTGAAAAACAATTTTATAGACACACATCTATTAAATCAACACCCACACGACTAAAGCTAGATCTATTCACATCTATTAAGTCAACACCCCACACGACTAAAGCTAGATCTATTCACATCTATTAAGTCAACACTCCACACGACTAAAGCTAGATCTATTCACATCTATTAAGTCAACACCCCACACGACTAAAGCTAGATCTATTCACATCTATTAAGTCAACACTCCACACGACTAAAGCTAGATCTATTCACATCTATTAAGTCAACGCTCCACACGACTAAAGCTAGATCTATTTGTTTTAAAACCCGACCAGTATCTTACGATTAGGTTAAATCTCAACGACTATAATTTCCCTCGTATATGAAGTAGAACCAGTATAAGGGGACTTTGACTTACATGACTTAATAATCCTCTTTACTCCTTGTGGAGTAGCTTTGAGAGGGGACTTTTGCCAGTTGCATTGTCTACTTTATGAGGTCGCTGATGTTCAACTTAAATTGTCTACTTTATGAGATTGCTGATGTTCAACTTAAATTGTCTACTTTATGAGGTCGCTGATGCCCAACATAAATTGTCTACTTTATGAGGTCGCTGATGCCCAACATAAATTGTCTACTTTATGAGGTCGCTGATGCCCAACATAAATTGTCTACTTTATGAGGTCGCTGATGCCCAACATAAATTGTCTACTTTATGAGGTCGCTGATGTTCAACTTAAATTGTCTACTTTATGAGATTGCTGATGTTCAACATAAATTGTCTACTTTATGAGGTCGCTGATGTTCAACATAAATTGTCTACTTTATGAGGTCGCTGATGCCCAACATAAATTGTCTACTTTATGAGGTCGCCGATGTTCAACTTAAATTGTCTACTTTATGAGGTCGCTGATGCCCAACATAAATTGTCTACTTTATGAGGTCGCTGATGTTCAACATAAATTGTCTACTTTATGAGGTTGTTGATGCCCAACATAAATTGTCTACTTTATGAGGTCGCTGATGCCCAACATAAATTGTCTACGTTATGAGGTCGCTGATGCCCAACATAAATTGTCTACTTTATGAGGTCGCCGATGTTCAACTTAAATTGTCTACTTTATGAGGTCGCTGATGCCCAACATAAATTGTCTACTTTATGAGGTCGCTGATGCCCAACATAAATTGTCTACTTTATGAGGTTGTTGATGCCCAACATAAATTGTCTACTTTATGAGGTCGCTGATGCCCAACATAAATTGTCTACGTTATGAGGTCGCTGATGCCCAACATAAATTGTCTACTTTATGAGGTCGCCGATGTTCAACTTAAATTGTCTACTTTATGAGGTCGCTGATGCCAAACATAAATTGTCTACTTTATGAGGTCGCTGATGTTCAACATAAATTGTCTACTTTATGAGGTTGTTGATGCCCAACATAAATTGTCTACTTTATGAGGTCGCTGATGCCCAACATAAATTGTCTACGTTATGAGGTCGCTGATGCCCAACATAAATTGTCTACTTTATGAGGTCGCTGATGCCCAACATAAATTGTCTACTTTATGAGGTCGCTGATGTTCAACATAAATTGTCTACTTTATGAGGTCGCTGATGTTCAACTTAAATTGTCTACTTTATGAGGTCGCTGATGCCCAACATAAATTGTCTACTTTATGAGGTCGCTGATGTTCAACATAAATTGTCTACTTTATGAGGTCGCTGATGCCCAACATAAATTGTCTACTTTATGAGGTCGCCGATGTTCAACTTAAATTGTCTACTTTATGAGGTCGCTGATGCCCAACATAAATTGTCTACTTTATGAGGTCGCTGATGTTCAACATAAATTGTCTACTTTATGAGGTTGTTGATGCCCAACATAAATTGTCTACTTTATGAGGTCGCTGATGCCCAACATAAATTGTCTACGTTATGAGGTCGCTGATGCCCAACATAAATTGTCTACTTTATGAGGTCGCCGATGTTCAACTTAAATTGTCTACTTTATGAGGTCGCTGATGCCCAACATAAATTGTCTACTTTATGAGGTCGCTGATGTTCAACATAAATTGTCTACTTTATGAGGTTGTTGATGCCCAACATAAATTGTCTACTTTATGAGGTCGCTGATGCCCAACATAAATTGTCTACGTTATGAGGTCGCTGATGCCCAACATAAATTGTCTACTTTATGAGGTCGCTGATGCCCAACATAAATTGTCTACTTTATGAGGTCGCTGATGTTCAACATAAATTGTCTACTTTATGAGGTCGCCGATGTTCAACTTAAATTGTCTACTTTATGAGGTCGCTGATGCCCAACATAAATTGTCTACTTTATGAGGTCGCTGATGTTCAACATAAATTGTCTACTTTATGAGGTTGTTGATGCCCAACATAAATTGTCTACTTTATGAGGTCGCTGATGCCCAACATAAATTGTCTACTTTATGAGGTCGCTTATGCCCAACATAAATTGTCTACTTTATGAGGTCGCTGATGTTCAACATAAATTGTCTACTTTATGAGGTCGCTGATGTTCAACTTAAATTGTCTACTTTATGAGGTCGCTGATGCCCAACATAAATTGTCTACTTTATGAGGTCGCTGATGTTCAACATAAATTGTCTACTTTATGAGGTCGCTGATGCCCAACTTAAATTGTCTACTTTATGAGGTCGCTAATGCCCAAATGGGCTGCTTTATGTTATGAGGTCACCGATACCCAACATAAATTGTCAAAAGTATCATCAAATAGACAAATATCACGATTTGGATACCATTGATATAAACAGTGTGAAAAAAAAATGTCTTCAATATTGCACCAAGAAAAGAAAGCACCAGAGTTTCTTCCGGGCATCTCTTCGGGGGGAGCCCCCCTCCCCATAGAAAGTCTACCGCTCGCCCCCCCCCCCCCCCCCGAACGAACGAACGAAATGAAATTTATATAGAAAATATATACTTTTAACAGTGTCCGCCACCCCCGAAGAGAGTCTACCGCCCCCCCCCCTCCCGAAAATTTCAAGTGCGCCCCCCCCCCCCCGGAGAAAAAAGTCTGGAAGAAACACAGGAAAGCACTTGAATCTTCATTTCTAACATAACAATGTATTAATGTCCTTATTACTACTTTTTGGTAAGGATTCAGTTAATCACACCCGTCACCACGGACTAATAAGGTATAAAAACAAGCTAAACTGATTAAAATACGCCACAGGGAGAGGGTGGGGTGTAGCAATTTTTAAAACGTTTTTCTTAACTCAGCTTCGCGTTTGTTTGGTTGTTTGGATGTTTGTTGTTAAAATTGACATCGAAAATTAGCCCACTTCTGATTGCTCTAGAGACCTGAAATTTGGCATGCATGCTACTTTCGCCTAACAATTTCAGATGCAATCATAAAAACTAGCAATTAGTGACCGTAATTAGCTTAATTTAATTACGCCCCAAGGACCATAAAATTGAGGACATGATTTCTAAAGATACCGACAAGACTCGAGGCCTATTGACACAGTTACTTCGGCCCCAATCGATGTGAGCGCGCTGGCCGTGATCGTATAGTGGTTAGTACTTCGCGTTGTGGCCGCAACAACCCAGGTTCGAATCCTGGTCGCTCAAGATTTTTAGTCCGTGTATTTATAAACACTTTTTTAAAAACCACGTTTTTCATGTGTAGCAACGGACTAAAAAGGAGAAAATAAAATACTTAAAAAAACTTTTTAAAAAACCACGTTTTTTATGTGTAGCAACGGACTAAAAAGGAGAACGGACACGGTAACACATTGTTAACGGTGACACGGTTGGTACGCTGGGCATGCTAAAATACACATAAACACGTTTTTCCTTAACTCAGCTTCGCGTTTATTTGTTTGTTAACACGTTTTTCTTAACTCAGCTTCGCGTTTGTTTGTTTGGTTGTTTGGATGTTTGTTGTTAAAATTGACATCGAAAATTAGCCCACTTCTGATTGCTCTAGAGACCTGAAATTTGGCATGCATGCTACTTTCGCCTAACAATTTCAGATGCAATCATAAAAACTAGCAATTAGTGGCCGTAATTAGCTTAATTTAATTACGCCACAAGGACCATAAAATTGAGGACATGATTTCTAAAGATACCGACAAGACTGGAGGCCTATTGACCCAGTTACTTCGGCCCCAATCGATGTGAGCGCGCTGGCCGTGATCGTATAGTGGTTAGTACTTCGCGTTGTGGCCGCGACAACCCAGGTTCGAATCCTGGTCGCTCAAGATTTTTAGTCCGTGTATTTATAAACACTTTTTTAAAAACCACGTTTTTCATGTGTAGCAACGGACTAAAAAGGAGAAAATAAAATACTTAAAAAAAACTTTTTAAAAAACCACGTTTTTCTTGTGGACTAAAAAGTAGAAAATAAAATTTTCTTTTGTGCTTCCTCGAGCTGTGCAGGTTCTTGTGATGACTGACAAAAAACGTGGGTCGGGCAGATGGGTCGGGAAATTTGATGGTGAACGTACCCACGTTTTTTGTCAGTCATCACAAGAACCTGCACAGCTCGAGGAAGCACAAAAGAAAATTTTATTTTCTACTTTTTAGTCCACAAGAAAAACGTGGTTTTTTAAAAAGTTTTTTTTAAGTATTTTATTTATGGGAGATTTGATCACGTGATTCGTGAGTAGATCTCCACGCCAGCAACGTAAATTACACCCTTTCTCTGTTTAAAGCGTATCGGTCGCTCAAGATTTTTTTAGTCCGTGTATTTAAAAACACTTAGTCAAGTCATACTTAATCAAGTGATTAGATAAAGTAGAAAATAAACTATATAAAAAACTTTTTAAAAACCACGTTTTTCATGTGTAGCAACGGACTAAAAAGGAGAAAATAAAATACTTAAAAAAAACTTTTTAAAAAAACACTTTTTTCTTGTGGACTAAAAAGTAGAAAATAACTATTTACATACATTTGATGACAAAAAACGTGGGTACGTTCACCATCAAATTTCCCGACCCATCTGCCCGACCCACGTTTTTTGTCATCAAATGTATGTAAATAGTTATTTTCTACTTTTTAGTCCACAAGAAAAACGTGGTTTTTTAAAAAGTTTTTTTTAAGTATTTTATTAAGAGCTGTACATCTTCACATATCTTTCCGTGTTGTCAAAATGCTACATCCTAGAGATTGGAAGGATGGTTGAGTCTGGTGTTACGTTACCAGCGTAGAAAATTGTTCATTCATGTTGCTTGTCCGAGCTGGGTAAAGACGGGTACTGGCGATTGTATTTTGTTTGTTTGGAATTAACTTTATGTGTCGTGACAACATTTCACCCCACCCTCTTTCCTTATACTTTACACTTAATTTAACATCCTCTTGCCTACAGATTTGTTTTTTCTTTACTACCGTTTACAAAATGTATGTCCACACTCCAACGTATGAGGTTCCTGCATGTATCCAAAACAAATAGTACAGCGCAAAAATAGACTCCAGTGTTCAGGCAAGGTCTGTTCAAATCAAATAAAAATCTTGTCTTAAATTTTATACGAAAGAAATGCGAAATGATGGCAAAATGGCATATTTTGTTTTCATTTCCTAAATTCATCTTGTTGCAGAATCAAAGGTGATAACCAAGAACAGTTAACTAAAAACAAAGAGAAAGTGTAAATACACTCTAAGGAAGCTAAAGAAGTTTATTTTGTTTGCTAACCGTTTTGTTATTGTGCATGATTTAGAATGGTATATTGCTTTAAAAAAATATTGATGATAATTAATATAAATTGTCTAAACTTGGTATACATAGACAGACCAATGGGATTTCCTCGGTATGGCATTGGGCTTAGTCCTATCCCCCATCTCCCAATTTTTTAAGGAATAATTTAGGTTATTAAAGATATTTTACACATCTTTTACATTATATGCCAACAATGTTCTTTTTGAAAAGCATATTTGTATAGTCATGAGCGTATCTCGTGAGGGACACGGATGCTTAGCCCTCTCCCAACCAAACCATATAGCCTGTATATATATATATATATATATATATATATATATATATATATATATATATATATATATATATATATATATATATATATCCGCGTATGATGAGAATACTAGATTCTGTTTAAGGAAAACATGTAAAGAAAAGGATTAACGACTGCCTGGTGTTTAGATACCTCAGCTTTCATGTCCGACATCCTGCCTTAGTGGGCAACACGTCCTCCTCTCTGACCACGTCTAAGATCACATCATCCCTACAGCTCAAAGGTGATAAACGGGTTACAATATATGTATGTATGTATATATATATATATATATATATATATATATATATATATATATATATATATATATATATATATATATATATGGACACAATTTCAAGCGCCCTACCATGACAAAATTCTGCCTGCGCCACTGGTTACAATCACAAAAGTTTGGTACAATAAGAAAGTATTTGTCGTCCATAAATGATAACAACTGGCTTTAACTGCAACCACCCCCTCCCCCAAATGGTCATAAAAAATAAGTCCCATTTTAATAGACAGTACACTTAGGCCACCAAAAAATTAAGCCAATTGGATCGGGATTAGATAAATGGGATTGAGACAGTTTTATTGCAATTTACAAAACAGCTTTTTAAAATGCGAAAACAATGCTAAAAAATTCAGTTTATAAAAGTAATTTTTAAATGCAAAAAAAAAAAAATGCCGTCAAATATTCATCTGGCCTCCCCCATCCTCTATGGCAGGGGTCTCCAAACTTCAGACAGAGGGCCGCATTAACTATCAAATAGCAGTTCGGGGGGCGAGAACACACTCGAGGTCCAAATAAAAAGGAATCAAAACATTAATGTAGTTGTTAATTATGTATTTAATGTTATTTTATTCATTTATTATTTAATAACATATTGATACACAGCACATGAACACCTATATTAGTTGGAATGGTGAGATTGTTTCCTTGATGCCAGAAAAGCAGACATTTCTGGCTTTAGATTTGATGTCCCTAACATCAACAGTGACCTGAGATTCATCGGACAAGTTTGTTCTCAATTGTTCTTCATGTATTTCATTCTTGAATATGTTTGTTCACACAGGTAGGTCTTGTTATTCCAAACATTGAAAGGTACCTTGAAGCAAAAGTTTTGACGTTGAAAAAGTCTTCCTTGTGCAAAAACTTGTAAAAACCTACCATTCCTGCTTTGAACTTGTCCCTAAGGAGGTCATTTGCTTGCAACTCCTGAATCAGGAGCTTGTAACTCAATGACCTCTAAATGCAGCTCATCTGGACAACTGGCCACATCTGCTTCAAATGGGTTTTGAAATTCTCACTTCTTCTGCCTCTGAATCCGTCAGAAAACCGCTGCTGAAACTGTAGTGACCTGTTTGAAAACATAACGCACTACTGCGCACCTCTATTTTAATTTGGTAAAATCATAGCATTTACGTAAAAGGCGACAGATCTTGCAGGATACATAGAAATTTCCGAATTTTTTTCCGTAGACAAAAAGATCTCCACGGAGTAGGCCTATAGGGGACTTATATTAATCGGGCAAAAATTTAAAATCCAAATTTATCAAAATTTCGGCGTTTTACGCGTAATCGAATCGCACAAATTGGGCTTTGCAATTCTGTCCGTGTGTGTGTGTGTATGTGTGGCTGTGAACACGATAACTTGAGTATAATTACAGCTAGGTTGATGAAATTTCATATATAAGTATTATATCAAATTTGTAGTCCTGTCTCAACTTTTCAGCGGTTTCCGATAACCGGAAGTGGAACTTATTCTACTTTTGGTTTTAGGAAGGGTGAGGATAATCCAGAGGCGTAGCGACCCTTCCCGGCGCCCGGGGACAAACTTTTAATTTGGCGCCCCCTTCGGGAGCAAATTTTTAATTTGTACCCCCACCAAACTTTTGATTTGCACCCCCACCCTCAAACCTTCGATTTGCACCCCCTCAAACTTTCAATTTGCACCCCCCTCAAACTTTCGATTTGCACCACCCTCAAGCTATTTATAATGCAAAATGCAGCTAAAATGGCATTCTAATTTGTTTTTACAACCCATTTAAGCGCCCCCTAACATTGGTAATGTTGAATTCACAAATTATGAATTGCTGAAAAGTAGAAAATAAAACAACTAAATAGCGGCGTATGCTTACGGTGCGGGTCAGCTCGTGCATTTATAGAGTACTAATATTCCGCACTATTATAATGCACATATTGTTTGCCGTTCAAATGGTGCGCAATTCTTTTTTTCCACGAGATTCTATTCTATATTTAAAAGTTTAAGTAATAAAAATGGACTATAAATCATGTCTATATCGCGAGTTGCCATTCCCTATAATGTGATATATAAGAATATTCGAGAAAGTTTAGAGGAGGTCACTCCCGCTTTGTTTAGTTTGAAGAAGGAAGGTATTTTTGCTAGCAGTCCACTAGATCCGATTGGACTGGAGCAATAAAAACAACCCTAGAGACGGCAGGGGTTCCGAGTCGGTGGGCCGCTGGGAAATGTGCGGAAATTGCCCTATAAATCACTTAAATTATTAGTGCTCTGATTTAAAAAGAAAGTATGTTGTCAACCAACCCCAGCCCATGTTACTTTTCCATGTTACCACTTTCCTTCCTTTAGGTCAAGTCGGGTAAAATTCATGCACTAAACAGTTGCGCAGTGAACATTTAAGTTAGACAGGCCGCTTCCGCTCCCCCCCCTCCCCCCCCCCCCCCCACCGAGCCGCCTGGATACAGTCAGTCCACCCCTGCCTAGAATCACTCTAAAAAATTAAAATAGAGCATCCCTAACCCAAACCGTAACCTTGTTACCCCAATATCAGCTAAACCTCACCCTAAATTCTAAATCGCGGTCATTCATGATGTCAAATTTGTTGACGCTTTTTACTCTAAATCATCCCCATTATCAGAAAATATTAACACCCTATAAAATGACGTCACTCATCAGTCTAGCCCCCCCCCCCCATGCAATTTATGTTAGGTGAAACAGCTATTTCTTTGTAGAAAATTAACTAAGCCGAGTCAGTTTTAGAAATTAACAAAAGATTTTTGCAAAGCGAAATAACATGGAAAATTCGGTTAAAAACTTTGTTAAAATGCAAAAATTTGACGTTACACTTTCTGACCTCACCCCCTCTCCCTGATTTATGGCTTATGGTCTTGATCAATCATAGCCTTAATTAATCCCTACACAGGAATGTTCAATTATTAGAACAATCAATAGGCTACCAACTTGACGAAGGTTTTAGTTACAACTGACGGATAAGAAATGTAATCGTAAAAAAATAGCATCAATCTATATATATATATATAATTCTCTTCATGGAGACCATAGAAAACACCAATCTGTAAGCGCGCCTAGCAGCCCCCTCTCTTCCTCCCTAGGCATATCCCTACCACCCCCACCCCCACATGGTCTGGTGAGCTGTGGTTCACGCTAAATGTTTACAATCGTAGAGGCGGGTTTAGTGACGGCTATTAGGGGCAGATAATTTAGTTTGAAACGATTTTAAACTTAGGGGAGGTAACTAAGAGGAGGCTGCTTTCACGGGTGGGGGTGTAGGGTAGGGGTTGGGGGAAAGGAGGATGGGGGATAGTATCGTCCTTAACGACCTACTGATAGTGTTTTAAAGCAAATATTTTCAGTGGCAGTATTGGTACTGTCGAATTCACAAATTATGAATTACTGAAAAGTAGAAAATAAAACAACTAAATAGCGGCATATGATACGCTATAGGATGCCAGATTATGGTTAGGTTTAGCGCTATCGTTTTTTGTTTTTTTTTTTTTGTAGGCAAAACCGGAAACCGGGAAAACGTAAACATATAGATCTAGAGTCTAGATCTAGATCTAGAATCTAGATCTAGAGTCTAGATCTAGATCTAGAATCTAGATCTAGATCTCTATTACTTTTTTTTTAAATTTGCGGTTATTATTATTTCATCTGTTACTAATTGGATAATGAAGGTCTGATTAGCGTCTGTTATCTTACATTTTTCAACGGATCAAGGCAAAATTTAACAAAGAACACTTCAAATATTAGATCAATAATAGAAAGAAAACAACAGCTCCAATTAAGTTTGCTCACCTGGGGGTGCGAACAACAGAAGTGTGTTGATATTCATCTTAATGGTGCGCCAATCATTCCAGAAAAAATGCTGTTTTAGAATGGTGTTAGTGGGTGCAATTTTTTTTTTTCAAATTTAGAGAATTTAGAGATTACATTGACAACAAAAATGTAATAAAACACACTTTTGTGTTCTCAATGGTTTTAAATGTATATTTGTATATCTATGGGCTGATCTAAAGAGGAGCTGGTTTTGCAAGTAGCCTCCTCATATATATTGATTATTGATGCAGTTTTAATACATGATAGACGAATGTTTCACTTTACTGTAGTGGTCTTGCTAGTACTTCCAACTATATACGACAAGCTAAAAATGTTAGGGCTACGGATAGATCTTTTACCATTGTCAACAGCTGGATGGAAACTGCTCGAGTCAACCGTTGTTCCAGCCTGTTACCTGTGACATCACTAGGCCACATCTTCATTCCCGTGCATTCCATTTGAAGCAAAGGGGCACAACCACACCTTTTAATCGTACTCGGTTTTGGGCGATTCATCCTAGTAGCCATTCCGGGTGAAACCATTTTTAGAGGGGTGACACCAAGGTAAAAAATTGCAAAATGTACAGAAGAAAAATGTTTTTTTTTTTGCCAGTTCCATTAATGATTAATTAAAGTTAAATAGTCTTTAAGTACAAATCGTCAATTATTACAAGGGGAAGGGGTGAAACCATGACGTAAACCACGAAGTGCCGCAACGAGTGACACAACGACAAAGCGAAGCCGCTGTTGACAACTGTTTCTTTTTTCATGTTTGTATTGCCGTACCCACTTTTCTCTTTCATTGGAGATTCTAATCTAATTAAAACTGACGATTTAATGTGTTGGTTTGTCAATTCCATACCCATTTGCACTTTTGTATAGCAATGTTAGTTGGACTTTGTCCAGTTGTTCACCCCCCCCCCCCCATAGTTTAGTGTTGGCTATTCTTGTTTACAATACGGTCTCCTTTCCTACAGGTTTCTCTTTTCTTCCCTACAGGCTTCACTTTCATTCATTCATATATATATATATATATATATATATATATATATATATATATATATATATATATATATATATATATATATATAATGTTTGTAATCATTAAAATCAATACTTTTTCCTATTTTTCCTAGACTAAATCTAACCTTAATTTTATCCACCAAACTCTAATCTTAACCTTATACGATTTAAAACTATGTTTTTTTTTCATTTAACGTATTGTAAACACGAAGCACGCGGTCGCCAAAAAAGCCGCAGCCTTATGTTGAGAAAAGTTCATTTAATGGTTCCATAGGGGGGGGGGGAGTCAAACCCCCTAGCACCCTCTACCTACGACACTAATTGTTAAAGTAGCCAGACACAAGGGCCTGTGTATTAACCTAGTTTTATTTATGTATATATGATACTTTGGTTGAACCATAGTCCAAATATATATATATATATATATATATATATATATATATATATATATATATATATATATATATATATACAAGTCCATATATATATATATATATATATATATATATGGACTTGTATATATATATATATATATATATATATATATATATATATATATATATATATATATATATATATATATATATATAAAATAAACATTACAGCAGATGATTTCAGTGTAATGTCTGAAAAATTATTGATTTATTATCCCCACTCATAAAAAAAATAATAGGCCCTACTCGCTAATATATTTTAATACATTTTAAATTAATGCAAGAAATATAAAAACATAGATAGAATTAAAATGAAATAGTATAAAATAATAAAGAAATTAATAATTTATTTAGAAATTTTTTTTATCTTCAGTCAGACTAGTAACTATAACCCCATGGCCTTCCTTTTATTGTCTCCCCTCTATCTTAGTCTTACTCTCGGCTCCTCTTCATTAATCTTATAGCTCTTCAAAAGAAGTTACGTTTATCTATTTCCCATCATTCGTGATTTGTATATACTTCCTCTTGCACATAGTGAATATTTTCTTAAGTTTTTTATTGTATGTAAACACCACTTCTGAAGTGAAGTGATGTCGCACTGACAATTTTGAGATAGTTAATAGTTGAGAATAATTTTAAAATCAGTACAGTAGGCAATATCTTTCGGTTCGAACAGGTATTAATTGAATTTAATTGATTCATTGATTGTGAATTGTGATCTACAGATCTAGTCTTGACTCTAGGACGCTAGTACTAGTAGTAGGTAATCTATCGTTTTGGGTACGCAAAATCGCCCGCGGCTATTAATGTACGAAAACGTTACCTCATTGTCAAGGCTGTAATAGAAGTATATTGTGATATATAAGCTGAAAAAGAGTGTCAAGTGAAAAGAAAACACAATTATATAAGCAGCGAGAGGATACTACTGTACAGCTTCCGTAACAATAGCGATGACGTCACAATAAAAAATAACGTGCTTTCAGTGACCTTTTTGCGATGCCGATTTCTTAAAAGGCGAACATAATATTTACATTTTTTTTTCACTAAACGATCAATCTAATAATACTCGACCTAGGCATGCAGTTTTGACACCTTAGAGACCATTATTTAAAGTTTTTGAGCTACTCAAACTGTACCCATGTTTACGTTTGACCTTTCAATGTCGGAAGCAAAAAAAAAAAAAAAAAAATCTGCCAAAAATAGCTTTGTCATCATTAGATTGCTTAAAATACGCGAAAAAAACGCCATTTTTCGCGTGATAATTATTTTTAAAGTTAATGTTAAGGTGGTCTCTCGAACAAAGCAGAAAAAATTGCCCAATCGTAGGCCAAGGTGTGGTAGCCATGTTCTGGTTAGCAACCAAGGACGCTTTTAAGTTAGTGAGTCTCGCTAAAATATATCAATATAGGCCAGAAATTAACTTTAAACAGCAGTGTCTGCAAGCAAGATTTGCTATATGAACAGCAGCCATTTGTAAAATAGAGTGACTTCCGCCTGAATCTCGCGCTATAAGTCTATAAAAATAAAACTTAAAAAAGATGGCTGCTATAGTAAATGAGCATGGTTGCATCTGTTGGAAACATCGTTGGTGTTCATTTATTACTGAAAAGTTTTAATTCAATTGTTTAAAAACAGGTACATATATGAAACAAGGAAACATTTTTGTATTTTTCAAAACATAAATCCTCCTCAAAATGTGAAATAATTATTAAAATGTAAGGAGTCACCTGTTTTTCACATTACTAGTCGCGGGCGATTTTACGTACCCAAAACGATAGATTACCAGACTCTACACTCTACACAATCAGTCACAATCTAGTCTTAGTCTAGACTAGAGAATCTAGCTAGACTTTCACTAGAGTTAGACTGTTAGAGTCTAGAACAGAGAACTAGATCTAGAAATCTGTAAAATCACGATTTTGCCGATAAAGATCTAGCGTCGGAAATTATTGGGTAATGTTTGTTGAGTTTCGGTAACATTTGTGTAAACCATAGTTTATTTGACCATTGAAATAAAAATAGAGTCAAGTGCATTAAATTAATGTTTTAACTTAATTTAATGTTTAATTGAAAAAAAAAGCAACAATTAGTAGGCTAAATTTAATTATTATTAATAAAGTCGAGTGTAGTAATTAATGTTTTTTTTTAAGAAACACAGAAAAAACCTGCAGAAGATTTGCGACAACTAGCTCTAGTATTGTTAGTAAAATAAGACGATTAGATTTACTAAAGTTAAAGTAGTAAGAAGAACTAGAACAATGTTTAGTAGCAGCACATACACTTAAAATAATTAGAAATACAAAATAATTAGCAAAACAGTATTTAAAATGCAACTAAAATCAATCCTTGCACCTTTTTAAACATTATGTAGGGCCCCCTATTAAAAATAATATGGCAGCAAATAAATGATGGATTACAGTATTTCCGGTGGTTTCCGGAACGGCTTGACAGACTATGCCATGGTTTTACTGTTTTTTTACTGCTGTACAGTTTCGGAATAATAACCGATGCTATATCATGATCTTACCTAGAAATCTACAGTAGACATTTTCTAGAAATCAAGAGCTCGACTAGAATCTAGATCTAAAAATAAATTAAAATTAGGCCTAGGCCTAAAAATGTTATTGATTTATTAAAAGTTTAAAACATTAAATTAATGAAATTATTAATTATGAAATTTACCTAGTCACTAGTCTAATTTTAATTTTGGGCTGATGCTAGCCGGAAAAAGATATGGATGCGCAATGGAGAGAAACTACCACTTGCCTTCGCTGCAATGTTTTCGATGGTACTGGGCATGCGTGTGTTTACAACCGCAGAGCCCTAGCTCCAACCCTAATCCTAGCCTGAGCCCTATCCCTAACCCTAGCTATAGGTCATTGCGCATGCGCAGAACTATTTTTTGCTGACTAGGTGGAGACGTTAGAGTGAAAAATCTTTTTCCAAGTAGTCACTTCGTTTAATTTTTTCTCATGCACAACAAATACAAAACAACTCACAGGTGAAACCCAAGCTTAATTTTAAAATAAAAATAGTAAAGTTCCCCTTCGAACCTGTTATCGATGGGACAAGTGAGATAGAGTGTATCTGTTTTTCCTGTAACCTCATCATATATTCAAAATATAATATATTTAAAGTAATAGTGTGTTTGTTAGCTCAACCTATTCCCTTTGTCCAGCTACCTTTACTAAAATTACTTTCCATGGCCTAACCCCATTGCCCTTAGGCCAAACTCTAACAGCTAACTGATGAGTAAAGGCTGATGAGATTAGTATTTTACATTAATCTCAGCCTCAAAAGTCAATAGGTATTTTGAAGAAAATATCAGTTATTTATTTATGAAAAAAGTATGGATTATCACTAGATCTAGGCCTATATCACTGTTGCAATAGTAGGCAACAAAATCAGTTTAGCTTAAAATTACATAAATCTCACATGAACAAAATCAGTTTAGCTTAAAATTAAATAAATCTCACATGAAAAAAAAGTTTTTTTAAGGAAACATGCACCAAAAGTAAAAAATAGATTTAATTTAGTGTAACGTCACTAAAGCTATATGCATGCTGATGTGACTAAAAATGAAAGCCTGGGTGCCCAATAATGAAAATTGAACATGGGTCTTATAGAACATAAACCTATCAATAAATTCCCTATGAAGGAAATATATTTTTGGTTGTTTTTTTTTTTCATGATATACATTTTCCCATACTTTGTTTTTAACTATAAAATTTTAATAAAATGGTGTTATTGAGTGGTGATGACTTTGCCAATGCAACATCACATAGAGCAAGAAAATAATTACTAGATAATTGTCATGTGTATAAAATTAAGGCTTTCAAGCATAAAATCAACATATGCTGGTTTTAAATCACATCACTGTTTAATAGTTATTGATTTGAGCACTAGAATTTAGAGAGCGACTTCCACTAAAGAGCCGCTTGCAAGATTAAGAAACGAGGTCATAAGTATGTCCGACAATTCTTAATTGGCAAACTTAAGTAGAATCTGTCAGTTCTTAACACTGAAATTGTCAATGGCTTCAAAATCACAAGTTTTATTTCTCTACCTCACAGTAAAAAACTAAACTGGCTGCCATCTTGGCAATGTACTTTTAGCATGAGGACCATGAGGTGGATATAAACAAACAAACCTGGAAGTTGTGAACCTCAGTATTCACAAAAATAAAAAAATAAACATACACATATTGAAATATAACTCAGAAAAAGTCCAACTACCAATATATTTTTAAAAAATTTAAAATATCAATGCCAAAAAATAGATGATTTGTTTTATTTTTTTTTTTTTTAACGAAAATTTAAATTAAACTTCTCAAATTATAGGATGGGAAATGAGGATTTTGAAAGAATCAAAGTCATTGGGAAAGGAAGTTATGGAGAAGTTTGGCTTGCAAGACACAAGAAAGATAAGAAACAGGTAGTATAGTATTTAGTTGTCTAAAATTTTATATAATGAATTTTGTGTTTATAATTACTATTTAAACAAATATTGTTTAAAAACTATTTGATTAACAAAAAGTCAGCTGATAAGTTTGAGCTGATAAGTTAGTAGTGAAATATATAATTTTAATTTTCATATATGACTTATTTTTACAAATTTCTTTTCTTTCTAGTATGTTTTAAAAAAACTTAACTTGGGTAAAGCTTCAAAAAGAGAGAGAAAGTCAGCAGAACAAGAAGCAAAGCTATTATCCAAATTGAAACACCCCAATATTGTAGCATACAAAGATTCTTTTGAAACCGATAATGGTTTTCTTTTCATTGCTATGCAATATTGTGAAGGCGGAGATCTATATGCAAGACTTAAAGAACAAAAATCTGTTCCTCTTGAAGAAAGACAAGTGGTTGAATGGTTTGTTCAAATAGCAATGGCCCTTCAGGTATTTCTAATTAACTTTTTTTGATAGACTTATTGAGCTCACAGTAAATGTTGTTTGAAATCATATGGCAAGGTTTGGGTTGAAAAAACTAGTCTCCATAAGGCTCTACTTACTTGTACATGAACTATAGTTTTACTATAATACAGCCTGTGATACCAAGATGATGCAGTTAAATAATTAAAACTAAAACTTATGCCGTCAACTTAAAAATTAAAAACAATGCAAACAGTAAAACAAAACCAAAACACAACAAAAGGCTAAAGCCCACATTATAATCTAATACAACAATATCCTTGAAACTTCTATCCTTCCCCTCACTCTGATACTAAATAATATAACACTATTCCCAAAATTTAAACACAACATGATGTAAAAAACCATAAACCCTTAATTTTATTAATAAACCTTACCCTATCTTTAAGTTTGTATCTGTATTATTCAAAAGTTATTTTGTTTCTGTTTTTAATTTATTTTTTGCTCAGTTTAACCTGAATGAAAAAGTGTAGGACACAATTTTCAAATGGGCATTTTTTCAGACATTTACAGTTTCTTACACATGTAGGGAAGTAAACAATTGAGTACCTACGTACATACATACATATAGAAGTAACATTTTCTTTCATATTATATAACCTAGTTTAATTTTATGTTTTACTTTTCATTTTTTTGCAAGCATCTGGCATGGTTATTTTGAATGGAATATTTTTCAAGTAAATAACTCATAAATGTTTACTCTCTTATTTTATAAATTTTAGTGTCTAATGCTCAGTTTAATTTCAATAATAATTTTAAAATTTCAGTACATGCATGAGCGCAATATTTTACATCGTGATTTGAAAACTCAAAATATATTTTTAACAAAGAGCAAAATTATTAAGGTTGGAGATCTGGGCATAGCAAGGTAAGCTCCCTTGTTTATTCTTGTTTATTTATCTGAGGAGTTTTAATCACTAGAGAATGGGGATTGAAATAATTTGTTCCTCTTGATAAATCACAGAATACCATTTGCAAGGCACATATCAGGCCCAATGACTACAAGTTTTATTGTTTAAACATTTTCTTTTATCCTTGTTTCAGGGTCTTAGAAAATGCAAGTGATATGGCTACTACATTAATTGGTACACCGTACTACATGAGTCCAGAACTCTTTTCAAACAAGCCTTATAATCATAAGGTGAAGCTTTAGTTGATTTGTTCCTAATGTCATGTATTGTTTATAAAAAGTAAATGCCATTCAATAGATGATTTTTGTTCCAGTCTGATGTGTGGGCCCTGGGATGTTGTGTTTATGAAATGACAACACTAAAGCATGCTTTTAATGCTAAAGATATGAATTCTCTTGTGTATAAAATTCTAAAAGGAAGGGTAAGCTCAACTTTTCATTTTCTATGTAAACAATTTTAAAAAAAAAGTAAATCTATAAGCTGTTCACAGCAATTACGTAAAACAAAAACATGCTTTCATATATCATACTCTTTTTAAAATTAGAAAAATTATTCAAACACATAATCTCTAAAACAAGTAATATACTTAATATTTAAACATTATTCCATTTGTTAGTATTATAGTTTACTGAGTTTCTAATGTCACATAAGTCTAGTCAATATAGTGCTGGATTGTTGAATTGAATCTCATTCAGTTTCAGATGCCATATTAATAGTGCTAAATGGTTGACTCACTATATTTCAGATGTCATATCAATAGTGCTAAATGGTTGACTCACTATATTTCAGATGCCATATCAATAGTGCTAAATGGTTGACTCACTGTATATTTCAAATGTCATATTAATAGTGCTAAATGGTTGACTCACTATATTTCAGATGCCATATCAATAGTGCTAAATGGTTGACTCACTGTATATTTCAGATGTCATATCAATAGTGCTAAATGGTTGACTCACTATATTTCAGATGCCATATTAATAGTGCTAAATGGTTGACTCACTGTATATTTCAGATGTCATATCAATAGTGCTAAATGGTTGACTCACTGTATATTTCAGATGTCATATCAATAGTGCTAAATGGTTGACTCACTATATTTCAGATGCCATATTAATAGTGCTAAATGGTTGACTCACTGTATATTTCAGATGTCATATTAATAGTGCTAAATGGTTGACTCACTATATTTCAGATGTCATATCAATAGTGCTAAATGGTTGACTCACTGTATATTTCAGATGTCATATTAATAGTGCTAAATGGTTGACTCACTATATTTCAGATGTCATATCAATAGTGCTAAATGGTTGACTCACTGTATATTTCAGATGTCATATTAATAGTGCTAAATGGTTGACTCACTATATTTCAGATGTCATATCAATAGTGCTAAATGGTTGACTCACTGTATATTTCAGATGTCATATTAATAGTGCTAAATGGTTGACTCACTATATTTCAGATGCCATATCAATAGTGCTAAATGGTTGACTCACTGTATATTTCAGATGTCATATCAATAGTGCTAAATGGTTGACTCACTATATTTCAGATGCCATATTAATAGTGCTAAATGGTTGACTCACTGTATATTTCAGATGTCATATTAATAGTGCTAAATGGTTGACTCAATATATTTCAGATGTCATATCAATAGTGCTAAATGGTTGACTCACTGTATATTTCAGATGTCATATCAATAGTGCTAAATGGTTGACTCACTATATTTCAGATGCCATATTAATAGTGCTAAATGGTTGACTCACTGTATATTTCAGATGTCATGTTAATAGTGCTAAATGGTTGACTCACTATATTTCAGATGTCATATTAATAGTGCTAAATGGTTGACTCACTGTATATTTCAGATGTCATATCAATAGTGCTAAATGGTTGACTCACTGTATATTTCAGATGTCATATTAATAGTGCTAAATGGTTGACTCACTATATTTCAGATGTCATATCAATAGTGCTAAATGGTTGACTCACTATATTTCAGATGCCATATTAATAGTGCTAAATGGTTGACTCACTGTATATTTCAGATGTCATATCAATAGTGCTAAATGGTTGACTCACTGTATATTTCAGATGTCATATCAATAGTGCTAAATGGTTGACTCACTGTATATTTCAGATGTCATATTAATAGTGCTAAATGGTTGACTCACTATATTTCAGATGTCATATCAATAGTGCTAAATGGTTGACTCACTATATTTCAGATGCCATATCAAATGTGCTAAATGGTTGACTCACTATATTTCAGATGCCACCTATGCCACGTCAGTACAGTGTTGAATTATTGACTCTGATGAGAAGTATGTTACACCAAGACCCTGAAAAAAGACCAAGTGTTAATAGAATATTGAGAGATCCATACATTAAAAAAAATATTGCAATTTTTCTTGAAGACACTAAAAAAAAGTAAGAATAAAAATATTTGGATGTTTTTACACCTGACTATCAACATACATAAATTAGGGGCAGATAAATTGTCTCATTTATTTGGTTTTGAAGCAAATATTTTAAGTCTTAAGGGATGTCAAATTATTCAAGAACATATTTAATGGAAAAATTATACACTAATTATTTTTAAAAAAATAATGTCTCACTCTTATCATTTGCTAATGAAGAATTATTAAAAAGTGGACTATAAAACAAATATAAAAAAACCTATAATAATAATACGCTTTTTAAATACACTGAAAATTAGAAACAAAACATTTGTAGTAAAGGCATTGATCATTACAATTTATGAGATTTCATGGGCAACCAAAACTATCACCAAAGAGAGAATATTTTATTCAGTGTTTTTAAAATTAATTATTGAGGTTTTTATATTCTTTTATTTAAAATTTCTTTCTAGCAGCAATAGGAGACAGGTTCAGTCATCAGCCAACCAGCTGCAAGCACCTAGTTCAAGACCTTCTTCTGCCTCATCCTTACGCAAAGAACCTTCTGGAGAGTCTGAAATAAATAAGGTTAGTTTTATGTTCGATTTCAACCCATGGAAATGTCTTCAATATTTGGAGTCAAATGATTTGACATATACAACAATATTATTAAAAATAAACTTAAGTGCTGAAAGTACAATTTTCTTGACATAATTAGAGGTGAAATATCTAGACTGCTGTTTATGACAAAGGATTTTTTTTCTATTCCAAACTTAGATTAATGAAGAAATTCTTTTAGTGGAACCGGTATTCAAATCATCTCTGGTAAGAAAACCATCAGATTCTGCACTTAGGGATCTTGAACCCATCAAAGAAAAAGTTGAAGAATTTAAAAAATCTACTACCTCGGAATCTTGTGAGAGTAAAGTATCATCCTCACTTTCAAAGGAGGTATTATTTTTACTCTCTTTCTAATTTGTAACTGTACTATTTTAGATAAAGCTTTACATTACACTGATTTCGTGTAATTTATAGCGTTTATTTTAACAATGTATGTTTTTATTTCTTATACTGCAGAACTTTTTGTTATTATCATTTCTAAAGTTGGATGATCTTATATTACAGATAAATTCTCCAAAAAAAGAGTTACCACCACGGAAAAAGAATTTTTTGAAAAACCATGTTAAAAATAATAAGTCAGGAGATTCTGATAAACTGGATGGTGGAGATAGTTTAGCTAAGTCAGCACCACCAAGCCAGGAAGTGGTTCATCAAAGTTATGTACCAGAGCCACAGGTAAATCTTCAGTTATTGCTTATAAATGCTAATTGGTTTTTTGATAGCTAAGGGCTAGTACAACTCACTTCATACATTTTCCACAGTAGCGTTGAGTTTTTATTTAATTTTTAAAATATATTTGAAAGATCAGAACTTTTCTTCACCAGAAACCTCAGTTAAGAAAAGATGACCGGCGACCTCTACCACTACCAAAAGCTGAAGAAAGTAAAGGGCTTCCACAGTATCGAGAAGACAAATCTAAAAAAAAGCCTGATTCATCAAACTCTATGAAAGATTTGAGTGGATCAAGCTCTAAAGAAGACACTGATTTTAGCCTGGATATTGAAACACCCAGGGTAATAAATTGTATTCTTTTCTGACGTTGAACAAAATACATTGTACGAAACTAAGAGCGAGAAATTCTTATATCATAAGAATGAACCAAATATTTTATTGGAAGAAAAAAAGAGTGTTAACAAAATAAATCTCTTACTTCTTATCACATTTTCTTGAACAAAAGCGGAAGCTAAATTAATTTCTTATTCATTTAAGATTTTAGACCAGTAAAGAGATTTAAAGTGTAAACTATTTTGTTTCTTATTTTAGAGTTTACCAAATTTCTCAGCTAGACAAAGGAGACGTCAAAAAAATGATACAGCAAATTGTAAGACTACACATATATAGTTATTTATTTATTAGAAATGTAAAAATTAACCATTAAAAGTTGACACATTTTAAAAGGTGTTTATAGTAAATTTAAAATCATACTATAAGAATATAGAAGAGTACCGTAATCTGAACAGTTAGCTAATAGAGACCCAGTTACTATTTTGACGTGGACAAAAAAATGTTTTTGAATGAAATAAAATTGTCCACAGCTGTTGAAAATATAAATTCTGCCATGGTAAAGCTGAAGCGGTTGCCTGAAAAAACAGACTCTAATGGTGTAAATATGCAGGAAAAGAATGAGGTAAGTGTAAAGCGTACACATATTTAGATATTATATATTATAATATAATATATATTCAAAATTGTGAAAGTGCCATTTAGGCTTTAGTTCATAACATATATTTGAGAATCTCCTTTGGATTTAGGTTTATTTGATGATGGCTGAAATACATTTTGTGCACAGACAAAAATTAAATTCCATACCTCATTGAAATCTTGGAGAAAGAAACAGGTGTTTTTAAGTTTGAGAATTGAGGATTAAATTTAAGTTTTTGTGGTAACATTAATTTTGTTGTGATAGATTGGTTGGCCAGAACTAAATCATTAGTGGGCCTATTTCAAAACATTAACTACAAGAACTTTTAATGGTATTGTTATGTGTATTTTTAAGTGTTTAATACATTTTATAATCTCTGTAAATGTTTTACTCAGTTTCTAATCACATTCTGTTTCAATTAGGTCTCAACAAATTTATCCAGGCCACCAAGATTAAAGCACCAAAGGCAGCCATCTTTAAATGACAGCACTAGTTCTTCAGACGAGTCCCAAAGATTGTCAGCCAGAAGTGATGCCAACTTAAAAGATAAGGAAATAAAGAGGTGAGGAAATAATAAGTCTTAAGGGCATGGGCGGGTGATGAGTACCAACTTCTTTATTTCCAAGTCTAAAGATGTAATACTTGGCTAATAGTTATAACTCAAAGAGTTAAGCATAAAAATATTTTTTTTAATTTTTTAAATCCTCCGTTGCCATGGTGACGGCGGCCATATTGGATTTTATTGACGATTTTTAAATGGAAATAACTCAAAAATGGTTTGTACAAATTTCATGAAAACTTAATATAATCTGCAGACACATGTGTTTAAGACTTCTTATTGATTACATTTTTAAAAAAGAAGATAGTTTTTTTTTTACTTTTTTTTTCGATACATCACTGTAAAAATGTCATTATTTCGTCCAATTTTTTCACTATTTAAACAATAAAAAAAAAATCTTTACAAAAATTCCAAAAGTGTTCAATACGTTTTATTTGAACATATATACAGAGTAACTGGAGCAAATTTAGTTCAGTTCTGATAATTATTAACAAAGTTATTTCAACAATTGTACAAAAAAACATCAAACTGAGAAAAACGCAAAAAACCAACAAAAAGTTGCAAAAAATGAAAATTTACAGCTGTATGTCACTAAAATCGACCACATTCATAGCCTGAAGTATGGTGCTGCTGAATATATTCCTTCTGAGCTTGTTCAGCTGTTAGTTTTCTTTTTTTCTGGCGCTCTTTGTTTTACCTAGAGCTGTAGAAAAGCTGTTGTCAACGCGTCTTTTTTGGCGTCCTTCATTGAGTCTTCGACTATGGTTTCCTTCTTTTGACAGCAATGCCATAGCATGCATGGGTCCAAAATTGAATTATGCTATCGCAGAAACAGCAGTATATTTTGCATGGTCTCATGTCTAAAGCCCAGTGGCGTAGCCAGGATCGTCTCAAGGGGGGGGGTTCCAATTTTTACCCGGGGACAAATTTTCCATTTGTACCCCCCCCCCCCTTCTCAAACTTTCGATTTGCACCCCCCCCCTCAAACTTTCGATTATATATATACCGAGGGGTCTATGGGGGGTATGACCCCACCCTAACCCCCCCCCCCCCCCTGCCTACGCCACTGCTAAAGCCAATTATGATAAGACGATGTCTTTGTTTATTGTGAATGGCCTTGTTCTGGATTCTTTTGCAGTTGTATACTTACGGTTTACAACATTTTTATTACTGCCACACCATGCTTGAAGCAAACCCTTTACACTGTTTTCATCAATAGTAGCAACTACATCACAGTGGGCGAGGAAATGTATTGATAACATCAAGAAGCAAATCACATTCGACAATAATTCTGCATGGCTGTGGTTTACAATTAGCACTACCAGTACTAGATGTAACAGTGCTTTCTTCTGTCTGTAAAAACTGTGTCTTACATTGTCGTAGTTTCTTAGTAAATGTGCATATTACATCTGCACCAGTGCTTGTCTGAATAGTGCTAGATTGAGTAGAGGTAGCTGCAATCAGTTGCATTCGGACGTGCCCTTGCTTTAGTAAATTAGTTAGATGTTTGTGTGTATCTATTTTTAGCGAGTGTTTTGTTCTACCCATTATCGAAAGAGAAACAAATTAAATCGTCTCACTGCTTATGATAATTCACACAAACTAATCTAAACTGTTAATAGTATATTTAATTGAAATAATTATATGTTAAAATAATGTAAGTATTTCACAGAAGCTTAGAGAAACAAAACTAGATCAAACTTAGCAACGCGCTGAAACTAAGGGAATGTTTACTTCCGAAGCGAAACGACCAATCGCTAACTAGCTTCCGCCGTTAAACGCTAATGAAAAAATTGAGGTCAAAAATTTGCATACCGGAAAAACCCGACTAAGTAAAATAAACAAATTTATGACGTAGAAAAATAATCACATTAAAATAAGTATTTTGATTGGTCCTTTAATTCTAGAACAAATAAAGAAAGGAGGTCACGGCCTTTCCATTGATATGAAACACATTAGGTTTCCGTGAAGCCTAATAGTACTTTTCTAGGTCGAAAAATGGCTATTTTTACCAAAAAATTAACAAATGACCCTGTACACACTACTTTGAACCCGGTTTTTTATAAATAAATACTGTTTTTAGGGTCATAACAATGTCATTTTTAGATTCAACGATGATTATTCTGTATAGATCAAGTAAAAGTGGGAAATCGATGATTTAGTGGATTTATGACGAAAAGTACACCCGCCCATGTCCTTAAGTTATTTGCCAGAAGTGACCCCAACTGATAGAATAAGTAATAGTAGCTTTAAATCCTATGATGGGAGGGCAAGGCCTAGCAGCATCTAGCTACAGTTGTAAAACATGCTCCAAGAGAGAGAACTTACTGATGTACCAGACATTACTAAACAAAATCACAAAATAATAATGGTTATTCTTCAACATACCTACTTTAACCAGTTGTAACTTTACTGAACATGATGCTCTTTTGAGTCCGTCTTTAAAAATTGTAAATGGTTATTATATTTTGACTTTTAAAAATAGTGTTTTATTTTACTGAGTTTCACAAAAGGTACTATACGTAATAGAAGCGCTAAATATTTTTAAAAAAAACTTTTAAGAGTTACAGTTGAAAACAAAAACAATTAGTATTTTTAAAGATTACTAAAACTATTATCAATAAATCCTCAGAGAAGTGAAAGAGTTAAACAACTTCATTACTTTACTTGATACAACACTTCATATGAATCATGCCATTGAAGTTTCTGATGATGAAGAAGAGCTTAAACCAGCTGACCGGCATTCGGCTCATATTCCATCACCAGAGCCCCAACCAACACAAAAAATACACAAATCTATTTCAATGCCAAGTGAGTATGTCCTGGGTCAAAGGATAGTTTTCTACAAGTTTCATCATGCTCATCTCATTTGGTTATGCCCCTGTCAAATTTCACTCTCATCTCATTTGGTTATGCCCCTGTCAAATTTCACTCTCATCTCATTTGGTTATGCCCCTGTCAAATTTCACTCTCATCTCATTTGGTTATGCCCCTGTCAAATTTCACTCTCATCTCATTTGGTTATGCCCCTGTCAAATTTCACTCTCATCTCATTTGGTTATGCCCCTGTCAAATTTCACTCTCCCTCAATGACATTGTATATTAAAAAATGCAGTCATGTATGCAGCTGTGCCACTTCTCTGGGATATCCCGGATTTCAAGATTCAAGAATCATATTTTTTTCCCTGTCCGGATTCGCAAAATTTGAGTTAGATAAACCTAGATTTAGGCTAACATTTTTACGCCATCACTTTCGTGGCCTTTGTCTACCCAACATCAGCAGACGTTTCGGTCACTGCGACCTTACCTTAGATGGTCTTCTAGGTCTATCCTAACTTACCGTGACCTCGAAGTGTAGTATAGTGATGGATCTAGATCTGTAACTATTATCCAACAAGATTTCTTAATGTCAATAGGCCTATTTATTACGTTCGTGAAAAAAAAAAACTAATAGCAAATGACGTCACCGGCAATCTCACACGTGCGCCATGGACCAAATTCTAATCAGCTGTATCAGATGGGTGAGGCTGTAGGCAGAACTTTTTGATGTCATTGGTGGTGTGGCTGCCTGGCTATTTATGTTGATATGGGTTGGGGGTAAAATTCGCATTATTTACGAGACGTCATCAATGGGCTACAGCTAGGCTGTGTATTAAAAATAACTAAATCCTACCATTACTAGCTCACTAGCATCGCCGATCGTCTTCTTTTATAAAAAGACACGAGACCACGCGAGTACAGTCGTGTCTCACGGTCTAGGCAGTTCTATGCTGTTTATCTAATTTTAACATGGCTATTTTTAGTAAGGGCCTACTTCTAGATTTAAGAGGAAAAAAACTAGATCTGCATCGTTTTATATTATTAAACAAAATATGTAGGCCTGCTTTAATTTAGTTACACGATCTAGCAGGGTCTAGATCTAATTTTTTTTTTCTGTGGTAAAATGTCCTTGAAATGTTTAAAAAACCAGTGTAAAAAAACAGTGTTTGAGAAAATAGCCGCTGTAACAGCCCCCTCCCATTCGCTTGTAAAAAAAAAATCTGCTTTTCACTTTGTCGGCGCTACATCTGACTAGCGTAGTTACTTTTAAAATTATTAAAAAAAACAAAAAACAACTAAATTCTGTTATTCTGTGATATGAACTTACTTACAACTTCCACGATATATCTATACGTCACCATGTATATCAAAGGTGGGGCGTTGGAGTCGTCCATGAATGACGTCACACTCAAAGGGGGGAGGGGGTCTGTAATTTTATGATGAGGGGGAGGTTTCTGATGGTGTAACATCACACTTTTGCATTATTAAAAAGCTATGTTAGAAAACGAATTTTAGCCGTTATTTCGCGCTTTAGAAAACTGTTTTAATAAATTGTTATAGGAATTGATTAAAATTTTTAAATACTCTATGTTGACAGAGTTCAGACAAGATTTTGGAAAAGTATCGTATTTGAAGAAAAATTCAACTGCAGTTTTGAGGGGGGACGGGACGGGTTGTAGACTGAAGTAAGACGTCATTTTAGAGGACAGGGTCTGGCTTTTTGTGACGATATGTGATGAGGGGGAGGGGAAAAAATCGTCAAAAAAGCATGACATCATTTATGGATGACCCCATTGGTGGTTAATTGGTAAACAGGGTTTTAGGTTTTTGTTGTGGCTGCTAATAATTAAAACCTTGAATAGCTACAGTAAGTCAACCCTGTATGTAATACAGTGACAATCTTATTAGGGGTCGTGCATATAGTGGGCTTATTATTCAATAACAAGACGTAGCAGTTAGCAAAATATTTGTTACTTAACAGTTGGCTGGCTTCACACTTTAAATCAAGCAATGAAGTTCTAAAAAATTAAATACTTGGTTATGTTATAAAAGCATACAACTGTGTACATTTGTGTTGTAGGTCTACCACTTGTTGAAGTTCAGGCCGACTCAAATAGTTCTTAGATATTTCTACACATTTCTGTATTACCTACAGAAGACAACGTGTGACTACTGTCCTAATAAACAAATTATTAGTAACATAAACATTTGTTTTGTATTGTGGCTTACATGGGGGGGGGGGAGGGGGATTTCTACAATAACACATTATGGGGTAGGCCTTAAGATGGGACTAACATTGTAAACAAATTTTGTTGTATGTACAATCCTTTAAATATTAACATTTTTGTGAAGCTTGTTACAAAGAAAATAAATCCATTTTAAAGGAATGTATATTGAACATAATATGAATCAAATGTCCCCAAAAATATTGAAATAATAGTCCATTTTATTTTTAAATTCCACGCAAAATTAAATTTCAGGGTTTTAAAAGTTTCAAATTTTAGTTTAAGTGATTGGTGAAATTTTGGGATTCATTTTCAGGATTCACTTAAAAAATGAGTGTATGTTCTAAATATCCTTTTGGTTTAGATGATTATTATTGTTTAGATTACTATCCACTTTTTGTTTTTGTAATGCTGCCAAACTAGATGAATATCTTACTCTAATGGACCCTATCATTTTATAAAAAAGAATTTCAGTTTTTTTTTTGCCTTTTCATATAGGTGTAGAAACGCTAACTAGTCAGTCAAGGTTAATGGATAGGATAAAAATGTTGCACAAGTGAGTGCCTTTTCAATCATTTCACTTTTTTTTTCTATTTATTATTTAAAAAAAAAAATTTCATTTTTATTTACTTAATGAAAACTCTTGATAATGAACATATGTTGTTTACCAAAACTTTTTAAACTACTTTTTAGGGATTGTATTCAAGGTGTTGGCTACACTGCTTTAAAAAGGGCCTATGAAATCCTGGACAAAATAGATGAAGATGAAATTGAAGTATGAACACTGAATAATCATGTTTAATGCTTTTAGCTCTGATCTAATGATAGATTGACATATCCTGGGTGCTGTTACTATTTCCCAGGTGGAAATAATTTGTGATCAGTGAGATCTAAGATCTGAACCTGTGTCTTGCCAGTGACATCAGTGGTTTGGTGAGATATACCTGGTCTCTAGTGTAGACTTAGACCAAAAACACACTATTTATTTTACATTTCATCTTCTGAGCAAAAGCCATGAGGAATTGTAAAAAGCTGGAAATTTTTTTAAAAATTTAAGAATTATTGTTATAATATTTGCAAATGCAGTGAACATGAAAATATTGTTTTGACTTTAAAACTGCATTTCTACTTACTTATATCAACCCAAAATTTTTTAACCTGAAAAAACATTATCTTAGTTCTGCAACCCCAATTTATCTGCTCCTTCAGTTCATTAACGTGAAGCTTTTCAGCTTCATAATATAATTGTTTTAAATTAAAAAACTAATGCTTTGCTGGTTTTTAAAATAATTTCCTATCATTTCAACTTTTGAATGTCAGTGTGACTTAGTTAATCGATATTAGTTTTTGCTGAATGTTTTTCGACAAGAAAAAACAAAATTGTTATCGTTTTTTTTTCTCTTTCAAATTTTGCTTAATAAATCCTGTTCTATTATCATATACATGTTATGAATACTGCAAATATTCAAGAAATATTTCACCCCCACTTTGAGAGTCCAAACCAGCTAATGCCACTGAGAGATCAGTTCTTTTGTGATTAAATTGAGGGATCGTATAGACCAAATTCAGAAAAATTCTTTAATTTTTAATGCAATAATTTCTAACATACTAAATATGCTTTGGGTATTAATCATATATTCTTTTTATGCTATGTTTATATCATTAGTAAATTTCCCATTTTTTTTTATAAAAGAGAAAATTTGCATTCGCTTGCACACATTTTTAATTGACATTTTATAATTTTTTTTTTAGCCCAAATTGGTGGATTTGTTGGGAAAAGACAAATTTGATGACTATGCAGGAAAGATTTGGCAGCTCAAGTTTTGTGAAGAAGCTTTGTTCTTAGCCTAATAAAAACAAATTTTAAAATGACTTATTTTGACCAAGTGTAAATATATATATTTAGCAAAATCAGTAAAATGACTGCAGGTGTTGTGCTTTTGATGCCTTACATAAGTGATTTACCTTACAGTGATAGAGAACAATGATGTATAATTTGTCCTGTTTTCACTTTTTTTATAATTACAATAACTTATCAGTAAGTTTTGGAAAGCATTTAAAAAAAAACCCTTTTTAAATTAAATTATTACTGATATATTACAGAATTTTTCAACTGGAAAAATATGTTATTGCATAAAAGTATTAGGTTATCTATACAGTAATAGGCTAGACTAAGTTAAGACAATTTTAGTTATGTTGAGTAAAATTATAAGAAAAATATATTTATTGTAATTAATGTTATGTTTAAAGTTTTCAAAAGACTATAGAAACTGGATATATTTAAATAAAACACTTTGTTACTAAATATTTTTATTTACTAAATTTACTGCTAACATCAGTATTAGTGAAGGAAAGATTTGTTTTTGTCATGGGAATATTACTTTGACAATAGACAGTCTCTTTTTTATTTGAAATAATCTATCTAGGTAAAAGAAATACAGTTCAAGAACAGAATAGTTCTCAAATAATTTGATAGGTTTAGTCAACTAGTTAGCTGTAATGTTATTCTTCAATTTACAGCTATCTAAAAACTCAGATGGCATTTTAACTTCACATGATTCCAGCAGCTTAAAGTTGGTCTATTTACATTATGTAAAACAATAATAAAAATGTAATTTTTTTTTAAGTTTGTAACATTTTTTTCCATAAAATTTGTACAATACCATATTAAAATCTTTGCTACAGTTAAAATCAATGTCTCAGTCCCATACCCCAATTTAAAAAAAAACTTTTTCTAGTCTACAAGTAAATGCAGATTTGTATTACCATTACTTTAAATAAATGAATAATTAGTGGGAAGTAATTATTTAAATAAGTTGGTAACTGTAAAACGTAATCAAAATATGATGAAACCAATATGTTGAATGTTACATTTTTTTTGTTCTCTTGTAAACAATATTCCATTTTATAGTTATTATTAAAAATAAAATTTCATATTGATTTCCGTCCATTTGATTTACCTTTAAATGGCATATAAAACAAAAAAAGTTCATGATTGTCTCGAAAACTGAAAGATGTGAGCTTTAAAAGCTAATTTCTTATAACATTTGGATTTTATACACATTTGTACAATAAATAATGTACACATTTTTTTACATATATTTTGTTCTTTGTATATTTTTTTTTTTTTGCATTCCTTGATGGGCTGCAAAAATTGTTAAGTGTTTATTTATAGAGCACAGCCTTAGTAACTGTGATAGTCAAAATATTTTTTCTTTTCTAGAATATTTTGTGTTCAACAAATAAAACAATACACCTTTTATCTTGCAAGGTTTTTTGTCGTGTTTAAATTATGTCATAATGGCATTTTATTATGTTTTATAGTGAAATAGTAAGACAGCATGGTCCATATTGATTTTAAAATTTCTTTCCTGCCTTGATGTGATCTCATTTTTATTCTATTATTAGATAATGACTTGAAAGTAGGCCCTTCATAATTTTTTAAAACTTTTAACTTTATGGATGGTAACATTAAAGTAAAAAAGGTTAAATTTACATGGCTTTTTAATTCTCAGCTGAAGGTTTTAAATATTAATTCTCAAGCTAATTTATAACCATTTATCCCATAATAATTGAAAAGTTTTTTTAATGTAAAAAATGTTTTCCATGTTAATCTGCTGACTTGTGACATCTGTGTTAGTATCTGATTCTTCTGCTACGCTCGTTATATTTTAAAACCATTTTCTCATTTTTCAAGGGTCTCTTTGTTGAGATTTTGTTGCTAAATATTGTAAAAAGAAAAAGCAAAGAATTGGTGTAACAAAGTTATGTTTGCATGTGTTTTAACAATCTAGTTATTACCTTATTGAAAGAAAATCTTTTAACGTGATGTGTAAATCTACTATTTTGATCAATCATTATCTACTCAGTGAGTGATGATTATTTAACTACCCTGCAATACAAACACATTTTAAGAGTGCCTGACAGGCTGTGAACTGTATTTTGCATTACATAAATGCATGCCTGGATGAATACAAAGCTAAACTTTGTAGTTTAGTATGTCATGGTGAATTGAGAGATCTGCATCACCCGGGTAATTGATGTGGTTTGGTTGTTGTCACAACATATTCTTTTCTTTCAAGTCAACTGTTCAAACAGTTTTAAATGTTTGCTGCTAGTGTGTTCACATACTTATAAACATGTTGATGCTGCAGATTTCACATAGATATAAATGGTGGTGGCAAGGGCAATTACAATTCTACTTGCATGCACATGTGTCAGTTAAAATATGGTGTGACCATAAACTTTACTTGAATGGCTGTGAATAGATTATTTGTAATGGATTATTTGTAATGGATTATAGTGCTTGTATCTCACAACACTAACATTACCAAATAAATGAACAAAAAGAAAGAATGTAAAATAACTGACCCTAAAACTTAATCACAATTTTATTCCTTCTCTCACCATTATACTGTGTATATTTCATGGTTTTACAGAAATGTGGATAAACAATGTAAATACTGGATATTTTCTTATCAATAAAAATAGCTTCATATCACATCACTAGTTTTTGCTTTTCTGAAACTATTTTTTGTTTTAATATGATGTCTCTTTCAGAATATTTGATTTGACTTAAAAGTTTTCAATTCACAATATGTCAAACTATCACATTATTTAAAAATTATTTATAACAATCAGCAACAATCACTAATGTTTAATAAAAACAAAATAATGTAACACTAGAGTAAAAAGAAGAGGTAAATTTTTTAAGAAAAAAAAATACCTCATTAAACAATAACAAGTGTCAGAGATTATGATAGGCTGAAGGTAATTTTAACCTGAGTAGAAACATCAGCAAGAAACAGATTCTATAATATAATAAGTATTGGTGGCCACAATGAAAAAGATAAGAACATTGTTGAATAAAAAAATTAACATGAAATTTAAAAATAAAAATCTAAAACTAAAACCATTTTAAAACAAAATATGCTCACTAGAAAAATCAGATAAAATAACATTAAAGTCTAACTACAGCATAAGAAAATGGAACAACTTAAAATTGAACAGAAAAAATGTATAATTGAGAAATATATTGTGGTGGGCTTATTATTTTTATCATTACTTCATCCTAACAAAAGTTGAAGTAAACTTATTGGATATACTAAGAATTTAATAGAGATATGAGTTGATGACATCAAAATTGGTTATCACTGTACAAAAATATTGTACAAAAACACTTTTTATACAAACTTTGGATGCTGCACTTCAAAAGTTTTCAGACACTACAAAGTTATAGAAGCAAATATTAAAATTGCCATTTTTACATCTATATAGACTATATTTTTAAAATCGATAACAATGATTCTAGCAGCTTTGTTACTATTATTTATGACTAAAGGACGAATTGAAAACATTTAAGAAATGAATTTATATACCATATTTCTTTTAAGGACCTTTTGATTGTCAGTGATTCTAGTTATGCATTCTAATTCTATTTACAAAGCCCTTTTGAGTAAAAATAAAATAAATTGTTTTGTCACAATGCTGCGTTATAAGTAACAAGATTTCAGAGGATTTTTTCACCAATGTGATGGTAGTGTAGCTAGCACCTCACTGTCAACAATGTGATGGTAGTGTAGCTAGCACCTCACTGTCAACAATGTGATGGTAGTGTAGCTAGCACCTCACTGTCAACAATGTGATGGTAGTGTAGCTAGCACCTCACTGTCAACAATGTGATGGTAGTGTAGCTAGCACCTCACTGTCAACAATGTGATGGTAGTGTAGCTAGCACCTCACTGTCAACAATGTGATGGTAGTGTAGCTAGCACCTCACTGTCAACAATGTGATGGTAGTGTAGCTAGCACCTCACTGTCAACAATGTGATGGTAGTGTAGCTAGCACCTCACTGTCAACAATGTGATGGTAGTGTAGCTAGCACCTCACTGTCAACAATGTGATGGTAGTGTAGCTAGCACCTCACTGTCAACAATGTGATGGTAGTGTAGCTAGCACCTCACTGTCAACAATGTGATGGTAGTGTAGCTAGCACCTCACTGTCAACAATGTGATGGTAGTGTAGCTAGCACCTCACTGTCAACAATGTGATGGTAGTGTAGCTAGCACCTCACTGTCAACAATGTGATGGTAGTGTAGCTAGCACCTCACTGTCAACAATGTGATGGTAGTGTAGCTAGCACCTCACTGTCAACAATGTGATGGTAGTGTAGCTAGCACCTCACTGTCAACAATGTGATGGTAGTGTAGCTAGCACCTCACTGTCAACAATGTGATGGTAGTGTAGCTAGCACCTCACTGTCAACAATGTGATGGTAGTGTAGCTAGCACCTCACTGTCAACAATGTGATGGTAGTGTAGCTAGCACCTCACTGTCAACAATGTGATGGTAGTGTAGCTTGCACCTCACTGATCATCTGTTGGATCTCATCAAAGGCTGAAGATATGTCTTTTTCTGACCGGAACTTTGGACCTGATGTGCAACAGGAGCAACATAAGAACAATGTTGGATTTAAAAAACAAAAACAAGTTACAAAATCTAAACTATACCTAGTTCTTTCACAGAACTTTGCCAGTTTATATTATTTTTTACAATTTGAACCGTAAGAATTTTAGTTCAAAGAATGCATGTGGTTTTCCGATGGATGTACAGAGTACTTACGGACTTCAGTTGGTCGAGGGGAGAGAAGAGTAATTTCTGTTGTCACTCCCTTTACCATCAGATAATACATTCCAGCTGTTCATTAGAAAATACACATTTAAAACGTTGATCTTACCATATAAATTCAAGAATATATAGGAGCTTTACTCATTGCAATAAACACGATGAAACAAGCTGCCCTTTTAGTAAACTGATACATTTTGTATTTTTAAAATAAAGGTAAACAAAAAGTATTTACCAGGTGTAATAGAAATCTCTGAAAAAACTGCCACCGCTGGTTTTCCTTCTCCATTGGGAATCAGACGTTTACACCTATTTCCTGAAACTTGTGCATCTTGTCAAACAAAGCATGAGATATAAGGTTTACTAGCAATAGGATTGGATTCAAAATTTATTTTTACGATTATTTTTACATCAATTTAATAAGCATTAAAAAAAAAATATTTTAAAATTAAAAGCCAAATATAGTTGAATATAATATAAAATCAATAAGACTGATTAAAGAAATGTGTTTGTCAAATATAAGATTCAATATTTACTTTGGACCACCAGCTCCAGCACCTCTGTAACCCCAGGGTCTGACTGTACACAAAAATCTGGCAAGTTCTCTCCATCAAAAACTGTTGCAGCTGGTGCTGTTAGCCAGGTTAGCATGGTCATTTTATACACTGTAAGTCAAACAAGTTTTATAGCAAGCTAAACCACTCTAGGCTTTCTAAGCTTCATCTAGGCTCTTACAAATGC